TGGAACCGTGATACTGAGGCCGACCCATTCTTGGGTGCTAAGAACGTCTGGAACCGTGATACTGAGGCCGACCCATTCTTGGGTGCTAAGAACGTTTGGAACCGTGGTGAGGATGACATTGCAATTGGCCACGGTATCACCTGGGATTGAGCAAGCAAAATGGTCATGAAAGCATCTCACTTTCTATCTAGACCGGGCAACAAGCCCTAGTGAAATAGCTGCAGTCCACTGGTTGAGAAGAGGTTCCCGAGACACAATTTTTATGACATGAATGTGGCAACGTATATATGCATGTATTCAGATAGATCGTTCAACGATATTTCTCGGGAGAGCAGCAATTACATTCTAGGGTTGTCTTTCCATGAGCTGCTATAGAAACTTTGATACCCTCTGCTGTGTACCTACAAAACATACCTCTCATGAATGACTCAATGAAACACGTTCTATGCACAGGGTTATGATCTTGTGGCTAAGTATGGATATCTTTTATATCAGGGTTTAGATACCAGGATAGAAATGTAGCGGCCATTCTTCCACAATTATAGCTATGAGGTATTTATATAAATCAAGACATGAAGGCTATACCGGCAGAGCCTACCTCCTACCAAAACAATCGCAAGCCACGGACCGTCCAGGCAAGAGACATAAAAGAGTAAACACTATGGGAATGGAATAGCGTGTACGTCAATTGCTTTCGGATTTAGAGCTAGTGTAGGATAGTCAGAAAGTGACCTGGACAGTCACTTGCTTTGTTACCTTTGTTGGACACTGGACTTTGCCGAGCTGAAAATATTTGCGGTTGGTAGAACCAGAGAGTACTGGGACATACACCAAATCCTTAGGCCTATGCGATTCGGTGTAAGAAAATGCGTTTCCATGACTTGCGGTGAAGAGGCTTGTTTTTCCGGCTATTCTAAAGCCCATTAAACTCGGAGAAGCAAATGGAAGCTACCTTGATATGAGCTTGACTGCTGCGATAAACTAACTCATGGCTTTCTTGCATAGCAAGTTTGAGTTGAATAATAAGCTGCTCAAGAATTCGTTCTGGATATATTGGTATTAATCCAGCTACCGAAAGGCCATTTTCAACATTATCAGCAGAAAATATCTCTGTATGGGTCATCGAAGGACAGTCAAATTTGTTGATATGATTTAAATCAAGTTACATTTTATCCTTCACCAAGTGACCGTATCCATTCTTTTAAGGGAGAAAAACAACCAATGTCCAGAGACTGTAAGAGATACCTAGGTATGATAAACGCGCTGGTATCTACAGATTTGATGGAATTGCGGTGCTAAATACACATAACTAGTAGTTGCTATATCAAAATACACAGCTGCTCAAAGCAAAAAAAAAAAAAAATAAATAAAAAGTAAAAAAATAAAAAAGGACTTGATACGAAAACAGATTCTACAGTAATTAATACACAAGCACCCTTGGCCATGACAATATACATATTAACAATAATCGCGGGTCTTCTCATCACAGAAATCCCAGAAATCCTTTGCCAGACCACTTCCTCCATCCTCCTTCAATGTCATCGCAGTCACCAAGTTCGGCGCCACATCTTGATGAATCCTGCCCCACGGAATAACATACGCCCCATTATGATCCAGTCCCAGGTCGTTAGAGAAGCCGGCATAAAGCACCGTGTGAGCAGCCATCTCGGCACTATGCAGCAGCGGCCAGGACAGGATCTTCATCCACTTCGCGTTCCGCAACAGATTCGTGTTTGCTGCGCCAGGATTTTGAGCCACGCTGACAATACCCACGTTGGACCCATATCTTCGCGCCATTTCCACTGACAAAAACCAGTTCCCCAGTTTCGAGTTGACGTAATTGCGCACATTGTCTTTTGGGGGCGTTGTTAGTTCTGCCATTATCATGCCTTCCGGCGGAGATGAGAGCTCGGCCACTTGACTGCTTGTCCAGACGACGCGTACCGTGCCTGCTGCAGCATCCGGCACAGCGGCAGCGAGCATGGGATGTAGCAGCTTAGTGAGCAGGAATGGCCCCAGACAGTTAGTTGCTAGTTGAAGCTCGATGCCCTGTTTGGAGACACTTCCGAGGGGCGGTTGGGAGACGCCAGCGTTGTTGAAGAGCACGTCTAGCCTGGACTCTTTATCCTGGAACGCGGCTACCGTGTCTTTAATGCTGGTCAAGTCGTCCAGGACGAGATGTAGGAAATCCAGCGTTCCTTCGGTCTGTGGCACGGCGCGTTGAATGGCTTCGATGGCTTCCTGGCCGTTTTGTTGCGAGCGGCCGGCGATGTAAACCCTGCCGCCTTTGGCATACAGGGTTTCGGCAATCTTAAAGCCAATCCCTGAGGCACCGCCGGTGATGAGGAATACTTTTCCCTTTTGTGAGGGGAGCTTGTCGAGCTGGAAGCTCGGACGAGGAGGGAAAAACTGAGAGAATTGGGCTCCCATTTTGTAAGCCCCCTAAAGAATGAGGAGTGCAAATCTTGGAGTATATCTTTGAAAATGAATTATTGTTTTGACTTGCACGGGGGTTTCTCCAAAGTATTGGAAGCTGGCAGAGGGAGGACGTTGGTCGACGCTAGCGAGCTGAACGACAACGAGCTAGAAATAAATTATAAACTCGCTGCCCAGAAGTAAAATAAACGCACTATATTCTCACCCGCCATACGACTTTCTTGGCTGATCCGAGGCTCGCCGTACTATCAAAAGCGAAATATATATATTTATATATAGACATTCCACAGCTTCTATTAATCTTTACAATCCAGTGCTCACAGCAAATTGACATATCGAAATCAGAATGTCGCGCAGACCTAAACAGCAATTCTACATTCCAAAAAACCGACTTCGCTTTCTCAGAGCTGCACCAAAAAAGTACAGGGCAAACATCCCCCCGATGCCAAGGACGCTGAAACTCGCCAGCAAAGTGACGCCTCCAGATACCTTGATGCCACCGAACATGGGCTCCGAAAACAAGATTGAGGCGCCCGCTAGGAGTCTCCGCGCGAAGCCATTGGCTGCAAACAAAGAGCCCGCATAGCGCGGGTATGTGAATGGCAAGTAAATGAACATGCATTGAGTGATGATGAAGACACCACACATGCTGAGCGCGATCCCAACCATGCTGACGATCCAGTGTATCGAGGGGCGTGATGTCCATGCTGTTTGGTCGGGTTAGTGAACGACATAAAGCGTCAGTCCAAGCGAGGCCACGGTATCGCTGACCCCAAACACGGTGCGAACATCGGATTCACTGGCTGTATAAAGAGAGGAGCCAATATACACCGAGAACGTATAAACAAAGAGCATGATTGCAATCCAGAGCTCTTTTCCAGATGACCAATTCCGAGGGTTTTCGGGGTCAATATCAGAGTACCAACCAATGACTGTAGCTCCTGCCAGGTCATCCTTTTCCTGTGGGACAGTTTCCGGATCAACATTTGACTCAATTATTGGCGAACGAAGAGCGAGCCGGCTGCATGACTCTAGATACCCTGCTGGTAATTCAAAGTTGGCACGTTCCTCTGGGTATTTGGCCAGTCGTCTGCTGCTCATAATGCGCAGACACTGGCCAAAGGACGAGTCTCGCACGATATCCCACATGGTGGCGGTAATACTATGGTATATAGAACAATGGCATGAGTAAAGAAGACGAGAAATCTGGGAGAAGTGAGAAATCTCACTGGTATTACATACTTTCTCAGTCCTCGAGAAAAGCATCTATTTCCTATTTAGGCTAGCTTTGAGCTCGGTACGTCGATCCAAGGTGGAGACCTTGATTGATCATACGCTAAGCTTTAAAAGGCTAACCGGCGCAAAGCTAGCCTCATCAGGCAATGAGCTTTCATGCTGCTATGCGTTCACGTCGCCCAAGGAGATTGTTCTTTTAGCCTGCTTCCTTTGCAAGACAACTATGAGGGTCGCGAGAAGGCTGGATCAGCATGCCAGCCCAAATGAGAACCTGGCCTTCTGCCATCTGCTGAAACGGCATGTTCTCAATTCCCTAGATAGAGTCAGGACACATTCTTTTTGTAAAATAAAGATACCCGGGAGCTTACCTTGGACATTAAAGCTGCTTGGCACGAGAGACTCCATAGTTTACCATAACTTAGCTGCTAGTATGTGGCAATGAATGATATGAGTCATATCTGAGGAGCGGCAGAATGAAGCCACCGCTCCCCGCTGCTGAGATAAGCATTAGGGTTGACTAACGTAACCGGTAAGCCACCCGGCCATGTAAGCGACCCGGCCACCTCCGCCCGGAAACGCGTTCTATATGAATTTCTAATCACAATTTTCAACCCAAAATAATAATTATATATAAAAAAACTAATTACTAGTACGATGAGGGCATTGAGGCCTTCTATGCCCGAGAATACCACACTCACTACACTTAAATTGGCGGCGTACGATCGCTTGCGAGGCTGGCAGCTCAGGCTCAGCCGGAGCAGTAGTAACACTTTGAGATGCCTCAATCTGACTTTGTACAAGCGCCTGAGCTTTCTTTCTAGTAATTCCTTGCTCATGTTCTATCTGCTTCCTAGATCGTCTGCGTTTTTGCTTCTCCTTCTCATGTGCAGCCCGTAAATCATGAACTTCTTTCCCTAGAAGTATAAGGCTATTCGCGGTCATTTCGTACGCCTTAGACATCCGATCAATTGCCTCATCAACTGAACTTAATGGGCTTCCTGTACGCTGGCTTATACGCCTCTTTATTGTACTCAATTGACGTTTAAATTGGCGTGGATTTTGAGGTATTTGTAAGCAGGATGATTGAGTATTACTCGATCGACTTGGGGGAGGTGTAGGAGTCTTAAGCTGAATAGTAAGCTGTTGATAGACTTGATCTGGATTATATGGCACTAATCCAGTGGCTATGAAGCCCTTCCGAATAGTCTCAGCTTTATATGCCATCGTATGGGCCTCTGGAAATGCAGTAAGAAAATCAATTTTGTCGATGTGATTGAATCCAAGCCTCATCCGCTGCTCAACAAGCTGTCCATATTTCCGCTTTATAACTGCAAAACAGCTAACATTGAGAGGCTGCAAGAGATGAGAGGAATGTGGAGGCATGCAGACTGGAATAATATTATTCTCAGTGCATGTACGGTCAAATTCCGCAGTCAAATGACTTCCATGGCCATCGAGAATCAGCATTCGATATCTTCCCATTGTACGGCCATTTGTAAGAGGAATAAAGTGATTTTGAAGCCAATCCATGCCAATATTATCGGTTGTCCATCCATTGTCGCTAATGTTGATTTTCCAATTATCTGGAAGAGTCTCAAACCAGCCTTCTTGCATATATTTTGTTGCTTTAAAAATTATGTATGAAGGCAGAGCCCATCCAGTAGAATTAACTGCCTCAATTGAAGTTACCCATTCTCGATTGCCAGGTTGTAATAGCTTTGGACGGGCATATCGATCGCTCCCAGTAATAACCTTTGCAGTTGCACAGAGTCCCATAGCAAAGCCAGTCTCATCGAAGTTATAGATATCTTCCGATAAGATGCCATATTCTAATATAGCCTCTCGTACGCGGTCAAAATATTCTTGGATTATCTTTGGATCTTCGCATTTGGCACGTTCATAGTTATATCTTCGAGAAAATCGCGATTTGAGCTCTGAGCGACGTTGAACCAGGTTATAAACCCATTTTTCTCCAACCTGTTGATTTCCGTGTTGAGAAAGAAGATAGTTGGCCATTTCTCGTACCATAGATGGCCGGGGAGGTAATCCTCGCCTATCTAGATCTAATATCCATCTAATAAGCGATTCCTCTTCAAACTGAGTGAATTTATGACTGTTGGCGCGTTTTGTATGTTTATATTGTGTTCCCTTCAGTCGGTCTTGGAGAGTTGTACGAGGGATAGTATAAACCCGTACAGCTTCACGAATACTTTGAATATTCCCATTTTTTAAATCGGAAATAGCTAATTGAATCTTTCCTTCTAATTCAGCTGATTTTGAAGGATTTTTCTTGCGAATTGGTGGCATATTGACGCGTTGAAGTTGTAAGATCGAAATAGAACGCGTTTCCGGGCGGAGGTGGCCGGGTCGCTTACATGGCCGGGTGGCTTACCGGTTACGTTATAGTTAACACTAACTGGGCTAGTCAGTGTTCTGTCCACCTGTTCTTCCGGAACTCTTCCGTCATCTGTCAGTGTTGTTGTCAACGACCAATACCTAGGTACGCAACCATGGATATCCCGTGGCCTGTGATCCTTATAATTGTCTACCTGGGTAAGACTCAATAAGCCAGTATATCTATGATCACCGCTCATACCGCCCCGCTCACAGTTATCACTGTTGTCCGAAGCAGCGCTCAAAGTACCGGCCCTGCAGTTCTCCATGGCAAGGTGATCAGCGTTGAAAGGTAAACAACCTCTTACTACTGAGTTTGATTTCCAGCTCTGACACGAAGGTGTCTTTTTGTCTAGCCAACAATCTTTCAAAGAACTAACCTCCTCCGGACCCGTTGTCGTCGATTTCTTCGCCACATGGTGTGGCCCATGCAAAGCAATTGCGCCAAAGGTCGGCGAGTTCAGCGAGACATACACAAATGTGCGCTTTCTCCAGGTCGATGTCGATAAACAGCAGCAGATTGCAAAGGATTTGGGAGTGACTGCGATGCCAACTTTTATTCTGTTCAAGAATGGGAAGCCCCTTCCGGACCGGATCAGAGGCGCAAATGTGCGTGCGCTAGAGGAAGCTATTAAGAAGTTGGCGGCCTAAGTCCGTTACTGAGCTTGTGTATATATTCGGACCTGCACCGGGAAACGTAAAGAGTCTGTGATGAACGACTGCCCTTGGTTGGGTAGCAGGATAACGAACTTCGCATGACCACGAGATGTACAATGAGATATAGCAGTGGGATTTCATATTACCCCGGTTTTAAGAAAGCATTGCTCAGCGCATCTCCTGTTTAATCAAATATCAATTGTATGGTTGATATTCGGTCTTCAAGTTGTGTAAGGCTTGCCATTTCCGGCAATGCTGTAAACATGTATTATTGTAGACACTATGCCCAGGCCAACATTCTTTAAAGTAATTCCGGGCTACAGATCGCAGCGCTCCAAAATGGTCAACTCACTCGGGCCGGTCCAAAATCTGATTTTCTCGCATAGGTTCAACGACATTCTTTATAGTTATCCTACAATAACCTCTCTACAATGCCGTAAAACTTCGTTAAGGGGTTAATCCGAAGTTATATTCGTCCTCTAGACTAATATTTGCTATATTTCACTGGATATCCTAGAACAAGACAATGACTTGATTATGTCAAGAAAAGATTTGTACAGGAACTTAAGGACTCGAAGCGACCTTGAATTATTCTCTCCGTCCTTCGGAGTATACCTCTTACAATGGTCTGTAAGTTGGGAAATATTTGACAAGGCAGGAATACCTAACATGGATAGGATATCCAGTAGAGAGTAAGGATTTGTGTACCATAATCAATATGCATCAACCATAATATATACATGTAGGTGTTTTGCTCAACCCAGGGACCAGGACAAAAATTGCATATGAAATGGAAGTGATTGCATTCCATATCACTCCACAGATCATTCAATTTCTATGTAACGAAACTCTCTATTGGGTATTATTAGTAAAATGTAGAGGACCAATCTCCGACGACGCCACCAAGCAAAAATCAAATATTATCCTTCGCTGCGCGATAAATATGTTGCCGCAGACATTGTGCCTAATATTGTATCATGCATGCAATCAGTCGGTAGCATTGCAGATTCAGAACAGCTTCGTATTGAAGGGCGGGTATGGAAATGTATACATAGTATTTGGGTCCATTTCATTCCGTATAGTGCTTGATTTTTGGGGTGAAAGATCAATATTTCCGTCATTCAGGTGAGGCGGGAATATTTTGTCCCATTCAGACTTGATAAAAGGTTAGTTGGTCCATGATCAGATTTTGCTCGCAGGGCAAGGTTCAACAAAGGCAAAGGGTACGTAGTGAGCAAGAGGAATGCAGAAAAGAACAAGCTTACCCAGTCAATCTCTGGCATCGGCATATCCTCAGAACTAGGAGGAGAAATTTCATTCATCATATACAAAGGCATCGGTGTTTGTACGAAGGAATTGGAGGGACCCGCTGTCCAGGTAGACTTCGGCCCATGGATATCATGCGTAACTTCTCTAATAGGGTCTCCTGCACCAAACTGCGTTGTACTTTCGTTGAAATTCCCTTGTAAGTCATTTCGAGATTCGGTCATGACAGGTATATTGGGAACGCTCCCTTGGCTTTGGAGATGACTATGAGGAGACTGGGTTTGGCGGGCGCGGGCCTGTTCTATGACGTTCATGCCTGGAAGTAATGTCATGGGATTCAGGTTGAAAACCGCACTTGATTCAGGTTCTTTTGAAACAGCATCAATCGAAACAAGAGAATGAGGTTCAGTTTGTCCTTTCTTTATCTCATCAATGTTTGCAGTGTATTTGATTCTCCTCAGTGTCTGATATACTTTCATGCGATCACGGAACTGACGCAAAATATGGTGGGCGTTTCTGCGTCGGTGTTCAATTATTTGGCTTCGAGGTAGGTTTTGTAGGTGGGATGAGTCCTCCACTTCGTATACATATTCCAAACAGCGCCAAATACGATCAGCTTCGCGACGAAGAGGATGGCTACTGACCTCAACCAAAAGCAAGAGAGCGGAGTGGTAATTGTGATATGCGCGGCTATACCATTGCCACGGACGCAAATCCGGAGATGTCTCGAGAGCGATTGCGTCCTCTAGCTGTTGGGTACCAGTGTCAACGATCAGCTGAATGATGCGGTCTGGCATCCGTGACGACCAACTTCTGTAGAATTTATGGAGTAACATGATATGTAGTCGGTGCAACATGAATGACAATGTAACTGATGCAGCACGCTGAAGAGGGGTAATATTGGTTATGTTGAAAATAGGACCATATCGTTCGTATATTGCTTTGCGAGATGATTCAATCTTCGCAAGAGCACCGGTTATAGTGATTTTCTTCTGCTCGAGGCGACTTCTGTCAATGAGGACTTCTCTGAATATCTCCTGGCACTCGAATCGTATGCGAGCGAAAGTCATATCGGTCCACTCTTGGGACTCTTCTTTATTACCTGCTACGAGATCCTCGTCATTTATATTCAGGGGAAATTTGGTGGTGAAGTCTTCACTGCGAATTGACGGACGGGGACCCTGTACTTCTGCCGTGCGAATATCAAGAAAGCATAGCTGATACCATATTAGACGTCTTACGTGTGTTTCCACTGGTGCATAGTTGTATTCCGATGGGTCACGATGCAATCCCATGCATTCAGCAAGCCTAATAGCTGCCCCAACCAAAGCAGAATGCGCTCTTGATATCGACTCCCGACACATCGGAATCTAAGCACGTCCTCGCAATTAACAAACGGTGAAAGGGGAAAAAGTAAAACGGGGGTATCTACTCCACTGACCAGGTACATAACAAATGCTTGTAGTGTCTCGGTTTTTGTAGAGCGCAAAAAATGGGCTTTCCCAAGCGCAGACTCTGTCCCCAATTGAAAACTTTCAATAAGGCTTCGCTGGTCCACACCAAAAATATTCAGAGTATCTGAAGGTGCCATGCTGACGGCCGCTGTGAAAAGAGTGGCAAACACAATGGCCTGGATTGAGGGAGCTGGTTCGATCCCTTGAGCAACATTATCCCACAAAAGTTGATATCTGGCTTCAAATGTTGGGCGATGCATGATTCTCGTAATTGGATGACAAGATTCCCAATATTGCTGTAAAAGCTTGTCAGCCGCGGCCTTTGTTGGTAACAAATTAAGCAACGCGTATTCTTGCAAACTCGGTCCAAGTAGCATGTCTGAGCGAGGGGCGATAAAAGATGGGCCCGGCTCTAAAAAGGGGAGTGGAATTCCTTGGTTTGCAAGCTCAAGAAGCTTCAACACCTCGCTATCGCCATCATCTTTTGGAACTTCATGCCCGGGCAAGTCTTGCATTTCTGACTTAAGATTGGAAGCTATTTCATCCGCCAAGCGAGGGCGTAGAAGACCGCCCAACCGCTCTGTTACTCGCATCTTGCCCAGCTTGATACCAAAGTCAACCATGACGTCGTCTGCCTCATCGTCATACATAGCATCCATCATCGTTACCCCTGACGGCTGCAGTATTAAATCCTCTTCTTCCGCAGGTAAAACGTTCGGGTCCATGTGCTTTTCACCCTCAGCTGGCTGCGTGGTTTGTGTTACCTCCACTTCGAGGGAGCGTTCTAGAGTACCCATACGCTCCTTGAGCTCTGCCAGCTTTAATCTAGTTGCAGAGTCAAGAGACGAAGCAAGAAAAAGGCATTCCCGATTGCCCTTTGAGCAGTTTGTACATGGATGGAGTCGATCGCATTTGAGCTTACGTCGGCGACATTCCAGGCAGGATGTTATCATCCTATTGCGCCGTCGAACCCTCGAAGCAGAGCCAGAGCTCGAGGAGGGTTTAGAAGCTCCATCATCAACCTCCGCACTCCTCGGAAGAGGGCCTTGCGAAGTTTCCATGTTTTTTTCCGGCTTGTAGGAAGATGCTGTTAGAATGATATACGCAAGGGCGCTTACAGCCAGCCTTACGGCCGCAACGGAAGCGGGGTAGGCGAGAAGTAGACAAAGTCGGCGGTCAGCGATCGAATCAAGACGTGCTAAGCCCTGTCTCTTACTCTTGTTTCCTTCTCTTCCTTTTCGCCCAGCCCTTGTCTCAATGCTCGCCGGCAGCGCCTAAACAAGCCGGCACGTGTGCATTGGAGAAACTTTGCCACCGATAAACTCGATCTTGCAGCCCTGACGAATGCGCTACAGTGTTAAGCTCCGGCGTTGTCTAGTGTGCACTGGTCTTCGCGCTTGCGAAGAATGGTGGCGACGTTCTCGGTATTCTGTCCACATCCCATCCCAAAAATAAGAGATGAACAGACAGTCAAAATCAGGTGACTGCCTGGAGGGCCGAGGCAGCGAGGCGGAGGCAAGCGCTAACCCCAAAACGGATTACGCTGTGCAAACTTCCATGATTTGAATATCGGCGCAAGTAATACCAAGTCAAGTCTGATAAGAAGCATTGTTGGCTCTATCGTACTAGGTCATATTTTAGATTCATTAAGATTCAAACTATCTTTTATACAGACATTCGTTATATCACTCATCATCCATAGTCCGCACCCGAATGGGCCGTTCTTCGATCGCCCTTTTCAGATTCCCAACAATCTCCTTGCGGCGTCGAGTGCGTGTGTTCCACCCTTGATTGTCGTGGATTGACAGGAGATCCAATTGAAGATTAACACTGCGAAGTCGGCTGTGTCTTGCCGACCCATTGACGCTGGATTGGAACCGACTAGCAGATTCCGGAGTCTGGTAAGCACTTAGCCCACCGTCCGAATCAGGCGTGTCAGGTACTCGGAAGCCTAACTTCTTCACAGGTGTAGAGATGGGCGACGCCTCTCGACTAACGGAGCTTCGAATGTTGACTCCTAGCCTTTTCATTTGTGCCTCCAAAACATCAATATCGCTGCTCTTGCTCTCAGCCATATTCATCATTGTGGCGATCGTAGACGTCACAGCTTCAACGGTAGGTTTCTTAGTCGCGGCTCGTCCGGATAGGGATCTTTTTGTACCGGAAGAATCTGCAATCCTGGCACGCAAAAGTGAGATTCCTTGTTCCAGTTCTGTCAATTGAGAATGAATTGCAGTAGACGCCTTTCTTAGATCCTGCTGAAGACCCGCCTGTTCAGCTGATAAAGGTTGTGCGCGAATGGAAGCAGTATCCATGTACGAGTCGAGAGTCTTTTGGATATTCGCGCACTGATCACGGAGGTTAAAGATATCATGACCTAAGAGTCGCTGGCATTCGTTAATCGTTTCGTACGCGGTCTTAAGTCGTTGTTCTTCAAGGCGATCGCCCAAAAACTCCAAAAGATTGTCAATATTTTCAATATCAGATACCGAGGTTGTTTGGTCCAAAATATTTAGTGGCGTATCGCTGAATATGGTTTCTTGCCATCCAACAAGATCAGCTGTACGATTTTCTTCCTCGTGTAAAAGATGAGAAGCGATAGAACGCGAATTTAAACCTAATGTGTCCACCATAGAGTTGATATCGCGATACAGTCTCTCAATCTGACCAGGAATACCAGGCTTGAAAGTATCTCCACTATACTCCTGTCGTGGTATAAATGGATCCAGCGTCGGAGTAGGATGGAGCGGTTGCTCCAACTCTCCACGTCTCAACGTATCTTCATCATCGGATGACAAATGCTGAGACTCAGAGGCAAGTCGTCTGCTTTCGGCCATTGTGGCCTTGGATTCTTCCTCGTCGATCAGATCACGTTGGTTGAGTGGTTCTTCAAACCTTGATGCCGGCGGCTTAGCTGGAGTCTGCCCCAGATTACCATATATAGTCCCAGGACCAATTGGAGCGCTGGTCGAACGAGTCTGTTCGGGACGGAGGAAGCCTCTCCTTGCGCCAGGACGCACAGGACTGGGGGACCGAGGGCTTTTCGCACCGCTTCTCAGTTCTGGAGGGGGTATATTTGGCTGGGAAATTTCGCCGAATAAAGGCTTTGATGCCAGCGGCGAACGCTGTGTCTCAGGTAAACTAACTTTCGTAAAGAGGCCCCCAGTAGAGTCCTTAAGAGATGGTCCACCAAAGGAACTCTCAGGAGACGTCTTGAATCCAACAGACTCCGATTCTGTAGGCTCATTCGGGGGACTGAAATCATGGGTAACCTCTTCTCCGCTATCTTCGAAATCGCCGTCTGAACCTTCCGATTCATGCGGAAGAGAGATAGATTCTTCCTTGATAGGTACAGGAGTGGCAGCAACGGATTTTTGCTCCTTCGGCTTTGAAAGGAAATCAGGGGGTAGTGGTATTTCTTCTTCCTGGATTGTCTTTTTGTTGGTGTCTTTTGGCTTCGTCAAGAAATCAGGTGGAAGTGGGGCAGGATCTGTTGGAACAATATCCTTTTGAGTGAAATCAGGAGGTAAGGGGGCATCTTCATATGAACTTTTAGAAACATTTGACGATGCCGATGTGTCGCCTGGTCCATATACGGCTCTGCTTGTGGCATCGGGGGGTAGTGGTGCTTCAATGCTTTTTTCTTTCTCTGAACTGACAGCCGGGACGACTGTTTTCTCCGAGAGAGAAGATAAAGGACTGAGTGGTGTTGCTGCGGTATTACCGCCAAAAATCGAAGTGGAACGACTGGTCTGAGCGGCCAACGGCGTAGTGCTTTGTTGTGATGGAATGCCAAATAGGCCAGATGCCTTGGGAGTTCCTGTCACGGGACTTTGAGGTGCGAAGGAAGCTGAGGGCTGTCCAAATAACGATTTTGGTGGCTTCTCCTGCGATGGTGTTGCAGATACATCTTCTGAGTCATCCATCGATTCGGCGGGGGAACTGACTTTGTTAAGACCATTACCGAGTAGATTGTTGAAGGACGAGCCCAACGAAAATGGCCCTGATGGCTTCGCAGAGGCAGGTTCGTTATCGATAGCAGATTTTTCATCGCGCTTGAAGGTAGATCCGAGACTGAAACCTCCCGAAGGAAGACCAAATGCTGGTTTAGAATCACTAAGAGTTGCTGTAGTACCAAAAGGGGATTGTGCGCTGGGAGACCCAAATACAGACTGCGTTGGTTTTCCAAATGGACTATCCCCAGTTGTCTGTGCGAAAGGGCTTTCTGATGGTTTAGATGAAGCTAGAGAGGAGAATCCATTGCCCTTGGAGAAAGCACTAAATCCACCTCCAGCTGCGGCAGCACCCGTAACAAAGCTTGATTGACCCGAACTCGTTGATGAAAACGCACTGAATCCCTTGCCTCCTAAGCCACCTGTTTGGCCAAATACCGGCTTTGAGCCTGTTCCAAGGCCGAAGCTGCTTTTCCCAAACTGGGGAGTATTTTGGCCCAAAACGCCAGTACTTCCAAAAGCAGGCCCTGGAGATTTACTGGGGGTTGTAGAACTAAAGTTCGTTCCCCCGCCAAATGTTGATGGTGCGCCAAATGCTGGTTTCTGTGACTCGCCTAGAGATGATGTCGAACCAAAGGAAGGTCCGGAAGGTTTTCCAAAGACACTGGACTGAGCCTGCGGCGTCGTACCAAATCCAGTCTGGCCAAAAGATGGTTGGCCAAATGTTGGCTGTATGTTCTGAGCAGGTGTCAATGTAACAGCAGGAGCTGCTGGCGAAGCTTTGATCGGAGTCTGTTGCACAGGGCCCGCAGGCGAAGCGGCTTTATACGACAGCCCAGCTTCGATCGCTTTCATGTAAAGAAACCACCACGACGAAAGTACACCTTCATTTGTGAGGACCATTATATTGGGAAGCGGTGATTTGGTTTCCTTTTCCGCGTCATATATAACGTTCTCAGTACCTGTTAAATCAAGGCCAATACCTATCGTAGACGTCTCCATAGACTCCTCATTCATAGGCAGCGCTGCTCGCCTTGTGTCATCAATTACTGATGTTGTCGTAAAGATTCCTGTACTAGTTTCATCTGCATCTTTAAATGGTGTTGTAACCCTTGTAATCAATCCGACATCGGTTGACGCTGTGGATGAAACAATCAAAGCATCTTGTAAGCCAGGGTCGTAGTTGCTGAGTCGAGTCATAAATTGATATGCAGGGGTCCTCTTGAGACCAAAAGGTGCACATAGAATAGGTAACTGTCGGTACAAGAAAGGGGCATTTGGGCGTCGCTGTATGACATAGTAGTCTGAGTCAGGTGCCATGCCGCTTTCATCTTCACTTTCATTAGGAGTATAAACCGCGACAAACACGTTGTTCTCCACCCACGAGATTGAAGACACTAAGTAAATTAGCCTCTCATAATAGATACGTGCACATGGAGTTTTAAAGGAACGCTCACCGTGTTTGTTGCCATCCAGGGCCGGGGGACGGGGTATCTCCGCTTTGACGGCACCCTTTGGATCTAATTGAATACAGCTCCCATCTGCAAGGCCAGCGACCATCTGCTTCCCCTTTGTGCTCCATGCAACAGAAGCGACTCCGCTTCTGAATACAAGCCCTGAAGGGCCATTGACTAGGGAACCTGTCTTCAGATCCGCAAGCAGAAGATCGCCATTGGCAGTGACCAAGGCGATAAAAGAAGAGAGTGACTCGCTTTCAGGCGCAGGGTTTGGAGCCAAAGAGCGAACTGGGCCATTGATCTGAATTGACATCTGAGGCTGCGGATTTCCGGTTCCAAGGCTCGCCGCATCATAAACGGCAATCTGGTTATGTGATTCTGTAGCTACAGCTAACGCACTATCAGCTGCACAAAATGCAACATGCGTTGGACGACTGGGCAACGAGATTTGTCCTTGAGGCTGGAATGGTTTTGTTTTCGAACCGGATCCGGTTTTCGCGGAAATTGCTTCACGAATCGACTTTGTCGTAGCTAAGACCAATCCGTCTGGACCACCACCAATTACCAACCCTTTCGTGGATGAAATTGTCAATAGGGAGCTCGTGGGTTGAGGTAGGGCATCGGCGGGCCAGGGTGTGGGAAGAAATTGAATATTGCAATCTTTGTCAACTCCCAAAAATCCGACCTCCTATAAAGAAACGACTTGTCAATATAAAGCAGACAGGACAGGAACAATTTAGAAGCATGCGTAATGTACCGAAGTGTCAATCTCAGGGAGTTCGGGGCCCGACTCTACCTGCGCTGTGGCGGTAGGGGCACTGTTTCCAAAGCCGAACGACATCTTCAATTTAGCCAAATCAGCAGAGACCGGGCGTATCTTATTTTCGCCTAGAGAAAAGGCGTGCCTGTGTACATTGGGAGATGAAAATCTTCCAGACGACGACGAGAAGGAGCGACGACGGGGTGGTTGAGGGCTGCGGTTGAACAGCTGCAAGGTATGGTGGAAAATGTTTGTTGACCTTCCCTGCTGACTGGGGAGAGGAATTTTGAGCGCGGAAATGAAGCTGATTTAAAGCTCGAGTATGTGATAAGCAGGCGACTTGTTCGATATAGAAGCGCAGTCAGGGAGAACTTGCGCAGATAAGTGTTCAACGAGGAAATAAAAGAGTATGACCGCGTCGAGCTCCTCAGAACGTGTTTGCCGCTTTTTGCCGCCCGAATTTTGCGATGCCTCAGGATTTAGGCAACGAACAGCAAGAAGCATATGATTCACGTCAATGTGAGTCAATGGGCTATATTTCAACATAGAGGCTAGCGGTAGACTAGATTAAATTTTGAATAAGAAAGAATAGTGGTATGCCATTGTCTATCATGTCGGCGCAGGTCTTCTTAGGCGGGAGGAAATTGATGCCTATATTCTAAGGCCTGTACTAAGGTGCCTGCCTGGGAGCTTGGCAAGGCTGCCAGAGCTTCGTCACGCAGCTCTCCGTCTCGCGCTTCAGCCATCTACCATCAGCTCACCGAACTGCGTTTCAAGCCTCCCCCTGCTTTTCTTCTATCAATATTTTCATATTTGGAATCCTCCCAGGCGTTGATACAGTTGACAAAGAGCACCGAGCTGCAACCTACTATTTTCCGGAGATTCATTGCGTCTGGCCGCTGAGCCCTGTCAAATCAATATGCCAGGCTTCGACTTCACCAACTACAACCGCAATGCGGCCCTACACGCCAGAGGTGCCCCTTTGCCAAAAGCCACCAGTACAGGTACAACTATTGTTGGATGTATATACGATAAAGGCGTGGTGGTAAGTGACATTGGTAGCTGGGCCAGATCGGAGAGGTGGCTCCATGACAGGGCACCCACAACGAAACCTCTTCCAAAATTACCCTCTGACTAATACATCATTTCCAAAAAATTGCAGATTGCAGCAGATACACGAGCCACGAGTGGACCTATTGTCGCCGATAAAAACTGCGAAAAGCTCCATTTCATCTCTCCCCAGATTTGGTGTGCGGGCGCAGGTACAGCAGCCGACACGGAATTCACAACGGCTTTAATCAGCTCCAACATTGAATTACACGCTCTCTCAACCGGTCGACCTCCGCGTGTGGCGACTTGTATGACGATGCTGAAACAGCACCTTTTCCGATATCAAGGACACATTGGGGCCTACCTTGTGGTGGCCGGTGTTGATCCGACAGGCACACACTTATTCACCGTGCACGCACACGGCTCAACTGACAAATTACCCTACGTGACCATGGGCTCTGGTTCACTCGCTGCCATGTCGGTGTTTGAGTCCATGTGGAAGCCCAATCTTGATAGAGAAGGGGCTATTGCGCTCTGCTCCGAGGCTATTTTAGCCGGTATCTTCAACGATCTCGGCTCCGGTAGCAATGTCGACGTGTGCGTGATTGAAAAGGACCAGCCTTCGCAGTTACTGCGAAACTACATTAAACCTAATGAACGTGGTCGCAAGCAACGTGATTACAAGTTCCCGCGGGGTACTACCTCTTGGCTCAAGGAGAAGGTTATCAAGAAGGAAGATATTGGAAAATATGTTACCATTCAAGAACTGGGTGAGGGCGAGGATTCTAATGTCGTTGAGAGGATGGAGGTTGATTCATAGATTTTATGTACAACGTTATGTATCCTTCCGTTCTAACAACAGCTAATTTTGATTCTCGATTGCAACAAGTGAATTGATATAAAATTCTCTTACATTCCTCGTGTTAGTCACTCTTTAGGAAAAAGGCAAAAAATTGCTGTTGTCCTTTTCAAATCACCTGGGCATGGTTTACAAAGACAGATATCTTATATTTTTATTTACTCCATACGTACAGATAAGAACGTAAGGGTAATATCTCTATATGTATATATACAACGATCAAATAGGAAATACAAGATGAAAGGATATCACCCCCAATATATATGCACAATCAGTGCACAGTTTCGAGAAACGATCCATTGAGCAACCCACGGACTGCTTCCGGTTCTTCATGTCGCCGCACAACATGCATAACATAGTCTTCCTGGGCCCTGGATACGTGCAGGCCACTCTGAACAAACCGCGTGACACCACAGTGGTACATAGCGCGTGCAAAGTTTGGTTGCACGGGGCCATTGTGCACGATTAAGTAGCGGTAGAGGTATGATACAAGATTGAAAGCTGCTCTTGGGCTCACTTTATCTGACGTCGCAATGGTTGCTGTCAGGAAATGGATGAAGGACACGCAGGCTTGAGGCTCGAGATATAGTTGTTTGCCCTTTGATTCTAGCCTTAGAATGGATTTGATTCGTTTGGTATTGGGGACGTTGTTGTTGATGTCTTTGCGAGCGCTTGCCATAGCCAGTGCGACTTTTAGTGGCGTGTGGAAGGATATTAAAAAAATGATCTGGCGCATTGCCCTGTTATCCTTTTCGATCATTGAAATCATATCTTCAATGAAACTGGGGCTGGTGACGTCGACATTTTCTATTACCCTCAGATGAGAGGACAGGAGATAGAATTTGGTCGAGTTGAACACGTGCTGTTGCAAGGCAGCCTGCTCTAGAGTGATTAGTCCTTCTTCAAGTTTTCGGAAAGACTGCAGAGTTGAGGCATTCTTTATTTGCCTGTGGCTGAGAAGTGTGTAAACCTTTCTCAATACTTGATTCGAGGGGACTTGAAGCTTTTGAAGGCCTACAATCAATTTCGGTAGTAGTTCGGTCCTATTACCATGAGATCGCCACACAATACTTGTTGTCGCATCGTCGAAGAGTTTTAATATAGAAACCCCAGTAGCATGTGCTTTCTTTGATTGAAGGTTCACTGGTTGGGACCGTGTAATTCTTCTGTGTGGTGTAGTACTCAATGCACTCCAAGTCCAAATTCGGAGGGCAAACCTCAACCCTTTGGACGCCTTCAAGGAATCAGATCCTTGTAACTCGGACCAGGCCTGTGACGAAAGTATTGAAGGCCTATCAGTGTGCATAACACAGTGCCGGAGTGCCTTCAGGGCTTGGCTACGAAGCGGACCATCCCGTCTTAAGAAAGCCAAATTCTCGGCCATCAGAATGATATATTTCGCGGCCACATCTACACTCAATTGTCTCAGCAGATCTGGCAGAATCTCAGCAGATTTCCCTGTGGAACTGGCAAAGTTGTCTTCGTGGACAAGGTATCGCAGTAGTATATTTGCGATTGAATTCGAAGGCGTTTGCTCATAACGATGATAGGTCACGATAATATCGTTTGCAAATTGTAAAGAGGGTTTGTCGCCAAACATCAATGCCCGGTCAAGGGATGTTTCAAATATGCCGCGGTCAAGTCCCCCTCTGGAAGATAGTATTTGAAAAACTCGGGATGACATTGAAAGGGAAAGAGTCCTCAAAGAATCATAGTATGCAAGCAGAATTTCTCTAGCTAGACGCAGATATCGGTCATCATTGAATGTCATTAGCTGCTCAACCCATGGCTGAAGAAGACTGTGGTAGATCTCATGTAGCTTGAACACACTGCATGACTGTACCGATCCCCAGATATCGTAGAAGGTTTGAATCAAAGTTCCCGTTTGACGAGACCATTCACGGCCACATATCGAGGCTGGTAAGTATCGCAGGATCGGAGTGATTTCCGTGATAGGAACAAGGCCCAGGCCTATAGCTTTCGTAACAGTGTCAACGAGCATATTTTTGGAGCTCGTGTCAAGGCTGGAAATACTGAGACGTTCGAACAAATCTGCGTAATTCCCCACTCCATATATATTCAGACTCGCATCATTCATAAACTCGATCAGGTTACGAATGCCGGATGTGTCGTTTGTTATAAAAGCCAATTTATAAAAATGGCTAAATATCATTCGACTACATTCCGGATCCTTTCGAAGATCGATCTGATACCATTCCAATGCCTCTTTAACATCCTGTATAGTTTCACATACTATCAATGATGATGCGAATGTGAGACTCTCGGCCACAGTCGGATTTGCTATAAAGTTCGTGGTTTCGGAAGGTGCAACCCCGGAGCTATCTCCATGAGCGAGAAATGAGGGGCCGGGAGGCGTCGGGGGTTGGTCAGAGTATGAGAAAATTTCTTAAGGAGAAATCAGTAATCAATGAGTCTAGAAGTTGGATTGATTGCGTACCCAAGGGCTCAGGCCAGCGTGATGACCACGGCGAATCGTCCCATTGGCGTAAATGTCCCTTGCCATTGGCGCCGAACAAATGAGCTACATGAGCAGCGGGGTCAAATGAGCTTCCTGTCACAGCCAAGGCAGTGTTCCTTCGTTTGGCGAGGCGATTTCTAGCTTCCAATGGCCCAGGAACGCGACTTCCGTAACGACGCTGGCCTTTCACAAACCTCCGGAAGGTCAAGGAAAGAAGCTCGTCGCTAATCCAGACATAATCCAGGCGAGACGGTACATGCTGTAGCGCATGCCTACAGGCATGTCCACTGACAGACATGTGAGAGCACAATAATGGAAAGCGGCGTACAATTGGCCGACGCTCGAGGTTGGTAGCTCTACAGTTGTTGATGCCGTTTTGCATCGGCGATGTTGGATTTCCCAGCGCCGGGTCTTGGCAACTGACTCAGCATGAGCTCGAGTTGACCAATCAAGGCGTAGCTCGCGATTTACCGCGCCTGCATCATTCTGCCACCTGGGACCGCCTATATGACGCTAATGAAATACAAGACGAGTAGTAATTTACACCAAGCGTCTATTTAGGGTCAGAGCCCTTACCTCATTAGGTTAGAGGTTACACTAGTCTTGGTGGTTGTTTCTACTTTCTAGAGTATTTTATCGACTATAGTGGGGTCGCGCTAGCCAGACTAAGATTAGTATAATCATATCCTCTCAACAATACGCTTAGAGTGTCGCCATATATCTATGCTCGATTACTGCAAGCTTTGACACTGCATTATTACGAGGCTTGGGCTGGATGCATTATTGGTAACACAGAAAAACATGTCGAGTTGCATGTGTAAGCACGCGTACATTATCCACCAGCGGTCAATACATCGCACTTCACGCATCCAAGCGCTTCACTGCATGTTGACGTGTTCTGCAGCAACAGTCCGGGAAAGGTTCGTTTCAGAGCAGGAAGATATGAATCAAAATTATGTAACTTGAGGGAGTAGCTACTGTGTCATGGAGCGGATGAAAGCTGCCTCAAGAACTGACAGGCTAACAACACCAACCTTGTCTAGCAGAGAAGGGGAAAGGGGTTGCGTTCAAGATGATAGACTTCGAGTATATCTCAAGCTTTCAAGGTTCGCTGGGAAATAATTCACTCAAATGCAGCGATGGAAGAATAGCGACAAAGGAATGACCAGTTCCACAAGGCAAGACCAGGTAAAACAGGGAAACCCTGTCAAAAGAAGAAAGCAATGAACTCCAATGAACTCAAGTTGTCCCGAGCACATGGAAGCTGTCGCTAAAATGGTTATTTTGGTAATAATTTTCACACTGGGAAGAACCCGAGGATACCAACAAACATCCATGCTATTGCCAATATGAGAAAAGGAAAAAAGAAAGGGAGGGAAAAAGTGGCTCTCGGAGGCAGTACTTCGCACATGTATTGCTGAGCCAAGAACCAGCTACTGCAAGACGATGTTTCTTTAAGTCTGCGTGTCAATGCAAGTCCTACATCATAGAACCTGTCACAAATATCTTTTTTGCTTTTTTGACAAGGCAAAAATATGCGGATTTTGGGCTGTTCAGTGTTCACTAACTTGGCTTGTGGACATTTACTGTTACTATAATGCCAGACAAGTCATACTTAAGGTGAACGCCGCCGGACGATCATAATATAGATTGCTGGCGTTATTTTCAACGAGACCGGCTATATAGGCGGATACAAAGAGGTAGTCGGGCATGCTTGCTTGCATCAAATTATTCTGGTATTAGCCATGTAGCCAGGGAACTAAACAAGGTAGGTGGATTGAGAAGGAGACTATCCCGAGTATCTGGTTAAGGGCTTGTCATTTTGCATCATCCTTAGCAGACTGTCGCCGTGCGGAGTCAAAAAGGGAGAAAGCACAAGGATGTGGGCAGTCTGCTTTGAAATTGTATTGTTCCACGACTTAAACGAGATCCGTTGTCAAATCTCCGTCCTTTTCCTAGCTTGTTCCAACATGGTGGTGGTGACGATACATACATAGGGGAAAGTAAAGATAGGAGCTTGTCCGTTCACAAGTTATATTACTACTAACTACCTAGCTATATATCTTATATGCGCTGACTATGCTATATAGGTATGTAGTATGCAGCAGTATTTAAAAAACAGCGTACCTACATACATTCATAGACACGCATGAAGACCACCGGGGCAGGTGAGGTGATATATCAGTTTGTCAGTGATAGTTAAATTGAACACCTACGTATATCTCTGCTTTGCTACCGCGATATGAAGAGAAACATAAGGCAAATCCCCATCGGGTGTCTAATGACTTATCAACCTTTCTAGGCATGTTCTTGTTAGCCTGAATTACGAAGATCATAGAGCGTACTACCTAGATAATCAACATTCCCAATACACAACCAGTCGTATGGTGGCTATGATGGTCTTTACGTACTGTTATTACCGTTAGAAAAACATAAAGCCGACTGCCTGGTTGTTTGATTCGCGAAATTCAGAAACTCCGCTCCATTGTACAAGGTTAGTCCATCTCCGGGATGATAGTATACAAAATGGGAGCCCTAATTAGGGTTAGTAATTCTTCTACATATTCACCCGAATGGGAAAAGCTCGCTTAACTGCATCTACCAGCACTTCTACTGCGTGTCGAGAGAACTTCGATTCAATTGTAAATGCTGCATCTGATATCACGGTGCCTATCTCGGGGCGTTGAACCAATAATCATGTAACTGAACCCATTAACTATTGGAATACATAGATTAGATCCACACAGAATGGTCTAAAGGTAACACGGCCTTCCTCGACTTTCGAAACGTTGGTCGCCAAGGAAATACTCTCACTCCTATGGGCTCAGTTACAAGCCCGTACTCAGTGAGAAAGGAATTGCGTTAGCGATTATTTGAGGATTAGCTATTGGCAAAAAATGATAGCCACCGATGGAAGTATTTAGAGCAACATTGAGAGGTATTAGCAGGTTGTCCGGTTTCCGTGACCTTGTGCCTGAGTCTCTCCTCTCTGTACACTTGGTGGTGCCAAATAAACTATCACAACGGCATCATAAAACTTGGAACTGAGAATTGTCGGCTTCCCTGAGACATACATGGTGCTGGCTTTAACTTCACCTTAACTTCGGGGGGCATATCGCATTTGCAGGGGTTTGCTAGCAATCATGAAACTAGCCATGCTAGATAATCTGATAGTACTATCTACATACGTAGATTGTTCTTGGCTTCGCGGTAAATAATCCATTCACATTGAGTGTTTTTATACATAAATAGTTCAGGTGGCCAAAAGATTCTAGACTTTCATCCGGAATTATGCTTAATTTCCGAACTGCCTTAGCGCAACGCATATTGATTATGGGGCTTCAATGGGACGATATAATTGGATGGAAACGAATTCTCAAATACTATTGGCTGCAATGTATGCGAGCCTGCTACTGCATCAGGACTAGTGTATGACGTCAACTCATTGCTTCCACTAGTCCTAATTTGATCAAGCTGTCAACCAAGCCCTAACTTGCATCGAACAAGCTCACAAGCTCGTTCAGTTGATGTTCCCTAAAGATATTATTCCATATAAAATCAAAAAATACGGTATTTTGAGCTGAGTCGCCTGAGGAGAGCAGAATGTGTTGTAGCGAGCGCATATCTACGGATTCGTTCGTATAAACGCATCTACCCAGCGTCTATGAATTGGAAATAGTCATACCTCTGGTCATGAAGAGTCCTGCTCAATTTCAACTAGCATCATCAAGAAGGACATGTCTGCTAATGGAAACAGGTATCATATTAGATTGTTTATATAGGAGTGAAGGGTGGTCGAATCACTAACACTTAAATGGATTAATATACTGGAGTGCTCTTCATCTCCAAATCAAACTCATTCCTGAGTATATTGACTGGCGCCCTGCGAGGGTTCTCGTTTGTCATGGCCAGATTCGACTGTAGTACGGAGCAGTAAGTAGTAATTACAAGGTATTAAGACCGAAGCCATGTAGTTAGGTATGGGGGATCGGCGCGCGATGGCTTAAGTACGACAAGCGCACGTAAACCGACACCCTAACTCCGAGGTATGTATGCAATAGTGAGCAATGTATTCAACTCCAGCAAGAGGTATGCGCGGGAAACGACGGTAACCCCGGACGGCGATAAACCTGACTGTGCTTCTTCGTCTTCTAGACAACATTTCAGCATGTAGTGATTAGTATGTATTATTGTCAAATGCCCACCAGGATGTTGGTTAGTCTTATCGTGGGTTAAGCTTGCTTTCTCTGTTTCTGCGTTGACATGGACGTCGAGGTAGAACCCAAGGTGTGCCTCCTAATGGCGGTGCTCGTGTATGGATGGTCGCCTTAGGGGCCTTTGCTGCGCAGATGTCTGTTATCACTGAGTTGAGATTTTCTGGGCTGAAGCTAATTTGACTTTTCTCTTCCAGGTGCACGTTTGGATTCATCAATACGTTTGGGTTTGTTTGTCGAGACACCCCCAGGTCCCTGAACACAGCAACTGTTGGCTGATTCTGCTCGAAGTGTCTTTCAGAGTTATTACTCTGCCACTTACCTGTCCGACTACTCGGCTAGTTCTATCTCATGGATTGGGTCCCTTCAGGCCTTTTTCTTGTTCTTGTTTGGGACAATGAGTGGTCCCCTCTCGGATCGTCTGGGGGTGAAGGTGAGCAGCAGAGCTACAAGCTGGTGTGCTCAATGGATCATTCCTCGAGCTAACTAGCTTCATAATTCCTAGATGGTCGTCATTCCCGCTGGAGCTACTCTAGTTTTCGCTGTGATGATGACTAGCCTTTGTACTGAATACTACTAGTTCATTCTCGCCCAAGGTGTCCTTGTTGGAATTGCCTGCGGTATGATCTTCACTCCCGTAGTCTCAACTGTAGGGCAGTACTTCACCACTCGTCGCGCTTTGGCCATGGGTATTGTCGTTGGCGGTGCTGCAATCAGCGGCATCATATTCCCGATCACACTCAACCGACTTTTGAACACGAATAGAATTGGTTTCGGATGGGCAGTTCGTGTGGTCGGGTTCATCATGCTTGCTCTTCTTACTTATGCAGCAATTACCACAAAGGAATTTGCTCCTCGACGCAAGAATAATCTCTTTCTTTTCGTGTTTTAGTCTGTCCAAATCCCAGCGATATAGGCACGTACGTCGGTCAAGGCCTCGCAGTTTGCAGCTTTGGGGCGCTTGCAGGAACCCCGATTAACGGCGCTCTGATCAGGCAATACGGCTACCTTCCAGCCTCTATGTTCAGTGGTGCAGCTCTCATAGTCGGGATGATTTGCCACATTTCTGCAAGACTTTTGCTTGACAAACGGCTTTTCGTGGTGGTATGATGTATGGCATTCAGTCACTAAAGTGGAGAAGAAAGTTAAAGGTATATGGTGACCGCCTCAGGAGCACAAATTACTAGTATCTACCTAGATACATTTACTCTTAGCGATTTTCAGGGACCTTCATGGCAAAGAATGGCGACCTGGCTGTTGTGATTGTTGGTGCCGTGGATATTGCCGATACTCTCGTGATATAAACGCGATAATGACAACAAAATCTCAAATCAATACGAACAGGATGCTATTGGTTATGTCCATGCATACCCTGTTATCAATTAACTTGCATTATTCAGGTATCTACTTGTCTTGATACTCTCCTGCACAAGTGAAATGCACATGGTAGAAATTTCACCTTAGCAGCCCAAAGCCAATCGATCGACAATGATCTGGTCTGGACTCTCTTCCGATGAACCAGCTAATTAACTGACTCAGAACCTGCCAAGGCACTAACGGCGCGCCTAAATCCTCACGAGTCAGCCATCGAATAATTTCCCGAATAGGCAATTCTACAGCCAGCGTACGACGTACGTATTCACCTTTCGTGGCCAGGGATCAAGTAAGCTCCACCCAACACGCTTATGCATGCCACGAACTTAGTTCAAACGGCCTGCTTAATTTTTTTGTTCCTATTTTTGAGGAAAGCAATTAAATCCAGAAGAAAGAAGACGCAACTAGCCTCTAGCACGCACGACGGAGAACGCCGCGGACCCTCGGGGTTTTCGGCTAATTTTCCGGTTGTTTGCTGCTTTGCAGCACGGATTCGCACGACGCACCGAGTGCTCCGCATAGCGTACAGAGTCCTCCGTAGCCCTGGGGCGGTTCTAGTGTTGCTGTATAAAGCCTAGACACATAGTCAATTCTCTTCAGGAGACAGGAGATGAGATGATGTATGAATTAGTACATTTTCTATCCGACATTCTCACGATATGGCTCGGTAATAACGTGAAACGAACACTTTCAAACTTCAATAGTGCCGATGAAGCTTTTTTATTTTTAAAATTGGATCTGTTCTTTGCACCGGGTCCATCCCTGTTGGCAAAACCGCACTGTTGGGTCGCGTCTCCATCGTTGCTTTTTTCCCCTTTGATTCCATGCCAGCATCCAGGATTTGGTCTCTACTCCGCACCGTCGAACACATCAGACGTGATTTCACGTCGCCATTGACATCCAGCCCATTGAGAGATGTCTTCTTACCAGGATGGTTCAGTCAGGATTAGAACTGCTGTGTAACTGAGAAAGGCCCAACCGGAGGGAACCATCGGCTTAAATTAGGCTTCCCTTAGCGGCCCGCTTGAAAGTGTTCTTTGGAACTTCCATAGGTCTGCCAAAAAGCGGTCTATCACAAAAAGGAAGTACGTACGTCTATCCTCATGCGGTGTGCGCTGGATACACCAGCATCAGGTCCATTCCCAGGAATTCAGTCGGAAATCCCAGCATGCTGGGCCCCTACCCTAGTGTCCGGTGTCAGTGCAGGGGCGTTAACCCTACGCCGTGCTATAATTTAGGACTACGCCCCTAGGGCAAACTACCAAATTAGCTGCTGCCCTAGTCCCTCCGACAGCAGACACATGCAACGGTGCCATCGGCTGGATTCTTCCTGCAGCCTTTGACAATTTGCATGCACACGATATATTAATTGCCTGGGTACGCAGCACTCGGTTGCAACCAAGTCCGGCCTGCATGTCATATAGATCTCTCTCCCGTGGTCGGCACGGAGGCATTCTTCCTTGGTACGTTAACATGATGTAGAATTTATTGTTCTTATGAAAGAACTGGGTACCGGACTTAGCTAGGGACGTCTAGTAAACGATTACTCATGCATCTGCTGCCAGTGCGTGCCTATACTATCCCAAATTAGCACTACTCTAAGCTATCATCGTCGATCTTTTTTCTCAAGTCTTGGGCGTGCATGAAGGAGCTTGACGTATGATCCTGATCCTTGTTGATTTATCATGCGTGTTTAGAGCGTGGACTATAGTTACGTAGTACGGAGACACATACTGTCATAGCACAAGGATGGACAAAAGCCAAGAATGAGGCCAATGCGACGCATGGGCATATATATACTCACAGTACAGAACACTCCGTACTGTCAATACTATCAGACGGTAGGAGTAGAGAAATTTAACAGCTCACAAATCCCACTTCGTACAGCTAGCCATAAAGGCAATCCGGCACTCTGGGCCCGACTCCGTATTGTTCTTAAGCCTTCCTATTTCCCCGCCCGAGTCCTTCTTTTCTCTTGGTCTCGGTTCTTTTTCTTTTCTTTTTCACTTTCCCGCATCGCCTGCAGTCGTGCATAATAGAATTGTTACTTGTTCGGGCTGTGTGCATGGCCTGTGCCAGTCTCTCGGGTAGCCATGCAAGCACATATAATACTATACAAACAATCCGTACATGTTGCAGGTAGCATGCAAAATACAAGCGTACACATCTACGTATTACTATTATTTCTACGTTAGTCTTCTCGTAACTTGGGACTTGACAGGCCCTCCCCACTCTGTCGCTTTCATCAGAACCAGATCCACGGTACAAAATGGATGCTCCACCAGCCAGCGCTATAATAGTAGAAGACATTAGATGGGGTCCTGCTCGTTTTCTCTGCTTTCTGTCTGTTCTACGTGCTTCTCACGACTCTTCCTCTCTATCCACAGGACTATTTCTATCTATACCTATATATATATATATTTACACCTCTTATTTGTTCTTCTCGCCCTTTCGATACCGAGGACGCTAATCAGCTAGCCTAATCGCCATATCAATCGGTGGCCTTGACTGTGTTGGATCGTCTTGGAAATGGCCATGACGCCTGACGTGAGTGCTCCTTTCTTGCCTGCCTATATCCCATAGTCTTAAGTCTAAATGTCTAATCGGACAACAGGACTCATCTACTTGGTTAGTCCGGCTTCTTGATTCTCCGAAAAAAAAAAGGCGTCGATTATCTAGCCTCCAGCAAGTGACAATAATTCTAACTCGCTGGTATGCAGTGACACCCAATCTCTAACGGAAAGCGTAACCGCATTTCCAATGGAGAATGGACGAACATATCATAAATATCATGAGGGCTGTACGCTTTTTACGCTTTCCCCTTCCTAACCATCCCTTTTTTGGCCGTTGTCCTATACCATATTGACTCTTTTCAGTATATCCCTACCCAAACGACGAGCAGGAGCTGGACCGACTCGATATGCAGCATCATATTTGGAAGCAAATCAATGATAACAAATTGCATTTTGCCCCGTTGCAAGATCCCAAACGAATCCTGGATATCGGCACCGGCTCAGGGATCTGGCCCATAGAGATGGGTACGCAACTTTTCTGTTCACAAGCATAGTTTTCTTCTCCCCTTCTTTTAACATGCCTTAGCGAGCATTTTCCCCGAGGCAAGTATCACCGGCACAGATTTGTCCCCCGTCCAGCCCACCGAGGTCCCCCCAAACGTGCACTTCTTAGTCGAAGATGCAACGGAAGAATGGCTCTGGGACGCCGACTACTTTGACTACATCCGGCTCAACAACATGGCCGGCGCGCTCCCCTCCAGCCGAGACCTAATCCAGAATGCGATGCGCGTCCTCAAACCGGGCGGCTGGCTAGAATGGCACGATATCGACATCACCCCGCGATGTGACGACGGCACTTTGCCACCCCCCAATCTAGATGGTGGTTACAGCCAATACGCATTCCACGACTGGCTAGAGATGCAAATCAAAGCCGCAGAAGAAGTGGAGCCATTTCGAGAAGTCCTCATCGCCGACAAGCTGGCGGCCGAGATGAGAGAAGAAGGCTTCGCAGACGTTACTGAGCGTGTCACAAAGGTCCCGATAAACCCCTGGCCAAAGGACCGCCGATTAAAGACGCTGGGTGCATGGTATGAGGAGAACTGGCTGGTTGGCCTGTCGGCATACACATACAAACCGTTTTTGGCGCTCGGCTGGACGAAGCCTGAAATCGAGGTGTTTCTGGTTTCCGTCCGGAAGTGTATTAGCAATCGACATATTCATGCATATCACAATTTCCATGTTGCGACTGCGAGGAAGCCTTTTCCTGGCGAACAAAATAGATGATATGAACTCTGGGACGAGGCCAATCCCTTTCTTACACACACACATACCTGATCGTTCTCAGGTATCACACTCGTCGATATTCTCTCTTGCACACACATCAGAGAAGAAAGATTACGACTTACTACGGCTTAAAAAAATAAAAAGAAAAAGATAACTCCTGATCTTTCTATATTTTTCGGTTTCCTTAAAAAGAAGTTTGCGACCCAAAGAAATTAGGCGTTCTCGGACATCAGGATCGATCCGTGCATTATATTCACGTACCTAGGTACAGGAGTTTTTGATTAAATGCAAATAGATACCCATAAGTCAGCAACTACTATTATGCCTACTATCAATTAGTTACGCAATATCACGATACTACAATACTGACGCCTTGTTACCAAGGAACCTTGGAGATGGACGCCCGGTATATCTATACAAAGTATAGGGGGCACTAAGCCTTTTATCAAGGTCATGACATGCCTGGCACATATAGTCACGTCGCTCCAGAGCTGAACGTTATCCTGTTGATGTCATGTGACGCACTTGCCCTAAGTAGAGATAACGTCGACGCCCAAAAAGGGAGCGTGCTGCAAATAGGTGCCTAATCCAAGACCGGCAATGCATACGTAGACAGGCATGCTAACTCTAGGTTATAGGTGAATGGATCGTATGTATTGACTCTAATTTAGCTGATTACATGTACACATGCACGTATATATATTCCAGATATATTTAGTTTATAGGTAAGAACAGACTCTAGGATTCTTAACTTTATATCCCATCCCGTCCTAACCCCCACCGACCAACCTCACGCATCGCCTCTTCGCCGCCCTCTGCCAATCGTCCATTTGCATTCGACGCATTGGCATCACCAAGAACCCCCGCCACGCAGTGCCATCCGTTTCGTCCACCACCCCAGCGAAGCACTTCGTTCTTATAGCGTTCTCCAGCTTGCCGATCAATCGACAGCTTGCCCGCTTGGAACACGTCCTGCCAGATCTTGTTGGCAATCGCTCGGTCAAATATATAACTGTAGTACGTAGCGCCATAGCCGTATAAATGCCCAAAGAACCCTTGCCAAGATGTCAGAGGGTTGCTGTCCTGGGGATCGGGAAGAGAGCAATGCGTAGAAAAGACCTGGTGGTAGATACCAGTGCTGTCGATGGATCTCTTACTTCCATTACCCGCTGCTAGCGCATGATACGCTTGGTCGACAAGCGCCATTAGGATTTGCGCTTCGTTCTCAACTGCCCCGTAGATATTCCCGTTTGCTGCGCGATCTGCCGCCATGCTTTGCATCATGTTCTCCGATAAAGGTTGGTCGCTCTCCCAGTGTCGTGCATAGAGTGAGAGAACTTCTGGCGCCGTGGCAAAGCTCTCCATGAGCACAGATGGCAGCTCCGCAAAGTCAGTTGAACATCTTGTACCTGAGATCGACTGCAGTGGCGTCTGTCCAAGTACGGAGTGTACTGCATGTCCCATTTCGTGGAATAGTGTTCTCACGCTATGTTCGGAGAGCAGCGTGGGCGGACCGTTACCAGACACTGGTGGCTCCGGGAAATCGCAGACAAGAGCAATCGTAGGTAGTTGTCGGAGAGTATTCGAACCTGGAATCATTGCCGTAGCCATCCCATCGTTAGGATGAGACGGGGGGTCCATTGCTGCTGATTCGGCGATTTCATCCGCAGATATTTCACGCGCACACCGAAGCGTAAAATGAGCTGGATTTGGACTCTTGTTAGGCCGCGTAAACAAATCACAATATATCACAGCAATGTGCTGCCCCGACTCGTCAACGACATCCAATCGGCGAACGTCAGAATTCCAAGTTTCCCCTGGAAGTGTCTCCTGTGGTACTAGCCGCAGTCCATACAGACGATTCCAGAGGCGTGAAAGACCTTGCATCACGGTCCCCAGCGAGAAGAACTCCGGAACTCTGCTCAACTCACGAGATCGTCGAGCCATCGCATAGTCCAATACACGCTTCTGAACGTAGTATGCATGATCCCACGGCTGTAGTGGTGATGATCCCTTAATGCGCTGAAGCTTGGAAAGCTCTTCCTGCACTGGAACGCGGTTGTTATCGATAAGAGCCGTCAAGAAGTTGGAAACCGCCTCAGGCGTTTTGGCCATTTTATCGCTCAATGCCATGTGAGCATATGTAGTATATCCCGACAATTTGGCCAGTTCCGCTCGCTTCGATAGAAGCTCTTCTAGCCGATGAATTTGACGTTTGCTCGATGTTCGTGTCGCCATATAAACTTCCCTCCTAGCTTGTTCATTGTGCATAGATCTGAGCGCTAATCTAGGTTCCATGCCCCAAGTCGGAATAGGGACACTGTTCCACCTCTGTAACTGATGCACAACCACGGGATCTAAACCCTGAACACTGCTCTTGCTCAGCACAACATGTGGCCTCGCCGGTTCAGCTCCGTTGGCAAAATCAGAGCCCAGCTGGCTGATATCGTTGGACAGGTTGACGAATCGCTGTCGATCTTTCGGGGGCATGTGGATTGCGGAATTTGAAAAGTCTTTGATCAGTATTTGAGCAACCATTTTCTCGCCTTCGGTCCAACTGGATGTTACTTCGGGGGTAGCTGCTGCCTTCTTCAACTGGTCATGCAAGCCCGTCGTGGTGTTGAGAATATTCATATACTCAAACATGAGCGCGTAAGCCTGCGTAGCTGCCTCCTGTATCCTTGGATCTGGATGATTGCCTCGCACGAAATCAGACAAATCAATAACTCGGCACAAAAGATCACTTAATCGATCTAAGTCCTTGGCCATTGATTTGTAGTCCTCCAGCGTAGACGCTCCCAGAACCTTTGAAACGATGCGTTGGCATTTCTGCAGTGACGTTTGCGCGAACTGTCGGAACCCTTCAGGATTGCTCAGGTATTGGTTTTGCACGATGCCGGTTCGTTTGGAACTATTTGCTCGTCGATTCGAGAACTCTCGCCAGAATGGACGCGAATCAAAAACCCGTCTCAATGTCTCGTCATCGCGTTGCTTTGCAAACTTGCTTGCTGCTGCAAAATCGACAGAAGCCTGCTGCTGATCGGCAGCGACGGCTGTTGCAAAAGTTCGCTCGGCATTGGAACGCTGCAGACGCTGCAGGCAGACGCGGCAGGTCCATGGTCGAGACCGCACGGTATGCAGCATATTAGCATTAGAATCAGGACTCAACCCTGCATGGTGATGTTGGGGGAAGAACGTGACAGACAGTTTTTTTCCCTTCTCAGCCGAAGTGCCGAGTTGCCGCAATAGGCTTGGCTCCGTTCCTGCTCTTCCCGATCGGATCAACATCAACGTCAGCTCCCGCAACAAAGCAGCAGAAAAGGCTTTGAAAGTCCTCTTCCTCAACTCATACTCCACGCCGTCGCATCCATTGGCCCTTGACTTCTTCTGCATTCAGGATGTCATTCCGGCCAATGCTCCAGCGAGTATGTATCTATCCTATTTTCCCACTCCTGTTGCCGGCGGAAGTGAAGCAAGCAGTCCAGATATTAACGGTGTACTCAGCGAGCTGTCGCTCCCATAGCAGCGACTCTCCTTGCTGGAGGTATAGTTGCATACCCTAGACATACTGCGTACGCGGAGAGTCCTTCAGATGCTGTGCGTGAAGCCATTGCCTCCCGTGACCCAACTTCCTAAGTTTTTTCTCATCAACCTAACTGTCACCCTACAACAGAGAAAACCCATTTACGATGACTATCCCGACGAGTTGGCTCCTGTGCCGACAAAGAAGCCCGCTGCTACCATCCCTTATTCTCCTCCTTCAGAAGCTCCATCTTCGACAGAAACTTCTAGCCCAACCGACCTTTTGACGGCGCAAATCCGCCGAGCCCGCCTCTTCCTTTATGCGCACTCTCTAGCCGCGGAGAACAGTTTCAACGACTTTCTATCCCGTGTGCTTCGCGTAGAAAATGCCTTCACCAACACAGTTGCATCTCTCGCTCCGTCTCCCGAGTCTGGCGAACGAATTCTCCCGGGAGGTGTCTACGTCATTGTGTCAGCGATGGCTGGATCGATTGTCTCTCGGAATCGCGGAATTATTTTGCGGACAGCGACTCCTCTTGCATTCGGTACCGTTGCGGCCTGGAGCTTACTGCCTGTGACTATGCGAAATATCTCGGACTTGGCCTGGGAATACGAGAAGAGAGTACCGGTGGTGGCTGACAACCATCTCAAGGCCCACAACTACATTCAACACGTTTACACAACTGGAGTTGCTCATAGCAAGATGGGCCGCGTGATGTTGGAGGATAAAATTGGAGAGGCCCGAGAGTACCTCGAAGAATGGGTGAGAAAGGGCCGATAATTTCCATACATGATTGCTTCTGAGCACGGCGCAATTCGGTACGGTCAGAAATGGTATTCGTGCCTTTGCTTACCCTATGTAAAACCTATTCCTCTGCCGAAGTATGTATGTGAACCTGTTATCATGTTTCAAACTATACTTTTCCTCTAGACCTCAGATTTTTCCTTTGTGTGTATGTGTGTGATTAGTTGGCATACTAGGCGTGTTACTGCGAAATATGAATGCATTATTGCCATTCTACGCAAATCCATTTCATTCCTATGAGCGGTCTGTTGCTATGCCGAATAGTAACAAGAACAGATCCCTTTTATTATTATACATATGCAGGCCGTAAGGTTACTACGTCTGTCCAGCAGCTTCGTTTTCTCCAGCCTTGGGTGGCGGTGCAAGCGGCGTACCTCTTCGTGAAGGTGCAAAATCCTCCTCCTTACTCTTCTTCTCCCCTTCGGCAAAATATTCGTCAAACGTCCTACTGGGTGAAATGCCTGTATGCCGGTTCTTTCGTGCTGACTTGCCTGACCGCGGAGGAGCAGCAGTGGGTGACGATAAAGGAGGAGGCGAGGACATGTTTGCAGGAACGAGATAGTTTCCCGTGGCAGCTGCAGGGTTAGAAATTGTAGCATATGACTCTGCCGGTCGCTCAAGCCCGTCCTCTCTCGTCTCAAAGACAACTTCACCCGGCCCTTCAACTTCCTCCCCTAGGCCCACAGGCAGCCTGTGTAATGCTCCATATCCAAGAACAGCTCCCAGCGCACCTTCCCCTCCCCAGCCTCTTGTTGGCACCAATTCCACTTCTCGAACAACATCGAACTCGCTGTTATATACCCAAAGCACTAGACTCCGGTTGAGATGATCCTCAACCAACTCGCCCAACGCTGACTCTCCTCGCAGTGTGCCGCTTGGCGATCCTAGTATATAATCTGAGTGTTCTAACAAGCCCGCTAAATAAGCGGGGCTAAGTGGTGACGGTATTGACAGAACATGCCAGATGTGCTGTGAAACGGATAATGGAGCGAGTTGTAATGTAAGGCCTAATGAGGGATTCTCTTTCGAAACCGGAATGGAAATTGTATGTGTCCTTTGACCCTGTAAGTTGATCAGTACGCTTCCCCTTGTTGATGGACGCATATAGTTAATGCAGCATACCTTTGCGCTCCAAATTTCCAGAGACACACTGGAACCTGCGCAGTTGCGCACTTCTGTCACAAACAGGTTGTGGTCTGGCTCTTCCTACATGCGAGACATGTAAGCAAGTGGCGCGCAAGAATACAGGGTGCTGGAGTCCTCACAATAAGATGCCCGTTTATTCCAATAATAAAATCAAACCAAGGCTCAAGTGGCAGGTCTGCATCTTTGTTGCGGAGTATTTGAAAGCCAAACGAGTTGTCTCCGGGCCCATTGGCATTCTGCTGCACGCCCTCGCTGTCGAGTCGTCCTATAAACCTATTGAGTGCGCCGAACATGGTTAAAGAAAATGAGATGCTCGAATTGTTGTAGGTGTGCTGTCCCCGCGTATATTTACGCTCTGGAGAGCTGTCCAGAACGGGTACAGGCGGCCAACAAACAATGCAAACAGAGAGCTCCCGCTCCACTTTATTTGCTCCAGCTTCACGGAGGGCAGCTTCTTCAAAAGTGGTTGAACAACCATGAATTCTGCCATGCCAACGAAAGGCCTGTCTAAACCAATAGCCTACTGCAATGAACGAGGCGGCTGAAGAAGTTGCGCCTCCCGAGGTGCATTATTATAGCGACATAGGTGAAGTCCCTTGGGACATTCAGAAGTAAGGCATGGATTACACATTTTACCCAGGACCGAACTGACTTACGTGCTAGTTACTGGTATCAGCGACATCGCATTTTCTCAAAATATGAAGAAGGCATCTGGCTGACTGACGAGGCCTGGTTTGGAGTCACTCCTGAGCCAATCGCAAAGTAAGTATTGCCATTTCTTGTGTTTCTGCCCACGTCGGGGCTGACAGTGGTCGTAGTAAAATCGCGGAGCATATAGCATCTTCTGTCCCGGAAAATAAGGTGGTTTTGATAGATGCATTTGCCGGAGCAGGTGGTAACAGCATAGCCTTCGCCAAGTCTGGTCGATGGAAGCGAGTCTATGCTATTGAAAAAGACCCCGCTGTGCTAGCTTGCGCCAAACACAATGCTAAGATATACGGAGTTCAGTCGAAGATTACTTGGTTTGAAGGTGACTGTTTCGCTATACTGAAGAAACAGTTGAAAGACTTGGGTCCTTATAGCGTTATCTTTGCCAGTCCTCCTTGGGGAGGTATGACTCTTTCTAAGCACCGGGTTTTCTCGCTGGATACTGACTAGCCATCCACAGGTCCTGGATACCGATCCGACGATATTTTCAATCTGCATTGCATGGAACCGTATTCATTGAACTATATGTGTCAAGAATACTCTCTTTTATCAAAACACATAGTTCTTTATCTCCCACGGACCTCGGATCTCAAACAGTTGGCTAGATTAGTCGACAATGGCGAAAAGATCCATGTGAAGCATTACTGCATGGAGGGTTCTAGTAAGGCACTTTGCGCTTACTATGGAGACTTCAAAACTTCTACATGGGATTGAGAAGGAAAATGCCACAAGGCGCTGCCATGCAAACCCTCAGCATTCCCGCCAGCAGCCATGATGGACCGAGGCTGCGAAACCACTTTTTGTCTGATTATCATTTCTTAGTAATGCCACTTGAAAGCCTATCAGTAGTAAGCGCTAAACTGATATGATAAACCAACAACAATAGTTTTCAAAAGCTATTGATAGTCTCATTTATATCTCACCGCCAAAAGTATTGCCGGCATAACGACCGTAGTACTACGGCGGACTACAAGTGACACATTGAGCAAACTGCTGATCGAGCCAATAAACGTCCAGGAAACCAAAGCGGTGGGCCACAATAAAAACCACCTTTATGCAGCCATCAAGTCCGCCGCTAACTGTTGTGAGCTCCGCGGTTACTTCATCTGCAGTTACCTACTTATTATCCTTCGATTTTTCATCAATCTCCTCTCAGTTTCAGTTCATATAGACTGGGCTACGCCGATGGAAACGCGATGCTGACGGATGGTTGAAACGCTATACTCATTGAGGGATACCCTTACTCGAGTCTCACGACTGCCCAGCACCGTCCGCCCATCATGCCTCACGCCACCGAAAATGGCGGCAACATCGGCGACGACCTCGATTTCCAGAATGTTTTGGCGCAGATAAATGCGCCGGATGGCGGCCAGTTTGATTTTATGGGACGCGACTTGGAGACTGGCGAAAAGGCGGACGATGCTATTGATTTCGAGGATTTCGACGATGATGATCTCCCTGAAGAAGAGGGTCCCGGCGCCCCCGCTGTTCAAGTGCTGGAAGTGAAGCAGGAGGATGATTTGGATCCAGGGAAATTTTTGTCGGGCGATCTCTTTGGCGATGACGAGGCTCCCGCTGACCAGGAGGGCCGAGATGGAGTGGACGATCTATTCGGTGATGGAGTATTATCTCCTGTTGCCGAGCAGACAGAGACAACGGAGAATGCTTTTCTAAATAAAGAGCAGGCTGTTGCCGGCATAGACACTAGCACCGCTTTGCCGCATCTCGAAAATGTACCGGATGAAGATGGCGACATCGATCTTTTCGGTGAGGTTCCGGAGGAGCCTCCCTCGCCCACAGAGGAAGACATGGATCCGGCAACACTGAATGCTTGGAGAGAACAACAAGCTCTATTCGCAAGATCTGCTGCGGCTGCAGTTCCTGGACCCGATCACATACCTGCTCCGCCTGAAAATGATGAAGAACTTCTAAAGTCATTATGGCCTAATTTCGACCGAGATTCGTTCCCGCGATTTGTTGAGCTTTTCCGTCATAAGAAAGCTTTTTACCTTGGAAAGCAAGCTGCAAAGCCTCCAAAGGCCGTCCTGCCTACCAAAATCAATCTCGAATTTGGCTTGGATCAAGAACGGATCTTCAAAACGGGAGGACAAGGGAATAAGCGTGCCTTTGATTTCGAAAGCCAAGGATTAATATCGCTACAACAAGTAGATGATTCACCCGTAGAACCCGAAGATAATTTCGATGCTGAGATCGATGAATCGGAGATTCTCCCTGGAGGTGTCACCATGCAAGATCTTCGTATCTTGTGTACTGACTGGGACGTCAAGACTGAGATCTTAGACGCGGATGTCGAGGAAGAAGTTCCATTAAAAGCGACCCCTGTTCTACCCACCGATGAAACTGCGTGGTCACTGGATATGGAAGATGTGCAACCAACTAAGAAACGCAGGATGGGGCGAGAACCACACGAGCTTTTGAATATTTCCGACATTGAGATACCTTTCCTTGATGATCCAGCACGCTTAACTGCGCAGATTTCCAAGAAGATTGTTATTGATATGAACGATGCACGTTTGTTGCTTGATACCAGACCCGAGGCTATTCTACAAAAACCGAAGACATTACCAGGCCACGAACGGGATGAAATGGACGTCAATACCACCAAGCGCATAAATCAACGCTATAATATCTCCAACGATGATGCTTATGATATGCTCAAAGAAAATCATCAAAGCAGGGTCCGAAGCACACTGGGAAATGCCGCACTCGAGCACAGCATGCCTGCTTTACGGTTGCAATGGCCATATTATAAGACAGAGCTTTCAACGACTGAGGCTCGGTCCTTTCACCGTCCAGCCTTGTCCTTCCGGCCAATGGTCAGTTCCTGGTTCAAGAATTCTCCTGTTATTAAACGAAAGCACCAGAAAGGAAAGGACGCCAAGACCCTTTACAATTCTACCAAATCTCTGTCCATGGGAGACAATGCAACCATGTTGTTGCTGGAATACTCAGAAGAAGTCCCAATGATGATGTCTAATTTCGGCATGGCAAACCGCCTAGTTAACTACTATCGTCGAAAGAATGCCGACGACGCCACTCGCCCAAAAGCCGACATTGGCGAGACGAATGTCCTGTTACCCCAAGACAAAAGCCCGTTTTCAATTTTTGGCCATATTGATCCCGGAGAGACCACCCCTGCTATCACCAACACAATGTATCGCGCTCCCGTTTTCAATCACCAGCCGAAGTCTACAGATTTTCTGGTCGTTCGAGGCACCACTCAATCCAATGGATCTGATTATTTCATAAAGAATCTAGAAAATGTCTACGTGGTTGGGCAGCAGCTTCCATCAACTGACATTCCTGGACCGCATTCACGAAAAGTCACAACGGTAGCCAAGAACCGCCTGAAAATGCTCACTTTTCGGCTGATGAAGAAAGAGGGGAACATGCAAGTTTCAATTAATCAGGTTACTGCACATTTGCCAGGGTCTTCTGATATGCAAAATCGACAAAAAATGAAGGATTTTGTTCATCACGACAAGGACACCAAAATGTGGGTCCCGATTGGGAACATTCCAGATTCAGACGTCATCAGATCCTGGATTCAGCCAGAGGATGTCTGTCTACTAGAATCTATGCAAGTTGGGCTTCAGCATCTTCATGACACTGGCCATGCTAACGGTGCTGACGATGAGGATGATGATGTCGAGGGTGAAAGCTTCGAACAACAAATGGCACCGTGGCGTGCCACTCGCAACTTCACAATGGCGTCTCAGGGCAAGGCTATGTTGAAGTTGCATGGTGAAGGTGATCCCACTGGTCGGGGTGAAGGTTTCAGTTTCGTCAAGACCTCGATGAAAGGTGGATTCCAAGCTATTGGAGAGAGCGCACAGGAAAAAATGGAAAAAAGAGAGCAAAAGGAGACTGGAGGGCATAGTTACAACGTGGCTAGACAGCAAAGGGCATATGAGCAATCCATTCGTCATATTTGGGATTCTCAGAAAGCAAGTCTGTCATCTAGAGTGGAAGCTTCTGACATAGATAGCGATATGGATCAAGACGATGAGGAGGACTTCAACAAGCCCACACCACGAGAAGCTGCGACACCATCATTCCGTCGTGATGATGAGAGTATGAGTCAATTCAGCAGACTGAGCAGCCGAAGCCAACGAGGCAAGGTGTTGAGGATTACTCGAGATTTTATGGACGAGAACGGAAACATCTATCAGAAAGAACAGCTAGTCTGGGATCCACGTGTCATACGGAAGTATATGCAGCTGCGACATCGTGTCGAAGCTGTCAACACCCAGTTCGTCCCACCTTACAATATTCTAATATAGAATCGTGCTAACATGCCTCTAGGCTTGCTGAATTACAGCCGACAGGTGACAAGGAGGTTGATGCACGCAATAAGAAACTGTAAGCAGAGCGAGCACATGAAAATACTTATTTTTTTTTCCCTGCAGGAAGCTGACATTCCGTCTTTTCTTTTCTTACCAGGTTGGAAGCCGAATTATCACGGCTAAATCGCAATAAAGAACGACGCTTTGCCCGTGAAAAACAAAAAGGAATAGGCAGGACACCGGTTGGTGACTCTGAAGAAGCAGGAACCCCTTCGAAGTCTGGTGGAACTACAACGCGAAAATGCGCCAATTGCGGTCTAGTTGGGCATATCAAAACAAATAAGAAGTATTTATTTATCCCTGTCTTTCCTCTCTTTTTTCCCATTTAGTACTAACATTCATTGCTAACCTCTTTCTTCTCTTCAGACTTTGCCCCAAATTGAATGGCAGTGCACCACCGGATGAAGGTGTTAGTGAAACAGCATTCTCTATGGCTGGCTCGTCCACTTTCTAAAATTTATGGTGCATACCATACTGGAAACCCGTCTCCCCCCCCCCCATGGTTGTAACTAACCTTGATACCTTGATCTTTATCCGACTATCAAAAATCATTTAACTACCATACCTTATCATCATGCATAGGGTGTTATCGGCGTTGTTTCATGTACCAAACTCTTTCTCCTCCCCTTTCTTGTCTGTTTTATTGTGGGCTTTGGGTATACCAATTGAATGGATGGATGGATAGCTGGTGTTGTTGTTGATTTATTTCCCCCCACCCCTAGGTTAGCGCTCCTTCAGAGATTGGTATGTAAATACATATTTTCTCTTCTGAGAGAAGATTAGATTGTAGACTTATCCATAAATCTATCGGAATTGAATCAGGAATAAAAGGGCACTGCTCGACGATTGATTATGAATATAGGTTTTAGTAGCGATAGACAACAGCGGATGCTCCCCGGTGTGAGGAGAAATAAAGATATGCAACAAAGACAACAGACAGACTGATCCTGTTTGTTGGGTGGGAGCTCTCGGTTTGAAAGTACACATGTAAATAATTTTACTTTCCATCACACCAGGGTGTAAACAGAATGCGTCACCCTTGTTTTAGAAACGACCAGTCACCAAACTCCTACCACGTTCTATCTCTAAAACGTTCCTCACTGATTTTGGCCGCCGCCAGGTATAGCCTACAAAGGCCGCCTTCGTTCGCAGGTTTAGGGCTGTTGGGCCAACGACTGCATCTCGAAGAATTTTATCACGGGCTCTTTTTCTCTCTTTGTTCTTCCTTTTTCTGGCCGCGGTCTTCTCAACGTCGACTTTGTCCGCATTCAAGTTGTCTTCTGCTTTTTCCTGACATACTATTGCCAGCGGATCAGGCTCGGACTCGGGCACTGAGGCGTCCTTCATTAACTGGTGTTTTCCTTGTGGTAGAATGGGTACATCTATGAAGTCCAGATTGCTTCTATCAGAATAGTTGGTGTCTTCCCAGCTCTTTGCTTCTGGTATATATGGAGGACGACGATGTAGCATTTCACCCCAAGGAATTTGACGGAAGAATCGGTGGGCCTTGATGTCACGAGCATCGTCACTATAGACGTGCCTAGCTTGGGGGTGATAATTCTTGGGCTCTGCAGTATTGCCATAAATTGGGTTATATATTCTGTGCCATAAGGCACAGTCATTGGTCTTGTATCCCCTACTAGACAGTCTGAATTCCTTCCTTTGCAGCAACTGCTGAATTAAGTCGATTGCGTGGTACGATATCATAAGGTCGCTCAGCCGTTCCTGAGGAAAACCAAGGGTCAAGATATGGTGCTGCAAGGAATTAGAAAACTTCTAGACAAGATAACAGCATTGAGATACCCACCAGAATATATCTCTTGGTCTCTTCCCTATTCTCACGGTAGAAAGGAGTCACACCATAAAGGCACTGATTGAATTTGTCAGCCGTTATGCTTTTTTTTGGGTGTGAGACTGAAAGATACCTCGTAAAGTATAATCCCTATACTCCAGTAATCACACCTACCATCATAGGGTTCCCCGGATATAATTTCAGGTGCCATGTACTGACTTGTCCCCACAATACTTCGAGCAAAACGTCTTTTCTCGTTCCGGTCACGCCAATCAAGCATGTGCTTACCAACTTGAGGCACAAATGCCTCGTTCCCCTCTTGCTGGAACCGGTTTGTATCTGTTTGTTGCGACTTCGGATTCTCAGACTGATCCTCAGCATCGCCCTTGATTTCAATACCCAATTTAGAAACCAAGGAGTACCGATGATTATTAAAATATGCTTGGTTATGAGACCAATGACCATCAAAAGCGAGGCCGAAATCCGCAAGTTTCAGATGTCCAGATGCAGAGATTAGAAAATTTTCAGGTTTCACATCTCGATGAATCCAGCCAAGGCGATGAGCTTCTTCGACGCAAAGAATCATTTCCGCCACGTACCACATGGTATCTCTCTCCGAGAGCACGCCATGTCGGATGAGAAGACCAAAGAAGTCGCCACCAATCTCGTACTCCATGACGAGGTAGAGATGGCTAGTATCTTGAAAGCTAGCAATGAGCGGCACAATCCACTTTGATCTCTCAGATGCGGTCAAGAATTCTCTTTCAGCACGAATATGACCTTCCTGGCAATGACGAACCATATCTGCCTTACGTATAACCTTCATGGCATATACATTCCCCTGTTGTCTTTGAACGGTCCTCCGCGACGTGTTACCTTCTGCCAGACGACTTGATCTGGTCGTAAACCTCCGGCTATATCTGCTACTTTTGAGTTCACTGAGTGCTATACTAGCGTCTCTTCCTTGATCTGACGAGTCCCGATCAAGGCTTTTTTCCTTTACTAGCTGAACAACACCAAAACTCCCCTGGCCCAGAACTCGGATTATGTCATAGCCTGCTGTCGAGATAGTGTCCGTCTTATGAAAGCGATTTGATCGAGTCTTTAGAACTCGTGACTGCCGCAAATGCTCGCTTTCCTGAGTAATCCATGCCTTTTGCGCCGCCGTTCGTTCTCCGTGAGTAAATGGTAACGCCCGTAAGTGTTCTTGGAGCTCTCGTAATCTTTGATTACGGCTGTCTTGAGTTAAATATATTGAATTGAAATGAGTTTCAAAAAATACTTTGGCTGCCGCTGCCGTTTCGACCGTGACTATAGACGGCTTAATTTTGGGCATAGTGGCTGATTTTATTGATGGAGCAGACCTGCTGGACTGAGAGCGAAGCCTCTGGGCGGAAATCTCGTACCCAGTCGAGATGCCATCCAAAGAGCTGTGGTGGTCAGATTGACTGAAGATAGGGGAATCCTCAACTGACGGATCTGTGCTCCATGGTACTGAGCCGTCCCATTTGCTACGTGATACAACAGGGCAAGAGCCGTCCATATTAACAATTGCGACTCGAGGTTTGGGCCTTGTGCGGCGAATCACAGTCGGCGGCCCAAAGATTGACAGTTTCTGTGATAGTCGGCGAGGCAGAACTGGAGCCCGATTAAATTGGTTGACCTTGGATTCAACATCGTTTCTGATCTCAAAGCGTTTTTGGGCCAAGCTGTCTGTTTCTGCAATAGAGTTATCTTTATGTGAGACGTAGGACTTTTTTTGACGATAGTCGTGCTTCACAGAGGCCTCATCAGAAAACTCAGAGATGTAAACTGAATCGTCCGCGATCAACACCCTATCTGATTCTAGATCTGAGCTGCTAGAGGGACATGGTGTACTGGTATCCACGGGGCTACTCGATGTGGTGGATGTGGTGGCTAAGCAAAATTAGCTCTTGCCTGTCCATCTCATGAATCACTTACAGAGATTTTCAGAGTTCCCAGAGCTCCAAAATCCCAACCTAGACAGCAACTTTGCACTACTCCTTCTAAACTTCGAAGCTATGCGGCCTGAAGGCTGCTCCTTCGGCGGCCTGTTCTTTGGCGCAGAAGTCGGTCTCACATTCTCACCAGAGCCCTGAGGATAATCACCGAGAACGACTGCTTCGTTATTCGACGTCGTAGCTTTCAAGCGGCTGTCGGATGTCCTCATCTTTCGCCTCAGCATCGTGAACGCCTTCGTATGTATACTGACTGAAGCAGGTCGGAGGTGAGGTGGGCTAAGTATAATGCTGGATTGACCTATCGATGATTGCAATTATCGTCGACGTATAATTCAGTAAACCTCTGATCGTGACTGACTCTCGGAGAAGGAGATGGATGGCATAGCTTCAACTGTGAAGGAAGGAGCCGGATCACTAGGTACAGTTCCTGCCTGAGGCACGTTGCTTACTCAAAGGACGGTCATAAATATTTAACTAGTTGGTATAGAATATATAAACATACACAGGCATCGTATTGATGTTTTCTATCACACATGATGTTTCGTCGTATTCGCGAGCGACACAAGAAACGACCGGCACAACAGGAATCCAACTTTTTTGACATAAGGGAACAGAAAAACAAGATAAATATGAAGACGACAAACTCCAAACGCGGTCTGGTATCCTCATCCAATTCAAATGCAACAGATTCTTCACAAACACACAAAACATGTCCGGGTACTTTAAATCCGAGAAGAAATGCCACTTGAAATGATGAATCGAAAAGAAAATCCATTTACTAAGAAAAAGTATCACACAAGGCATCTGGAAGGAAATCTGGCAGCGAGCTCAACAGGCAGATTCGCCTCTATTTGATTTCCAGGAGCTTGACGTCGAAGATAAGCTTGGAGTTCCCTGGGATACCAGGCACGCCCTTCTTTCCATATGCAAGGTGAGAGGGAATGGTAATACGGCGCTCGCCACCTGCAGCCATACCAGCAATGCCGATATCCCAGCCTTTGATAACCTCTCCTTTGCCAAGCTTGAATGTGAAAGGCTTGCCCTTCTTGTTGGCTAAAAGGAAGAAGAAAAAAAGTCACGTTAGCTACCAAAGCCATGTTCATTCATAGAGGATACGCAACTTACAGTCAAAGACCTTTCCATCCTCAAGCTTTCCAATGTAACGCATAGCGACGGTGTTTCCATTCTTAGCAGCGGGTCCTTTTCCAAGCTTCTTGTCGTCAATCTTCACACCCTGGACTTCCTTCACGCCTAGTGTGCCAGTTGTTTTCTCGGCAGCCTTCTTGTCCTGGTTAGAGGAGGGAGTAGGGCCCTGCTCTAAGTTTTTGGCAAACTGAACTTTCTTGTCCGTCTTGGCAGCAGGGGTTTCCTTTGCAGCTTTCTGAGCCTCAACCGGGGCAGCATCGCCGTTGTTCTTCTTCAGCTTTTTCTGCTGCTTTTTATCACCGTTGGTAGCTTTTGTGGCTTCCTTAGCAACAGGCTCCTCGGGCGCAGCCTCGTCTTCGGCAGCACGCTTGTTCTTTCCTTTAGCAGCCACCAACTTGGGAACTTCAGCCTCGTCTTCGGAGTCAATCTCAGTGACACGAGGGTCATCCAAATCGTCGAGGTCATCGCTCTCTTCACCTCCAGCAAGGAGGTAATCCAAGTTGTCCATACCATCCAGCTCATCCTCATCAGGCGAGAGGTCATAGTCCTCGTCGTCCTCATCCTCATCGTCCTCGTCCAGATGTTCGTGGCTGTCAACGGGCATCACGTAATTGCCGGTCAGATAGACAGTGTGTGTGCCGGTGACCTTGAACATAATTCGTTCGTCATCGGCAAGAGTTATGTCGAGCGGTTGTTGGTAGTGCTATTACAATTATCAGCTCTAATTCTCCATCATATAATATGAAGATGGAGCGTATCGATAAAGGTACCTTCTCAGTATCTAGAGTGCAAACAACAACCTCGTCAAGCTCCAGACCCTCCTCGTCGTCCTCATCCTCATCCTCGTCCCCGGTAGCGGGACCCTTGCCTTTGATGAGTTGTGAGATGATAGATTTGATGTTAGCCGGCTCCTCTGACTCGGATGAATCATCCTCATCCATGGCATCCTCTAGGTCCTTGAGCGCAGCAGCTTTCTTGCGCTTCTTGGCCTTCTCCTTGTCACTGGGCCCACCGTTGATTTCCTCGTCGTCAGAGTCATCTTCACTGTCCTCTTCATCGTCATCTTCGTAATCCTCATCATCATCCTCGTCATCCATATCCATCTCTTCAGGGATACGGATGATTTTGAGGGTAGACCGTGCGGGTTTGCTTGAATCGGCTTCATCTTCGTATTCAGGCGTGGCGCTTGGATCAATAGCAGCCATGCTCAGACGCAACTTTGATACCAGATGACTGTCAGTTGGAAAACTCTCCCAGAATCAATTGGTTGTTCTGCGTCAGTTAACTTACCATAGCAACTGCACCAGGAGGCAGCGAAGGCACCATGATACCACCAGGCGGCACCTGGAGCGCATAGAAAGCGACAGGTTGAATTCCAGACATTGTGAAAGATATCTTTTTGTAAACTTCTTTTGTAAATATGTAATCTACAGCCAGAAGAAGAGAAAGGATTCAAGATGAAGAGGTAGAAAGAGAGAGAAAAGAAAAATAGATACTGGAGTTAAAAGGCCCAGATAGGAAAACAGAAAGTAAAAAAAAAAAAAAAAAAAAAAAAATTGGATCAACAAATGCGCGCAGAGATATAAAGGCGGTCAGCGCTGTTGCTTGGGAGAGCTTTTCATTTTCTGCAGCCCCACCTGTGGGCCAGCCATGCATAAAGAATTGTCATTATTGGCTGATGTACCTGTGAAATCCCATGCCTCTTTTATACTTGCTATTTTATATATACAGTCAGTTTGTGAGTAGTATGTGCTATGTTTACATGGCTACATAATGTCTATACAAAAATTATCCAACAAAGAACAGGCAGAAAAAGCTATGCTGAAAATTCAGGCGGAGACAGCCCTCTCTCTTCAAACGCTGCAGTAACGCTGCACTGAACAGCTCTGAGAGCCTTAGGCCATGTCATATCAGATGGTGACCCCTGGCTTTGCTCTGCTGTACTGTTCACTCCACCTGCTCCCTCATTTGTAACCAACCATCCCAGCCATTCTGCAACAGAAATGGCCTTTTCCAAATCCCGTTCCTCAAGGATGACACGCTTGAGGTAAAGTGCCAGTGCCTCTACATCCTCGGCAAAAGGAGCATCCTTTGCAAAAGCGGAGAACCAAGCAGTGATTGCTTCTCGTAGATCAGGGAGCGCTGTCAACTTTTGGGTAGTAAAAGTTGGTCGGTCTGGACGAGGTGACAATTGAAGTCGCTTCTCAGAGACCTCAGAACTAGAGTCAGCAGGTGTACTGGGTCTAGCAGCTGCTACTGGCTTGCGAGAAGGCGGTGCAACAAGCTTCGATCGCTGGCGTAGACGTTTTTGTCGTTCCTCTTCCAGGACTTCGGCTCGTATATCATCAGGGAGAGCTGCCAAAAAGTCTTCCGATATTTCAGATGTCTTTGCTGTGTCCGAGGCACGGATATCATTAACCGCAATTCCAGCTGCACCTGTTCTGGTGAAATTGAAGCTCGATTGCGTCAAACCCGAACGAGTCGGCTTGACAGGATTGACAGATGACTTAGGTGGTCGGCCACGCCGTTTCTTAACTGGTGTCGTGGGCCGTTTAAAAACAGGTGCTGCACGGACAGGTTGTGATGGACGTGGAGATTGGGGTTGGAGTTGGGGTTGGAGGCCTCCAGATTGCTCCGGCCTTCGTTCGTCTGGAGATTGGGCGTAGTATCCTAGAATCTCCGTTTGAATGTCCTCCGGTAGAGCCTTCAGAATATCAGGATCTATTTGTGACTGTGAGGGAAGCTGTTCCGGTGGCTGCCTTGGTGCCGGAGATGGTGAGGTATCTCGGTGATGCGTAGGAGACTTGCGCACCAACATAGATCGAATGTCAACGGGTAGCTCTTCGACTACTTTCGGATCCGGTTGGGTCGGCATAATGAATTGCGTCCCCGAAATGTTTAAAGGTTTCAGTGAGCTATCAAATGCAGGCCGATTATCAAGCGATTCAACAGCATCGATGCTAGCTCGATCTCCTTTGTGAGGGCTTTCAATTAGATCCGGATCAGTAGATCGAATCGGTTTCTTAGCGGCCGGTGATGTTTTAAATTTCAATCGTTGTTGACTGCCCTCCAGGCCACCGCCGCTTGCTGGTTTCACTGGTTCCAATTTAGTCATCTGAACACCCAGCCCACGTAGATCGCCAGGTGTGAAGCCAAAGCTTCGCAGCATAGAAATAGCCTCTTTGCCAATGATGTCGCTTGCATTAGTCGCAACACCAAGCAATACACTCTTATTAAACACGTCACATTTCCCATGGCCCAAATGCTTGACTGGTTCCAATGGTGCATCTGCAGAACGTCTCATGACGCGAAAAGTGAGCTGTTTTCCTTTCACCAAATTCTCAACCAAGCGGCGATGTAGTTCATCTGAAAGATTTTGCACAAAATCTTCAGCCTGAGTCTGATTAACGAAACGTATGCCCCAGTTAATTTCAGCAGACACCGACTTTCGCATCGTCTGCGTTCCTACTTCTGTCTTGTCAATGCCTCTAGAATAGTCCCAGAGCTTAGCGCCAGTTTTGGGACCAAGATGAGAAGCAAGTCTTTCGCGTGATACATCACGTAAGTCCTTGACGAGCTTGACCCCTATCTCTTCGAGTTTACCTCCTAGGCTGTAGGCAACACCAGGGAGATCTTGAACTTTCAAGTTTCCCATGAAATCCAAGACTTCATCAGGTTTCAGCTGAAACTGTCCTGCAGGCTTCGCTTTACGTAGTGCCACTTTTGCCTGCAAAATGTTGCCTCCGATACCCACAGATACAGCGCATCCAGTCGTGGCTTTTATCTTGTCCCTAAGTGATTTAGCAATTTCATCGGCTTTAGCTTGCTCTCGATATATTGAGCCTTCAGAGATACCTCGTCCATTAGAACCACCAGCCTGCAGGCACTGAGTAGTGACATCAATAAGCGCTTCGTCAATACTAACGCTCTGCACAATCCCATCAACAGCAAGGATGCAATTGTAAAATTGACGACTAGCATCTTCATAGGCAGGAAAATCATAGGATAAGACTTGTAGTTCAGGACATTGTTGTAGAGCTCCTTTCATCCACATCCCGTTTTTGATTCCAAAGGCACGCGCTGGATAATTACAACTGGCAATTTCCGAGCCACTGCCAGTACCGTGAGCGATAGCAACCGGCTTGTCAATTAATTCTGGGTGATGCTTTTGTATTGATACCGCGGCGAAGAAACTGTCAAAGTCAACATGCAAAACGTATCTGCGTGAACCAGGCACACGTGGTTTAACTTTTTTGGCTGTTTTCGCTTTCTCCTGGGTAGCTGCTTGCAACTTGGCTTTGAGTTCCGCTTTCCAAGTTGACAGGTGATGAAGCCGAGATTCTCGGTAATATTGGTTTAGAAAGTCCGGATTAACAACGCTTGACTGTCTCATACGGGGATTGGAGAGAAGTATCGCATTATACTCCTCTGGGCTCATGTCTGGTTTCACTGGGATAGCCTCTCGCATAAGCTGATCTTCGGTTGGAATACTCAGGTCATCTGGGATAGTTTCGATTTCGAATTGACCAATTCTACCAGCCTGGTAATCAGGAGCACGGTGCAGATCACTTAATACGGGCTCCCCATGCGTTTTGGGAAGAGTTGACTTGTATATAGTTTCCGGCGGCGAAGCCAAGCTTGGAAAATCATCATAGTCAGAGTCTGCATTTGAGTTAAGATGACTCGATACAACGTCAACCTTCTTTGTTGCTGGCGAAGTCGCAGCGGCACCGTTTTCACTTTTCTTTAGTTGTGAAGTATACCAACTTTTCTCTGTTTGATCTTTGTAACTGTATTCGAGCTCATTGGTTTGAGACTGCAAGGCACCATTTTCAAATCTTAGTACCTTCTGTGATACGCCTTCATCGACGACACGGTAGTTATCCCATGGAAGTAATCGGCCAGCATTAACACTATCCACGACCCAAGCTGGTTTAACAATGCGATACTTGCGAAACTCGTCGCGCTTCTTTGGCGTTAGGGCACTTGCGATAATGTGAGTAGCGCTAGTCTTCCCATCGAGATATTGTAGGAATCCTCCACCATGGCTAACGATGAGGCGATGTAAGTCGTTCAGCGAAGGCTGTGTGTATCCATTCACATGGGCTGTGACACCCCGAAAGATCGGGGGATTATTTTCGGACTTAGCACGAATATCGGCATCGCGGTTCTGAAGTTTCAGCTTTTTCCGTCGAAAATAATCCCCGAAGCCTCCAAACGCGGAGGCCTCGTATTCCTCTCCATTTTCGTCATCGAAAGCATCTAAGTAAGTCGGAATGTATGAGTTAAGCGACTTGTAATGTGACGGTCGAGGACTTACGACTTTGGATCCTTTTGCGCACTATATCAGAGTTGGCTTGAAGCCGGGAGCCCATATTCACACAAACACATATTCATTCCCAGGCGAGCAGAGTGTATAGACTGTTGGTCTCGGCGGGGATGTGGTGAGGTGAGATGAGATGACGTGTGGCGAGAAAAACGCGCGACACGAAGTCACGTGCACGATACTTTAGGGTTAGGGTTATGAGCCCTAATTTCGACGAATAGGGCCGGGTCGCAGGTCGCATTGCTCCAAAATTTAATGACATTGGGCGGGCTACAGATCGAGATTGGGTCAAAAATTCTTGGAATCAATATGAGCTCGTAGCACGGCCGACGCTATCACGTCTCCAAGGGTCATGGACTACCCTGAGCGTAATATAAGATGGGGGAGTCGCCAACATTCTGACGCGTACATTCCAAAGTCACTACGAACGGATTAGGGATTGTCATTGGAAGAGCTATTCTATCTGCTATGCATGATATACTGATTGACCATTCAATATAGCATGATGCGGCGAGCTTCATTTAATTGAAAACTCCTCTAATCTACCAAGCTGTTTTGAAGTAATGTACCATCTTCGCCACGTCATCTTGACTTAAAACCTGTAGTTTTATCAAGGGCCTTGGAATAATGCCTTGCCTTTTCAGTATGCCAGACGAATGACTTCTTCGGTCCTTCACTGATCGGTATTTTGTCATCCAGAACTCCGCCAATTTTATCGCTGGGTTATCCGTCGGATCCGGATTCGACGCACGCAGCTTGTCCAACCACCGATCCGTTTCCATCGCCTCGAACGTTAGGTCTACTTGCTGTAAAAATGGGATAAGATCTGTGTCCAGTGGAAGCTGTTGTGGTTAATAACATTTAGCACGCCAGAAGTGTATGTAGAGAATGAGTGCTCTACTATGCTCTCAGCTACTATGTCGACGGGCAGCCAGCGATGAGTCTCGTCAAGACGTGGCAACGCACCAATAGTTTTGGCACACGTATCATGAGTGGGATAGCTGCTGTTGTATTCCAGATGCCATACCGTGTGTCTCCGATTGCTTGACCGATTCTAAGAAATCGTGCCCGGAGATTTGTTTGTTCAGCTGCTTTCAGGCATATATTTTCTGCGACAAGTTTCGACTGAGCATATCCCATACCTTGAGCGTATGACAATTTTTGGGCAGGGACTCTGGAATCTCATTTTCGGTCGTGTTAACAGCGGTGCTGACAGAAGAGCAAAAATTAAATGAGGCAGGAGTACGTCGTTGCGATCTGAGACAGAGATCAATGAGATTCTTGACACCGGCGACGTTATCCTTCTCGAAGCTAGGAAACCGCCAGTTGAAGTTAACAGACCATGCGCAATGGATCAGATCCGTGATCTGGGAGGTGATCACAGTGTACATGTCTTCCTCAAGACCTAATTTCGGGTCGGATAAGTTCACGGGAAGAGCTACAAGCTTGGTGCGAGCAGTATCTGAGAGGCCTTGTAGAGTCTCCTTTCACGTAGGGATATGACCAGACGTTCATAGGCCTCTAAAACGGAACCTGCTCTTATCAGACAATATATAATACGAGTTTAAGTTCGGAGTGCCAATTTGGCCGCGGTGTGGGATCCAAGGGATCCAGAAGCGACTGTAAGGACAACGCAACGCCCATGCAAGCCATTTGGCAGTGGTTCGTGTTGTTGGAAAACAGAGTATTTCTCAATCAGAATTTTCATGCCATCTTCAACAGATTGGCTGTCGCCTGATACTCCAGATCTTAGCGATAGCAAGTACTTGGCTAACACATTGATGCTAGGGTGGTCGAATGCTAGATTCAGTCCAAGCTCTTTTCCGCCTCTATCAATTCGACGAATTATGATTGAGCGTAGTTGTGTTGTCTGTAATGAGTCCATGCCAATGTTAAAGAAATCTGCATCCTCATTCAACAGACTACGTGCTCTGGAAGACAAGATAATTTGGAGTTGTTCCTGCAGGAATTCCTTAAGTTCCGGCTCCGTGAGACATAAAAGCTCACCCGTAGCCTGATCATTGTAGGTGTTCTTAATTAGATCAGCAAAAGTGCGGTAAACTGCTTGCCTGATCACCGTGCCCTTATCAGTTCGCGGATATTGGGTATCTGGTGGAAGAAGAACAACCATCTCTCGAGAGAGCTGTCCAAAGGCCGACATTTCAGTTTGTGCCTTCTCTACACGAGGCCAAATTTGATCATTAAGTTGGTCTCTGGAGAGAGCCGCGCCGTCTTCCGTGAGTATCACAATCATACCGATACTGTCTCTCTGTGCGCCAAAAACGACCACCTCTGCAACGGCAGGGTCTTGTCTTACTGAGCCTTCAAGAGCAAGGGGGATTACTTTCTTTCCATTCACCAACATGGTTATATCGTCTAGACGGGCACAATATTTGTACCCCTCAAGATCAGGGTGTTTTGTGAAGAGGTCCTCTGTAGCATAAGAACCGTCAGGCCTATTCGACGTCACTTTTGACGGCCAGCCGTCAAGGACAACTGACTCGTACAAGCCAGGGCTTTTTTCCTCAAACCGAAGAAAAGGCTTTAAAGCTTCAGAGGGCCGCACAGAGTCCCATAACTTATCCTCTCGGGGTCTTTCGGAAGTCATCAAATGGCCCGTTTCGGTTGAGCCATATTGGCTAATAAGATGTACACCATTTGCAACTAGCTTGTCCCCAAGAGAGTCTGGACATGGAGAGCCACTGAATAAAACAAGCTTGAACCTTGCTAAGGCTTGAATACCTTCTTCTGTCTCTGCAAGGATTTTCAGGGCATAGGGAGCGCCGTAAAATACCTCAAAGTCATTCGAACTCATTGTACTGAGCAAATGCTTTCTGGCTAGTGGAATGGACGGGTTATACAAATGAAGGCTTTTGCAAGAATAGATAGACCTAAACAAGCAGCTCATCCCATAGTTGTGGTATAAGGGAAGTGTGATGAAGCCTCACATGAGCATAGTTCTGAATGGCGGCTTTTTGGGTCTGAAAGATCGGTTTCGGCAACCCCGTGGATCCGCTTGAATGAATAACCCAACATACATATTTTGCTTCTTGCACTGGGTCTAGGGTAGGAGTCAGATTTGTATCAATTTGCTCGTCGTCTTCGATCGGGAAATTGTACCAGTCTTCTTGAGCAATGTAATCAACCTGGAAGCCAGGGGTTCTCCCACTCAAATCGTCGGCTGTGTTCTGATATTCCTTATCTATAACGATACACTTCGATTCTGCTCTCTCAAGCAGGGATACATAAGCTTCCAGGGAGATACGAGTCGATAGAAAAAGTACCGAGTGACCCAGTTTAGACAAACCCCAAAACATAACGAGGTAATTGAGATCGGACGGTCCCAGGATCGACACCACGATAGGCTTTTGTGAAGATGAAGTTCGTGCCGGAAGTCTCGAACAAAGTTTCTGCGCTACTCTGTAGGCAAACACGTCCAACTGTCGGATGCTATAGCCGACATATTCAATACCGGAATGAAGGTAGTACATCAGAGGAGTATCTCCGAGTAGCTTTGCACGGCGTCGGATTAGACTATCTGTCGTCTCTGGCTCGGATTCCCTCTCTAACTTCGCTACCTCTCTATGCCTGACAATGGTGGCCTGCTTTCCGTGGAATGTCTCTGATGCCGTGATCCGTACAATGGCTGCCATGATCTGTCTGTGTATGTGTGAAGAACGAGATAAAGCTCGACTCGTGATCAAGAGGTACCTAGGTATTGAAGGTATTAAATTCTCATTAGTTGACAGGCAATAGGAATACAGGACATGGAGGAAACATCTCAACCCTTTATATAGGGATGGAAGAGATGGTTATTATGGATCTTCCCCGCCTGCACGGCCCGGAAAAGCATCATGATGGAATAGTAAATCACCCCAAACTAAGCAATGGCTCTCCAGGAAAGTGGAATCATTGGAGATCTTGAAATTGCGGAGGATACCTGTCTTTAGCTTCAGTAAGATCAAGCTTGCTCTTTTTAAGAAATCATGGCTCTTGCCTCTTTCAGTCCAAGAGTATTGGTATATATCAAACACCAGACTTGTCTTTTGCCATTTAGCAGGCTGTGGGCGTTCTTCCACGCATCATGTCCTCACTTAGACAGTATCTTGTCTCCTCTGTCTAGTAAGAGACATGGTTAAGAATTCATACGGTGGGGTTCCCAAGACCAGTAAAATTCCCGTCAGAGAACGGACTGAACGTAATAGAACTGACTCGGATAACTTCCCAGATACCTAGTCAATTTTTCTGAATGGGATTGAAGTTGTCCGGATAATGATCACTTTGAACCAATACACAGACGTCATAATGAAATTTAGGACTATGTTTAACGGCCATTTGACTCATGTCATTTTAACAACTTTTGAATCCAAGTCAGCGCCTTTCATATCTTGAAGGATCTAGGTGATGACGATAAATTGTTCATGACTAGTGTATACTAACCGCATTACTTCGAATAACATGAGACGTGATAATATTTGAAGCACAAGATGCTAACCAAGGGCTATCATGGTTAGGTCTTAGAAATTGAACTCTGAGGAATTGTTATTCAGACTCGAATAAGCCTGCAAGCACGGTTAGCTGTCAATATTGAAAAAATAGTAACAGGAAAAGGAGAGAAGAAAAAAGGAATCTCATACCCAAGAGTCCAACTGTGTCCACCAAATAGACCCATCTAAGGTATTCAAGAAATCAAAGTCATCATCTCTCATAAGATTAGGATCTTCCACGCCCGGGACAGAGGTTTGCCCCAGATATGGGAACGGATTTAAGCCTGTATTCATAGATGTGGCCGGTTGATCAAAAGTTGATTCTTCTGGTTGATATGCTTTATTGCCCGGTTGTAGATTTTGTTCTGCACTTTCAACTTCAATAGGTTGCGGTTGATTAGGATATATATTTGTCGCAGAGAGCTGCCTGTGCACTTCGAGTCTCAATTCTTCCAAAATGATCCCATATCTTCGACTTGGACAATTTTTACGGGTAGCAGTTGCAAGATGAATCTGACATTTCTCTGCAAGACTAAATAGGTCCTGCACATCCTCTGTTGTGCTGGAAACACTGGGGGTCGTCGGGCCAGGAGAAGACTGATGTTGTTGAATTGTGTAAATGTACACCACAATAATAGCGCAAAAACATATGTAATGGGTGAACCAGAAAGACTCCGGCATGGACCCTTGCTCAGCCAAAGTATCTACCCGCTGCATCACATCTTTGGCTGCATCAATACAGTTTTTTACATGAGTTGTAACCAGGTCAAGAGGTACTAGTGGGCGGCGAGACAAATCAGTGAAGTCGTTGAGGATAAATAGTCGAGTTGCATGTATCATGGCATGATTATATGCAAAGTGTAAAACGTGGCTTTGCCGACAAAGTGGTGGTATCAAGCTGGAAGCCCGAACACTGCCGAACAGGGGATGGACACTTGCTTTCCACTCGCGTAACTCGGCAACAAGTTCTATTGCCGCCTCGTATGGTGCCACTGTAGATACGGCTTTGATAGGATACACCCTCCTAGAGATCTCGCCCATGATAAGTCCGAGCCTTAGAAGTACTGTTAGTATGTGGACTAGTTTAGGGATATGGAAAAAGTATCTGACCTAAAGTGCAAGATAGAAGCAATCATCATACCATCCGTGTCATCCATAGCGTCTTGAATTCGCGGTGGTGCTTCAAGGAACATATCCTCGTCATTTACTTCATCTGGGAAATCCTGGTCGATATCTTCATCACTCAACAGCCGTGGCCGCCCAAACATAACACTCAAATACTTGTCTAAAGTATAAGCGCTCCAGAAAATACGCTTGCGTAACTCCTGGTCTACATATGCCGGTCCCCCGCGTGTCATCTTGGATAGTTGTCTCCGATGCAATCCCAGAGCGGTCACTAGTTGCATAGTGGTCCCAAACATATACCAGCACTGATTAGCCCGCGAGGAAGATAAAAGAAACAGACATATTCCTAGTCGCACTTGAATAGTCTCCAAGGCTGGCGGTCCGGTCTCAATTGACATCATATGCCTGGCTGCAGCATACCATCGTTCACTACAGATTTCCCAGCATTTAATAATGAATATCAGGAAGAAACAACGGCTCACATGCAAGCAAAAACGCACCGAGAGGGAGAGAGGGATACAAGCACATACCTTTCGCTTTCGGGATGGATCTCATCATTCCCATTACTTTGTTCTTCGCCAAGTATCCCCACCGCAAAAATCATGTAAATTACACCAACTTTTGCTGCCAAATGGCTAGGCGTGGAATTTGATGGCAGTATATTCTGTTCATAGACCATTTCAAGTAATGCCTCTACATTGCCTCTATGGAGGAACCGATATGTCACAATCGAAAAATCAAAATATAATGACAGTAGCCTCTTCCCGCGTTCCTTTGGAGGCAATTCTAGAGTAGACCAGTCTGCTGTATCAGAGAAGGGCCGGTCACCGAATAGTAGCACAGGTGTGTTCTTAGACTGTACATTTTCCGGAATTCTGGGCGTTGCTGAGATACTGTCTTGCTTCAAACGTCTCCAGCTCCTTGACAGGAAGGATATGCCGGAGGAAGGTCCGAGGTAGTTGCCCTCTAGATCGGTAGCTTCTGGTTCAGGGGAGCTGCTTCTCGGTGACAAGATAGCCAGTGATGTCGAATCTCCTCCTTCACACAGCCGGGTTCGGTTTGGTCTCGCAGGGGTTGATGATACTACCAGAGGTGATCGTGGAGACTTTGAAGCTCTCCAGTCAAATGAGCGAACGGAAGGTGTCGAGCGTTTTACGAATTTTGGACCCTTGGTTGAAGAGGAGGCAGAAGCTGGGCCGGGAAGTGGAGATGGTGGTGTTCCTCTGGTATATACAGCGTTGTATTCGCATGCTCGCGACAATCTGGCGCAGGGTCCGCATGGCAGCGTTCCAGAGCATTTAGTTTTTCTCCTGGTCACTTTGTCAGCAAGGCGTATCAAGAAATCGTATTCAGTACATTTGAACGACGACAATGGCTGCGCGGGGAGTAGCTACACTTTGCACAAATCGCAAGCTCGGGTTATTTTCCGACGTTCAGTAGTCTCTTTGGTCAAGGAGTTCGAGGCCTTGCGCTTCTGGCCTGCAGAACTGTCTCCAGGCATTGCATCTGAGGATGTCTCTGAAAAGAGGAGGCCCTTTCTCCGAATAAGTGGCTAGGGTGAAATAGTGGGATGATGATGATGAAGATTATGAGGCTCGCGCAAAAGTCGAGATGGAGAAGGTGCAAAGCGGGGAACTCTCCGCTGGGTGCAGCACGTGCTTTTTCTCTCTCTGCCTTTCCTTGAGATGTGCTTATAACAACTACATGTATATCATGCCGAGTGCTGTTGTCACTTCCAGTTCTTCTTATCCTGTACTGCGCGTTATTGTCAGTCTCTGCGAGATCGGCCAGAAGTCCGAATTGATACTTGAACCTGGGCGGATGAGTCACCAATTAAGTTCACACTTCTTATATAGATGGTATGAGCCTTTATAATCTTTGGTCTATTACAGTTATATACCTGGAGGACAACGCGATAGATGGCTTCCATACTAGTATTTTCCTGTTCGTTCTGGACCAAACAATTGCTACAACGTAGAACAAAGATCAGCGAGCGAATTGGGAAACAACCAAACCAAACCATTACAATCAAATAACCAAGAAATGAATGGCGAAATCGAATAAAAAATCCTTTCTCAAGATAATTGAATCAGACAAAGCAAAGCATATCGCATTCCTACAAGAGGCTCGTTCAAGCTCCATCTCCGAATCCACCCGGCGACACCTGTGATTGCCGATTATTTACAGGAACATAATGTGTCTTTCACAAGACTAGATGCCAGCGCAGACCAGCGGATGCCAAACCTGGTCAGCGACTTTGCAGGGGCTGGTTCTGGCCCACGTGTTGCCATGAACGGACATATGGGCGTATTCCCTGTGGACGATGCGGACGCCTGGAAACATGGCGGCCCTTGGTCTGGGTACAATGATTGGCGAGTCCATCCCATGGTCGAGGCACAGTTGACATGAAAGCCGGAACGGCCGCTTCGGTCATAGCATATACGTATATCTGCTCATTGAGAGCTGAGCTCAGGGGTAGCATCCTCATTGAAGAATTTCTAGCTGTGATGAAAACGCACACCCTCACGGTATGGGAATATCTTGGGGGAGCGTCAAGTTGATGGCCATCTAGAGCAGGACACGGAAAAAGAGCCTGGAAATTGTTCGTCGATGGCAAAAATACGAGCAAAAAAGCAATATGTATGTATCCCTAAACGGCTTTGCTTGTTTCTTCTTGGATGAAACCCACTAAATACAAGCAATATCAAAAAGAAATCACACGAACAGCCATTTTACCTGTCGCCTGTGTGGAATTCCCAGTAAAAGATTCCGGGAAGAGATCAAATACCGGCGTCAGGGACCACCGAATGCAGGGAACTTGCTTCGGGATTGCCACTTGGCATAATCGCTCCCCCCTAAGCGACCTCAGGATGCATAGTCCAACACGAATGACGTTTGACTCACTAGCACGGTAAATTGTATATCCGCTCGCCTCATAATTTCGACTCTTAAGTCCGGATACTCTCTCAGCAAATAACAATTGCCGCCTTTCCATAGAGATCAGAGCGTCGGCACCGTATATATATATCCCTGGATATAACGCGGAAGGGTAGTAGGCGTCCAGAGACTACGGCCAGCGCATATTTATCAACCATTTTTTGTTGATCAGCATCTGACTACGGATTCAAGAGATTATATCTATGCTGCCATTAGTTCGATCAAGCCGATTAACGTGAGATAAAACTGTTAGTGATATTCAAACTTACCCTGCCCGATCTCTACATCACTAGTCCCTTCCGCATCTTCATAGTCTGCAAGTATGGAATAGACAGTTTCTTTGATTCTCTCATAACCGCCCTGTTCCTCGGGCAAATGATTCCTAACAGTGCTTTGAACCACTTCCACTAACTCGTGGAGTTGGCCTTTACTGCCTAAGCGAAGAGACTCCAAAAGATCCTCCAAAAATTTATGGTAAAAGCCAAGGACTTCCTCGGTAGCTTGCAGTTGATTCTTCGTTGACATAACGTGTTCTTTGCGGCGTTTATCGGCAGTCTCGTCATATATACATTCGCGTTCGTGGGTAGCACACTCTGAGCAGGGCCTGCCGGTGCTGCACTGTAAAGACGAGATATGTCAACGGGCATGTCGGGAAAACAGAAGAAAAGAAGAAATCGGCCGTTATGCTCCCTACGAGAGCAAGATGATATCATCGTGAGGGATCCTTTGGTGTTATTCACATCATGCATACCTTTGTCCGCCTCTTTTTGCATTCTAAACAAGCCATCGATGCGCGCTTAGTCTTTCCTTCCTCAGCATGTGACGGTAGCGACATTTGTATCCTCTGTACGTCGACGTGTCGGGGCGCAATATAGCGATATCCCTTCATTCGATCGGCTTGGTTATTCATGGTCGGTCTGTGTGGAAAATATATATACGAGCGGGAGTGTCGGCTCAATACAATAAGCTAGCGGAACCTCCAGATCGACACATTAGGTGAACGCTTAGGGAGTCGGATCAAAATATGAATAACAGATCGCGTTCAGCCCACCGACTGCAGGCGTTTGGAACTTTGCGTGGTCCATGCAGTAGCAGAAAAGGAACGTTGCTGGAAAAAAAGGGTATCGCAATCTCAACGCCGCTTGTATTATTCATGCAACGGTACGGAAACAAAACTGCATGGCAATGAATACCAGATACCAGCTGGCCTGCCTGGTGTGCAGCTTATAGTGGGTGGGGGATGGAATCACAAAATACTTGTCTTAGGCTGCGTCGCAGCTGGCAGACTGCATCGAGTCTTTCCTAAATAGGTAATTTTAGTTCGGATGCGACATCCGGCAAACCAGATGCGACGAGAGCTCTTAGACAGCACTGGGAATGGTATTTCCTGTCCAAGCGAGTCTTGGCAGAGAGTCGGGGTTGTGAATAGCTCACTGCTTTGACTGCTTGAGCGAGTGAGATCAAAGGAATGGTCCGGCTAAATTAACCGTTACAGTGTGGATTTTGATAGGTCTTTCCAGCAAGGCTATTTTATAGCAAACCCCGCGGGAATGGGATCGACCTTCATACCTGCAATTCGAAGGGAGAGAGATGTCCCTGGATCGAAGCAGCGACGATATGTCGAACGGCGAAGGATGGTTTTGGGACAATATACCAATTTCGATTGTTTCTGGACCTGCTGTCGAAGGAACATATGCTGAAACTCAAGCTAACGTGGTCTGTTTGGCTTTTATGCTAGGTTACCGGAATTCTGGATAGATACTGAAGAAAGAGAAAGAGACAGAAAGAAAGGCAAAAAGTTGTAGAGATCACTATGATATACCGAAGCAGAATTTATTCATCGATGTCGAGATATATACAAGGGTGGACACGTTTATTTATAACCTACGATTCAAGTTTCAGATTGATATTCGGGATTTGCAAAGCCTATCATACTTAGTATGGTACTATCTATGTTGTAGTACATGAGTACTAGATCTCATGTAAACCCCTTTGAGCACAAGCTCAAAGCTGCCTATACCAGCGAAGCGGAGCTCTTTTGGCAGTTCATTTGGTTGGGGGGCTGGCCAATTGCATGCACAATCCCTCTGGTCTTCAAATACCGAACCGTGGCCCTGGAATGGTGGAAGCTCTTTCCGCCACTCACAGTTCAGTGCTCACATTCTCGCCACCATAGGTTTTCGAGGTACCACTCTGTTGGGACCACATACATCTTCGTCGGACCTGTGTCGTCATTTTGCAAACGTTGGCTGGGCTTCTGGACGAAGGCCGGGTTCGTGGGGCGGAAGAACCCGAGCCCACGAAGACAAGATGAAAGAAAGGGAAAGCAAAAAAGTAAAGCAAAGCAGACAACCTTGACCCTCAACTTGCAACCACAGGGCATATGCATATAGCATATATAATCTGTACTCCGTACATACGCACAAGCTTGATGTGACGGAATAGCTTCAAATCATAGCTTCCAAGCCCAAAAGCCGACACGTGATTGGTTGAGCGGGTGCTGACTCAGCAGCCGTGGCGTTGCGCGCCACAAAACGTCCAATGGCTTCTGCCAGCGACGCAATCAACGACGTCCACTCCTGCTTTCCGATGGGAATGCTGGCACCTGCAATCTAAATCTACCCCCTCAGGATTTACTTGCAACTGACACCCCTTGATTTGCCCAACTATGCCATAGCTTCACGTCACTGAAACTCCGGCCGATCGACGATGGGCAGTGCGCTCGGTGACAGCGAACGCTCGTCGCTGTATGACTGACGAGAGAAGAAGGTTCAGCTATGACCCTTTCATCTGTATCCGGGCCTATGGAATTAGGAGAAACCTACCGGAAAGCACGGAAAGCACGGAAAGTCTATCTTGATTAGCTGCTGATATGGGGTTCACGGTGATCATGATTGATCCTCCAGATTTCCTACTGTTACATCTTACAGCACGGGTCACACCGAGCACAAGCATTGAGCCATGCTTAGTCGGAAGTCTGTAGTCTGCATCAGGCTATTCTCACTGTTCAGTGTGACCACAGGAGAAATTGCATTCTTGTTCCCGGGGCCTGGCACGCATGTATACTACGCCAGGCAAAGAATGGTTTCGACGCTTTCATCTTCATGCAAGCACCTTTATCAGAATAGCACAGGCACGTCGCTACTGGGCTCAACCGCTCTGGAGATCCCAGCATATGCAACTGGTTGTCAAACCGTGAGGCTGTCAGCTCTCAGTAGTATATCCGCCTATTGACAATTCTTCTCGCTAGACAACGGTATATTTTAGACGGAACGGCATGGGCTCACCCAGAATTTCTAGTCTTGTCTCGCTTCTCAAGGATTTGTCTTTGGATTCGTGGAAGTTCTAAGTTCTAGACTCAACTGCGCCCCGTTGAGGCCGAATGACCGGATACCTTTCACGACTAATGCAATGTAGAGCTTTCGGGATTTGCCAATAGGATCGCATCCGTACCGAATTTATATCCAGATCGACACCAACTTTGGATTTGCTTGATTTCCTTTCGAACCGGCTAGACACAAAGTAGTACATAGTCACGGCGTTAGTTGGGTGTCTAGGCGCAGAGCGATACCAAACTAGGTACTTTGTAGCGAGTTTTCCCTTCTAAAGGTGCATGTACAGCTGATTTATTTTAGGACCCTTTCCCTCTTTCTGAGTCCAGACAGAAAACTTCCATGCTATATACATCATCATCTATCAACTAAAATTCCAATTTATCCACCAATCCGATGAAGGCCTTGTTGTTTCCTTCACCACTCAGTAATGCCTCGACGTCGACACGTCCGGCCGTAATATATCGTTCACTGATACCAATGTTAATTCGCTTGGACAGGAGCTGCTTCAGCTCCCCTCGTAAGGCTGCCATCTCTGCCTTTGTGATACCGCCCGCTTGCTTCTCCTTTTCCGAACGACCACCACCGCGACCGCGACCTTTCGCTCTACTGCCCTGCTTCTCGAATTCTTCGCTGTCGTAGTCTACGCCTAGTTCCTCTGCTGCATTACGCAGCCAATTGTCTTCCGCCGAGAGTTTCTCCTTGGCTAGACTGGATTCCGTGATCTTCTTCGCCAATGTCACTCGTGGCTTGACACGCGAGATAACCCGACGATCGAGTTCGAGGGATTCGAGGGGGTTGCGTTTCACAGATACACTTGCTTCCGCTTGTGCGTGGACCTTGCCAACAAGTCGAGCTACTCCGACGACTTCATCGGGTGCGCAGATCAAAACACTCTTACCAGATGCTCCTGCGCGAGCGGTACGTCCGGATCTGTGGACATACATATCTGCGGTTCGGGGTACGTGATAATGGACAACCATGTTGATACCCTTAATATCAAGGCCACGAGCTGCCACATCAGTAGCCACCAAGACTGAGCTGGGATCAGACTCGGGAGACGAGAATCGTTCAACAGACCGTAGACGCGCTTTCTGTTCCATACTTGAATGCAGGGCTAATGCTGGAATCCCCAGATTCTGTAAAAATTGCGACAGACGGCGAACTGATGATATAGAGTTTGCGAACACCAGAACACGGTGGCGCGGATGGTACAGTAATAATGTGTATAGATAGAGATCCTTTTTAAAGACTGTTAGAAGAAAAACCCTGAGTATGATGTATTGCGGTGACCCGACTTACCTTTTCCATAGCAGCACATTCCAAAATTCCCTCTTTCAAGCCTTGCGCCATTTGCGAAATTGGGTTAACATCAATGAATTTCGGCCGCTCTTCACGAAATTGAAGTTTTTGTAGTAGATACTCCATAGATTCCTTTTTGTTCATGAGATCACTACTGACAAACTTGCTTTTCCCGCTCAGCTTTTGTTGCAACCCCTTGTGGAAAGTCGCTGAAAAGACAAGTGTTTGTCTCGTGGATGTAGATTCTTCCTTCTTCTCCTCTTCTGAATCTGAAGAATTTTGCTCTGCCTCGTCGTTGTCTTCTTTTCGGTCAATGGCATCTAGAATCTCTTCCAGTTCCTTGAAATGCCCGTCACTGAGCAGTCTGTCGGCCTCATCAAGAACCAAGTATTTGACCTTGGACATTCTTTGAATAAGGCCCGTTCCTGAACTGAGAATCTCCCAAGCTCTTCCCGGCGTGCCAATCACAATATCAGCGTCAGTCAACAACCGTTGTTGCTTCTGAATTGCCAAGCCACCAGTAAGGAGTGCAATTCTTGCATTTGCCGCCGGGGTATGTGTGTTGAGCTCTCCGATGTGCTTGGCTAGTTGATGTGCGAGCTCCCTCGTCGGGGAAAGTATCAGTGCTATTGGTCCAGACGAGGTCTCTTTCTTCTTGCTATCTTTCACACCGTCATGCTGGCCTCTAGTGTTCAAGTAGTATTCAAGGATAGGTATGCCAAACGCTAGGGTCTTTCCAGAACCCGTCGAAGCCTTACCGACCACATCATGGCCAGCGAGGATTTCCGGTATAACCGCTTTTTGAATCGCACTGGGTGTCGAGAATTTGAGCTTAGAAATGCTTGTCTGTAGCGCCGGAGACAATCCTAATGAATCCCATGCAGAAACATCTACACCATCCGCTTCTTCCTCTTCGAGGGCCGTAAAAGGCAAAGACTGTATTTTGCCGCCCGATTTGTCTCCCTTCTCACTCGGCCTTTGTTGTTGTTGTTGCTGTTTCTTAGCACTTGGGTTTGCTCCATCCGTGACATCTTTCTTTGTTTTTTCTGCCTTCGGCTTCTGCTTCTGCTTTGGTTTTTTCGTTTTCACTTCTTCCTCGCCATCACTGAAGCCGGACCATTCGTCGGTATGCTCAACCGGTGTCTCCTCGCTATGTTCGGTTTTCTTGAGTATCGACTTGGTCGGCTTGTTGTCTGCTGCCGCAACCTAGATAGCACAACAGCCTAGTCAGCGCAACTCTCTCGGTCTGAAATTTAGAATACTTACCTTGAATTTCACCTGGCCATTGGCTTTCGGTCGCACGATGTCCACGCCGTCTATTTCTTCGAGTCCAAAAAACCCACCGACATCACCCAGTCGATCTGGGAGCTGAACTTCCTTCCATTCAAGTTGATCAATGCCAACGAATTCCTCCGAAGCCTCGGTTGAATCTTCCTGCACTTTTGTCCTTTTTGACGCCTTTCTAGGCAAAGCACGCCCTTCTCTTTCGCGTTTTGTTCCCATTGCGAGGTGGTTTGGGGGTGTTGGTTGGTAGATGACTCTCTTCCGGGCAGAAAAAAAAAATGTCGCAGCTCCAATCTCCGCGCCGCCTTCCCAATCTTATCAGCAAATTCTTTGCTTCCCCGCCAATAACTTGTCGCAGCGAGAAAATCGAGAACTTTTAATGGGCTTCGACCAATCGCGACGCTATTATTAATCTGGAAAATGGGAAAGGCATCGAAAGATAAACGCGACGCCTATTATCGGCTAGCCAAAGAACAGAACTGGCGAGCACGTTCGGCTTTTAAGTTAATCCAGATCGACGAGCAATTCGACCTCTTTGCTCATGCAGACCCGGATAGCGTCACGCGCGTGCTTGATCTTTGTGCTGCTCCTGGGAGTTGGAGCCAGGTTCTAAGTCGCGTGCTGATCAAAGGAGAAAGCTTTGGACGCAGGGCATGGCTAGAAAAACGTCGTCGCGACAAGCAGGCTCTGGAACGACTCGAACGGAAGGAAGAGGAACAGCAAGGCAATATTGAAGGGAAACCATCTCAAGACGACGATGAAGCAGAGGAAGACGAATCTGCAGTACTAAAACCACGAAAAAATGTTAAAATCGTTGCAATCGACCTTCAGCCCATGGCGCCATTGGAAGGTATCACTATGATGAAGGCAGACATAACCCATCCATCTACAATCCCTCTGCTCCTGCGTGCTTTAGACCCGGAAGATTACGACGAGAATTTTCAGAAGCAGGAGGACGATACAGAAGCTCCCTCCAGACTCCCATCACGGCACCCGCATCCAGTGGATTTGGTGATCTCAGATGGAGCGCCGGATGTCACGGGTCTTCACGATCTAGACATCTATATCCAATCCCAATTACTATACGCAGCTTTAAATCTAGCCATCGGGGTTCTCCGTCCAGGTGGTAAATTCGTGGCCAAAATATTCCGCGGCCGCGATGTTGACCTCCTCTATGCGCAATTGCGGACTGTGTTTGAGAAAGTTTCTGTTGCTAAGCCGCGCAGTAGCCGAGCAAGCAGTCTAGAGGCATTTGTTGTTTGTGAAGGTTTCATGCCACCCAAGGACTTTGACTCTGCTCATGCGCTTCACAATCCCATGTTTGGAGGCGCAGCTACCCCTCAGCCCAATGATGATGGTACTGTTGGCTCTGATATTCTAGAAGAGGATGGGAACGACGACGGGAAGAATCAGCAAATCCCACTTATACGCCCTGTTTCAACGATTACTAGCAATGACACGCTACTTAATACAAACGACTTGACCCGTACTCTGGCCCTCGATCAACTTACTCTGTCTGAACAACTTTCGCATCGTCGTCCACCGCACGAATCTCGCTGGATCCCGCCCTTTATTGCTTGCGGGGACCTTTCTGCATGGGACTCTGATGCATCGTATTCTTTACCTGAAGGTTATGTCAGTCTTGATCCTGTTCAGCCTCCAACTGCTCCCCCATATAGGCGAGCTTTAGAGATGAGGAAGGAACAAGGTGGAGCATACGGAAAAACGAAGTTGGGAGCTACTGGCCGCGCATAAAAACGTCCAGTAGCGGTGCTTTTGAGATTTTTTGGGTTTAAAGCGCTATTCTTCTGGTGAAGGACCCATCGAGCCCTCAAATGATTACTAGGTTGCATTCAAGACCTACCTTATAACGAGATTAAAGACCAACCTCGCGTCAATAGATACGTATAATGAATGTGATGAGTATGGGGTATATACTGAATTTCTTGTCAATCTAGATACAGTCTAATGCAACTCGTGGCAACGACACATAGGTCAGAGAAATGCAATCGCTATGGGAAACAAAAATTTTCATGTATGGTGGTACGAAACAAAGTCATATTTCGTAAATGAGCCATGCTGCAGAAGGTGTAACAGCCGACTAATACACTTCCAGAACATATCTTTCTTCGTCTTTCAACTTCTCAATCTCCTTGCGAGGCTCCACCTTCTTACCCTGTGCCTTGGCTTCGAGAGCAATCGCTTCCTCCAGCACTGCTGTGACATCGGGAACTGGCCAGGTAGGACCGCAGAGATAGAAAGCTCCTCCTTCACGAACGTAGGCCTGAGCAATTTCCGAGAGAGTTTGACGCATGCGATCCTGGATGTAGATCTTCTGCGGCTGATCACGAGAAAATGCTCGTCCCAACAACGTGATAACACCTGCAGCTTGGTACGCCTCCCATTCTTCACCATAGCAGTATTCTTCGCGCTGGTGACGGGATCCCATGTACAGCAGAACGGAGCCAATTTCCTTGCCCTGTGCCTTCTCGAGCGCACGGTGTTGCACAAAAGCACGGAAAGGTGCCAGTCCAGTACCCAGACCAGCCATGATAATTGGTTGGGTTGAGAGAGGTGGTAATTTCATGACGCTTGGTTTGACGCTGACGGTGACAGGAGTTCCAGGCTTGAGTCCGCTGAGGTACCGAGTAGCCTGTCCGAAACGATCACGGCCTCGTGGATCGACCCAGTTCACAACAACAATCATCAGAGCAACAGATGTAGGTGTTACCTTTTGGCAAGACGCAATCGAGTACTCGCGACGTTTCATGGGGCTGACTATACGCACGATATCGTGGAAGCTGGGGTGAGCAGAGCGGAATTCAAGCAAAATATCAGCATACGTCACAGTATCAACTTCTGCACGTCTCTTAAATTCAACCGCTCCCTCCGGTCCACCCAGGGTAAGGAGTTCTTTCTTTTCTTTATCCTCGGTGGCAAACTCAGCCAGTGCTTCATAGAATCGTTTGGGCGGGCGACCGAAGAGATCGACGTTCTGTATCAACGCTTGATAAACCGTGCGGTTTTCCAGGATATTCTGGTCTTCCCTGTTGGGAACTTCCACAACTTCATCGGGATTCAAGCCATAGAATTTGATAAATTCCATGACATCTTTTGGATCATTCTCTGCATGTACGCCAAGAGCTTCGCCAATATCATACTTGAGGCCCGAGTCGCCGAGGTCAAACTCAATATGGAAAATGTTTCGGTCGTAAGTGACTGGAGTCAATCGCCGATTTTCTTGAACGCGAACAGTGAATGTCTTGGCGCTAACGTCTGGACGCAATACATTCTGAGCGCCGTATGACTCTTTGAATGCGAGCCCTTTAGCAGCGGTCTTCCAATCCTTGAGGAATGAAGCTGGTTCCGTCTCCTGTTTGTCAAAGGGTACAAAACCAGAGGGAACGATATCCTTTGGCAGCTCTTGTGCGTCAGAAGGAACCTCTGACGTGAACCATGCTTCGGGAATCTCGATTTTTCGCACAATAGCCTCTGTTTGAGCTAGGCCTTCCACATCCTGGGCCTTGACGATATCGAATGAGGCCTGAACGGCACGCAAGACAGCTGCTTGTATGATAGCAGACGCGGTAGCGGTTTCGCTGGTACCGGAGGTATCTAGAAGCGAAAGCACAATGCCTCGTCTGGCAATTCGCTGTTGGAAACCAACAGGCAATTTCTTCTCCAAATCCTCGTCCTTGAGTCCCGGTGCTCGCACGAGAAGATTGCCCTTGTCCTTTATAGATGCAAGGATATCAAGATCACCCAATATCCTAATATCCCCAACAAAAGCAATGTCTGCCGTAGTTACTGGATATGGCGCATCCACAATCTTTGTGCTCCTGCGAATATCGGTACGGACCACACCGCCCTGCACTAAATTATCATAAGTTGTGCTGGTGGTCACGTTGGCGGCGGGATCTTTCGAGAGGGCCGATGCCAAGGCCGTAACAGCATCAAAGGACTGGCCATCATCCAAATCCCAGAAAATGAACTCTTGCGTGCCGGACTGTTCAAAGAGCTGAAGAGGACTGGTCTGTTGCATATTCTGCAGAATAGGCTTGTCGGACACGCGTTGGAATGCGGCAGCTGCATTGATAATGTTCCACTGATATGAGCAATCGTATTTGATATCAACGCAAACAGGGCTCTCACTACGGTCGGTAGCAAAAGTCAAAGCTGCGAGAACGTCATCGTATAGTGCTGAATGAACGCCTTCTTCCTGTACAGACTGTTGATCGCGAACTTGACCGAGGACACCCACGGTCTCGGCGGTCTTGGGCAAGATACGAAGGAATTCCTCCTCCACAAAAGGCCTGTAAACACGCACATTCACTACTCCAATCCGTGATCCTCGCTTGCTCAAAGAGCGAGCAATTTGGGAGGTCAGAGATGACTCCACGGTGCCGAATACGACCAAGACGGATGTCGGCTCGCTATGACCGTGGTATTCAAATAATCCATAATCAGTTCCCAGCTCGCCATTCAAGCCCTGCAAAACGTTCAAGACTTTACCCTGGTCATCTAAATGCTTTGTCCGGATATCGTTCACATGTTGTTGTTGAACAGCCTGGTACACACGATGCAGGCCAGACTGGTCCATGACATCGATAACCCGAGTGTTGTCGCGGCCTACGCGAACTCCATCATAGAGGTGAATGGTGGGCAAGAAGGTAGCAACAAGGGTAGAGAAGAGTGCCATATGCTGCGCTTCATGCACGGAGGAGCTGGAAATAAGACCGAGGCCCAGATCTTCAGCCAGATTCAAAGCTGTCGCATAATCCGAAACTAGTTGCCCGCCAGCATAGTCGACGGCAGCAACATGAGCGACTACGGGGTTAGCAACGGCATAGAGCAGAGAAAGCTGCTCCAGGGACGATCGCAGATAAGTCAAAGTTGCGGACGAGGCCAAAATGCCTTGAGGGACGTGGCGCTTCTTCAAATCAAAATCGCGGGAGAAGAGATAGCCCAAGGCAATGGACCCAGCACCATGACGGGTCTGAAGCGACTGCACAGCAGTGACCTCGCCGTTCGCATTCCGTTCACTCCGAGACGCCCAGTATTTCACAGCCGAGTCAAGGTTGAACGATTCCGGGGAGTATGAGAAAATTTTGTCGGAAAGGATGTAAGTGACCTGCTGGATAAGATCCTGAGCAGTGAGATAGGTAGGGCCGGAAATGGCCTGCAGCTCCAGAACACTACCCATCCTGAAGTTTCAAGAATGAGCAAATCGTGAAGACTGGATATTAGCAGTAGTTACAGAAGAAAATTCGAATTGAAGACTCAGAGAGACTCTACAACAAAAAAATCCCCATACTGCCAGGGACGCCTTCCGAATTCGGCTAGCTGAAATCACGCAATTTCTTATCGATAAGCTTAGTGCGAATACGGTTTAGCGGCATGTCGCAAAATCGGCGCCAAGCCCGACTTGCCGTTTTGGCCGTTCCTGCCTGAGGCCACAACACTGCGGGCCCTCATTGGCTAGCTTCGATTCTGCCGGGCGCGCTTGATTGACGTAGGCTTAGTTGAGGGAGCTCACCATATTTGTCTTTGCTGCATCTACCCAAGCACTCGAGGGATATCTTGTCGCCAAAGTCGAATTTTAGATAATGGCTAACAATGCAGTTGGGGTCGCCCTCTTGGGTTCCACAGGGTTGGTGGTAAGCTTCGTCACACGGCATCTAGCATATGGTTAAGATCGATGCAGTCTTGATGATCCGATCTGATTTTTGCTGTGCTCAGGGATCCAACATACTGACCAATCTCCTTGCTCATCCGTCAGTAGCTCGTGTCGATACCGTATCTCGCAGGACACCTGCGGCTGCCGCATCATCGCCGAATGCCAAATTGACCACATTCGTCGAATCTGATACCTCTCGTTGGGCGGGTCAAATCTCTCAGCTCAGTCCTCCTCCGTCTATTTTCCTTTCGGCATTGGGGACAACCCGTAGCCAAGCTGGTGGGCTAGAAAACCAGTACAAGCTCGACTTGGGTCTTAATATCGAGTGCGCCAAAGCAGCTCGTGAGGCTGGTGCGAAAGTTTATGTACTTCTTTCGAGCTCTGGAGCGAATTCGTCATCCATGGTGCCATATGTGAAACTCAAGGGTCAGTGTGAGGAAGCAGCAAAGGAACTGGGCTTTGAACACACTGTCATCGTACGGCCAGGCCTGATTGTAGGTCAGCGCGAGGAAAGCCGCCCAGCAGAAGCGGCTTTACGATTTCTCGCTTCTTCATTCGGCAAGCTACACTCATCACTGAAAGATAGCTGGGCACAAGATGCAGATGTCATCGCTAAGGCTGGCATAAGCGCCGGGCTAAAAGCTCTCGCCGGTGACGTTCCTGCTGGAAGTGAGAAAGTCTGGATTCTTGAACAATCGGATGTTCTCCGTTTGGGACGCGAAGAGTGAAATTGCGATTTTTGGAGTTCGGGAAAAGTGGAGAATGTCTATTACAACACATCTAATTACAGACTGAAATCTTAATTGATACTCTGGTATTGCAGACACGAAAATTAGATACTAAACATCTCAGTATAGTTTAGTATCCCGAGGTCCTTTGTATATATTTATTCCCCCATAACATCTGCCTCCACATTCATACAAATACCAAAGACAAAGGTAATACTGACGCTGAGCTTTATTAAACAGGCAATTTTCAATATTTCGTTTGGTTTACCGGCTTGCTTTTGCGAGTCCACCCTCTTGCACTTTGCGGTTTTTCAACTCCACTCTCTGGAGGATCCTTGGAAGAGTCGCGGGTCGAGTTCACCTCCCTATTCCCAGGACTAACGTCAAGCGGATTGCTCGTCTTGTTACGCTCAGCAGACTCTCTGCCCGCAGCTTCGACTTCAGACTCCGGCTTCGTGTTAGACGGGTCAAAGGACGCGCCGTGACTTGCTACTTCGTCGTCGGTGCCAGTTTGCGTACCCTCGGCCCTCGATGGGTTCAGTGTGTCTCGTTTGCCCAAACGATCGTTTGCGTCGATTCCATGGCTTTCTGTCCAGAGTTTCGAGGTTGTTTGAAGGTTTCGACAACGGCATTGTTGGAGCTGGAGCTGGAGCTGGAGCTGGAGAGAGTGCGTTCGTGTCGAAGATATGGTTGATATAGCATTCTGATTTGGTAATGCTCGTCTAAGTAAACCAGCGCTATTGAGCGCGGTTTGACGGAGAGAAGCGCTCATGTCGGTGCCAATTGTATTTAATTCTGTAATTGTTTTTCGGTTCAAGAGAGGGTACCTCTAGAAAAGAGAGAGGAGATTCCTTTTTTTACATGCTACGATATTCTTTCAACCAAGACGACTTCCTTTTACAATCATCCTGACGTCATGGTAGATGGAAGCAAACTTAACAAACATTCAAGGCTTGGCGTGCGCTAGTAAGAATTTGGAGAGCTTTTATGTTTAAATCAAAATTGTTGATTGAATAAGAGATAGACGGTAGAGGGATAATAACCAAATTGCACTGTAGTAGCAGGGTGCGGGATACAGAGGAGATGCGTCTGGTGGTTACTTAACTTCTCTTCCTAGTCGGAAGTCTGATCTGATCCAGCGAGCACACGAAACACCGCAAGTCTGACCAGGTTGGTTGGAGCGAACTTTACTACACTTACTAAAACAAGTCGATGACTACTCGTTCTGTACTACCACGAAAAAAAGTCTCTGAGCTGGAAGTTCTGGACATCGGAGGGAGACGCCTCTGGGGTGTCACTTGCCACGTCATTCCAATGAAAACACTTGAGATATTGGCGTTTTCAGGTTGAGGCTCATATCACATGTGAGTCTGCTGCAAGACCTGGCAAGTCGGCTCGGTTTGATGGTAGATACGCCGACAGACTAGGGCCCATGCGTAGTCAAGAAGATGTGAGGGTGATCCGAGCTCAGAACAGCTGTATGTATGTTGCCGGTGAATGATATCAACCAAATACCTACACGGATTGTCAGAAATGATCTACTCCCAGACTCCGACCCTCATTTATGCAGTGAACATACATCATGTGCCTGACAATAGCTGCAAGGTTGAGCATCTAGTCTTTTTTCGTGTACGAACACGTATGTACGTTGGGATGTCCGCTCACCCCTTCCAATGCTAGCTAAGAGGAGTCTGCATGGCTGAGATGGGGTACTGCAGGTTGTATCACAGAAAGATTCGCGTTCGTGATCCTAAATCTCAAAGCCGATGACACGTAATAAGAAGTAAACAATCATCAGGCTTCAGCCTCGTCATGAGAAGCAGAAGCCGATGAACCATTGATACCTATTGGTGGTCTTTGACTGATAAGAAGCGGTGAAGTAGTCGACTGGAAAATATTCGATCGTTGATTCAGTGCATATCAAAACATCTTCAGTGTGAACAGGGAACTCTATGTCCCTAGCTTAGCGTGTAAATGGCCAAAGCTAGATGATTGGGTGCATGCCGTGGGGCGAAAGGCATGCAGCCAGCATGAGCTGGAAACCAATCCCTGACAATATGTCGATGGCAATGCTAATGGACTAGCACCTTATTGAGATGCAAGTTATGCTGTGCCACTTTATTTGTCCCTAATAATGGCCTAGTATGCGGAATTGCGGGAAGTCCCGTCATGCCTCAATCACGAGAATAAATCTCATCCAAGAGTTTGGAATGGATGCATATGGATTTGGATGCAAATATAAAGTTCGTGACACCGATATTTTCCAGTTTGGTTTGCTCTGTCGGAAGCGTTTTTAACTATTTCGAGGACCGTGCATAGCAAAAAGGCTCACAATGCCAACACCGACTTCTGACCAATGCATCAATCTAAGACAGCATTAAAAGCGCGAGGATTCGACAGCCTTCGGATGGCCAGAGGCCCGTGGCCCGACTTGTTGTGGCAAATTCGCGATGTGGCACTAAGAGTGGAGTGCGCTGCTTGCATTATCAAGTTTTGTCTCTTTTGTAGAAGTGACGACCTCGCATTGCATGGATAAACAAGCAGATGGCCAATGAAAAAAGCCTCATCAATATGGATGTTTGAGCGAACTCCGTACTATGGGAATAGCGAAATGATACCCATAGGATTCATGAGGCAACCGTCAATCCCCAGCAAGCGGGGGACCGGAAATTCCACACCGAATGCAGCATGATGTGGCAAGCTAATCCTCATCTAACTGAGAAATAGCATTGAATGACTCAATCTCTGTCGTATTCAATGACGGGAAAACGCATCTGAGAGATTAGCAATCATGCGTCCTGGACCAGACGCAACATGCCACGTCAGAGAACATGGAAGCTGTAATGCAGTTGCATGAATTAACCCCGTAGCATCATGAATTGAAAGTAGGATGGGTATACCCGAGTGATCCGGTCTCCTATCTAGGTAAACGAAAGGCAAGACCGTGCACCTGAACAAAAGTCAATGCGGGACAATTCAAGTGCATCTGTCGCTGATCAGCTGAAAGAATTCGCCTGCCACGTCTGGGCTGGGTCATTTCAGGGGTTCATCATTGGTCGTTGGGCAAAGGTGGCACGAAGCAAGTAGCGAGCTTAGGTCGAGAATACAACGCTCCTAACCGGGATCAAAGAGACTAAAGCAACATCGTAGGTGTCACATTAGATGAAATGGCAAATGAAGATGCTAACAATGACCGCATAGTGCGGGCACGTAGCCTGTCGTCTTTGCTGATTGGAGGTAAATAGAAAATGCAATTGCGATCACTTGGTTCAGTACGCGGATCGCATGCATGGACCCAAAGGCCGATGTTGATATTCAGGATTGAGCAACACTGGTACGCGTTGCAGCAGTAGTCAGAATCTATTGGAAATGAGCTTCTAAATGTCAACGGGAGCTAAACACTAGCTTTGCAATCTGCAGCCATTCTGCAGTACACTTACCTTTCTGGGAAGGAGGCCATGCATATGAACCCTCTAGCGAAAAGCGGTGGGGCCTTTGGTCTATCTGCATGTTTGCGTAACTTCCAAGGTCTTGTTCATAGCGATGTCCGGAGTGAATTTGGTGGCATCGTTAGCAAGCAATCGCCAATTGGGTAGAACCCAACAGGAAATATGATTCACACAAGCAAAAAGAAAAAATTAGCCCTCCGAAGGACCTAGCGTGTGCATCATCATGTCACAATAGACAAGGATCAGTCGATGACAAGTCTTGATGTAAACGATGTAAGTTAGCCACGTCCATTGGGTTGATGGCACTAAGGTCGCATTTCCTCCGAAGACTAAAAGATTTGCCTCAAATTGAAGGCCATTCGGAAACAGAAGGAGAGAAAGAGTGGACAAGATAGCATCAATTTTTGATGGACATGCATGGACTAGGCGGCCGGTGAGACGACGGTAGCAACCTAGATGCCTTACAGGTGTCAAAGTCTTGTGACGCGTCCACTATCAATGCAGTAGACCAAGACATGGGCGCATCCATTGCACAACGATGTGATGGTCGTCGAACGGAAGGTAGCGAACACACGGTGAACACGCGTCGGTCAGAAAGTAGAACAATCTCCGAGCCTGGTGCAATAGGTCCCTCTGCTGAAACATAAATATGGTCCATCGCTCCTTAGGATTCGATTTGATAAGTTCATATTTCCTCATAAACAGTCTCAGAAAAGGAGTTGTTCAGCCTCAGAGCACAAATCAAATATCAGAATCTTCATTCACAATCCGCAACTCGAGACGTCAGGCATATAGCCCTTGTCAAAGTGATTCAGCAAATCCCTCCTGTTCGACACGCCGAAAGAGCAGGCCATTGACGAATCAAATCTCCGGAAGCCTGTATACATTGTTCCTCAACTGCTCAGTAAGTGATCATAATGCAAAGATGAAACCGGTGCAGGCACTGATGGTGCGACCAAGAAATGTGCTTTTACAACCAAAAAAAGTTCTCCTGCGGTGACTGGAACTGGACGAACTTCGCCCACCAGTGCAACTATGAGTACCGCACTGGCGAGACATGTGGCATGAGACTGGTAAACTTCACAGAGTATGAAGCCAAGCAGTGCCGGCTCTGTGAGAAAATCGAAACCAAGTTTCGTCGTCGCAGCCAAGAATTGGAACGATTGGACCGTTGGAAGCGAGAGGGAGGCAGCCTAGTGGCAACAATGAGCCGCTCGCAGCAATTGGTCAGTGATCTTGAGAACGAGATCTGCCAGCTTCAAAACGAACGGGAATGTAAGAGGAAAGCTCTATCTTGAAGAACAGAATGGGCGGGCAGGCGGCGCCCTTCTGTCCAGGAGTAGAATCCTTCGGAAACTCCTGCAAACACCGTTGATGATTGGATGCTTTTCTTAAACAATGGCCGAATGTGTGTTTCGCATTTCCTTTGTTTGTCCGGTTTTGTTGCTGTGTCGGGCTTTCTGGGATGAAACATTTGCTCCGATGTCACATATGTCACCAGAGCTGCCGAGGTCAAACGGCCGGTGCCAGAGGAAGCCTGGATGCTGGTGGACCTTGTTTTGTTTTTGCAGGGGTTTTTTTGTAACATAATATCCGCGGAGTCAACATCTCCCTATTTAAAACTTTTTCTTTGTGACATGTCTGGGTGCCTCCGGTGCTTTCTCGCTCTAGGACTCGTTGCACGTAAGCGCCCTCTAATGCTAGAGCGGGGCGATCAGTGTATCAGACAAGCCGGACGTTTAGGAAAGCTGGCGGTTAAATGGACGAGGCTGGCAGGGCTAAAACACAAAGCAGAGACTGTGATGATTAAAAATAAATCCAATCTCGCCAGGCAGAGGAGGATGCGAGTGCAACATCATCGCGGGGAAGCCGGTGGTGGGAGTTGGTGGGTCGCCGCTTTTGGCGAGAAATGCCAGCAACATCAGGCCAGCACTGTGGCCACGTGAGGACTGCAATCTCTTTGCTTTGTGTATCACGTGGTGGGAACAACTCCTGCAACGCCAACCCCCCGGTATTCCAGCATGATCAGCTTCGTTCTAAAGTCAAGCATTCGAGGGACACTGACCGAGTCCTACGGGAGGAAAGCTGGGCTGTACCGTTCGAGGGCGATGCTTGTTCAAGGGAGAAATTCAGCGGGCAACGTGGAACAGCAAAATTCTGTCGTGAATGACCGTGGGCTATTTATGAATGCTTCTTGCCTGGAAGGGGAAGGGCAGGCCAGCGACGTTAATCGCAGGGCCCATGTAAATAAGACACGCTATCTGTTGACGTGGAGCTGTCGGGCTGGGATAAGCTGGCGTTGAGCAGCTTGGATTTCACGGTGGACTACATATTAACTGCGCAAACAGACCTATCGGAATCTCGAGTCAGCCATTACAGGTGTGTGTGTGTATGTGGTCTGCCACGTCACATTTCAAGGCGAGAGGCTCCTTCTGACAGATAGACAAATCAAGGACGAAGTGCTCGCATTCGGGCTGCTATCGTTATACCAAGAAAACGCAGGAAATCACAAGCCACGGTTCGACACCTCACTAATGCGCAGTTCAAGGTCTTGAATTCTGAAGAAAGACTAAAAAAATTCTCTATGCTCGCTGCTTAACTCTCAGTTTCCTCGTCCTTAGCCAGTCCATGCTGTCTCAATAATGCATTAATCTCATCGGCACCCCAAAGGTGGTGGTAGATTCTTCCATCTTTGGTTTTCCCAACGGTTGCAAATTCGACTAGATTCAACTTAGTGACATTTCTTGAACTCGTTTGGGTAAGAAACTTACTTTTCTCGCTGCTCAGCTTCGTAGAGTCCATCGTTTTGCTCAAAACTTTCACTGCCAGAGCACAGGCTTCCTTGAGATCACTGTCCTCTTTATAGTCTTGTTTCAAGAGACTCTGAGCAGCTGCATTGTTGGCGCCAGCACTGGTCGCCTTCCAACCACCGTAGTTGCCGCTAGGATTGCTCTGGTATAGCTGGAACTGTCGGAGATGATCGTAACCAGCATAGATGAACGAAACGCCAAACGGTCGTAGACCACCATGCTGGGTGTACCCCTGCTTCAAATCACACAGACGGCGGACAAGTTGTTCACAGGGGATTTCTTCGTTGTACGTTAAGAGGTATTGTTGGGCGGCCTGGCGGGCGTAGTTGATGAGTATGTTGGCATCGGCATTCATTCCGGCGACAGCACAGATCATGTTACTAGTTTGCAGTAGAATGTTAATCAGGCTCTCTTAAACGAACAAATGATAGCCCTTTGTTGGAAACTACTTACTCATTCAGGATATAAAGCTTCTCTGCCGATGTATCCTGTTCCAGGAGCTTGCTAGTCACCTTCCTCTCTGCAGCAAGCACAATTCCATCTTTGGCCAAGATGCCGAGAGCCGTGCCAGCGTGAGAAATAGCCTCGAGGGCATATTCGACCTGGTAGAGACGCCCCTCGGGCGAGAAGATCGTAGTCTGTTGAAGTACACCCTACTGTCAGCCATCGTCAAAACACCCAGGCCGTGGACACTCACTCGTGAATCGTAGCGTCTTGACATTCTGCTGAGGATGGCAGTAGCCGATCAAGAATCAAGTTTTGGAAGAATAGTCGAAGCAAGAGTATGCTCTCAGATGGGATACTCAAGGCTGTCCTCAGAATGGTGGTGCTTGGATGGATGGAAGATGCGGAAAGGCAGAAGTAGCTGTCAAGCTCCCGAAGTACTAGGCAAACCCAAGGTGGTCGCGTTCGCCAAGCTCGGGCCACTCCGCAGATCGCATCAAATTGTGGTGAGGCAAAGCTTCGTACTATGTCTACACTCGCAGCGTGACTTTGGAATATCGCAGATTTATCTCACTATCAACCCCTCTTTCGTCTCACAGTGATCGAGGCCATCGGTGAGAGAATGCTGAAGTCGACGTATACACCCCCGCCTCCATTGCCACCTGGGTGGACAGAACATAAAGCCCCGTCTGGTAAGGAAATATACCTGACAATTCTTCTATACAGTGCGCCCTGACAGACATGCACAGGTCATTCGTATTACTACAATGCAGCAACGAAACAATCTACGTATAAACGCCCAACAGCGGTTCCTGTTTCCACAGCTCCGTCAGCAGAATCTGCGTCTACCTATATTCCGGAGAACCTTCCTCCATTTTCCTCTACTCCTTATGGGCCGTCCGTGGGAGCCAATCAGCCAAGTCTACCTTTCAAGAACAATGCATTCGCGCAGTATTACAGAGGCTACGATAGTGGCAAAGGTCGCGGAGGTCGGCGGTATCGTGAATCCAACGATCGCCCAAAGTCAAAACGTATCATCCCCGGTTGCACTCCATGGCTTTTGGTGAAAACAAGATATGGACGGCGCTTTGTACATAATCCAGAAACAAATGAGAGTTATTGGAAGTTTCCGGAACGTGTTCTAAAATGCGTGATAGAGTTTGATCGTGTGGAGAGAGAAAAGAAACAGCAAGAAGAGGGCGACACTCAACAGTCACGCGACGTCAGCCAAAAGATCGAAGAGGAAGAGGAAGAACGAAAAGAAAGATCTCAAGCTCAAGACATCCCTGCGGAAGCTGCAGCCAATGAGGAGCAAAGCGATGAATACGAGGAAGTGGAGGTGACCGACGATGAGGACGAAGAGCAGCTGAGCAAGCGAGTCCGGATGGAAGCGGAGGAAGGGGTTGATGATCGACCGTTGGAATTCAATGAAGAGGACATCGAATATCAGCTTGCGGCCATGGGCGAAGAATACGGATTGGACCCCGGTGAATACGGAGAACCTGGTGAGGAGGGTTGGGAAGAAGGCGTGGAAGGTCTTTCTCTGACTGATGAAGAAGCCACTGCACTATTTTGTGACTTGCTTGATGACTTTCGGATTAATCCGTTCACTACCTGGGATAAAGTCATCGAGGAAGGTCGCATTATTGAAGACACCAGATATACTGTGCTGCCAAACATGAAATCAAGACGCGAAGCGTTTGCTACCTGGAGCCGCGATCGTATACAGGAGGTAAAAGCACGCAAGCAAAAAGAGGAGAAGAAAGACCCGCGAATCACATACATCGCCTTTTTGCAGGAGCACGCCACGCCCAAACTATACTGGCCGGAATTCAAACGCAAATTCCGAAAGGAGGATGAGATGAAAAACACTCGATTGTCAGACAAGGATCGCGAGAAACTTTATCGTGATCATATAGCACGTTTGAAAATGAGCGAAAGCACTAGAAAATCGGACTTGTCAGCACTGCTAAAGTCAGTTCCTTTGCAACAATTGAACAACTCGTCGAATACTCAAGCTCTTGCTCCTGCGATTTTGACTGACATACGCTATATCTCTTTACCTCCTAAGATTCGAGATCCATTGATAGAAACATATATATCGACCCTTCCGCCTCCCCCTGAAGAAGAAATATCTGCTCTATCAGTCCAAGAACAACAAGAACGTGAGCAAAAGAGACTTGAACGAGATAGAAGAGAGAAAGCCCTAGTTGAAAGAGAGCGCCGAGTTGAAGAGGAGAAGCGGCGCCTAAAGGGAGACTTGCTCCATGGGAAGAAGCTTTTACGGCAGGAGGCTGCGGAAATTCAAGAAGCTATGCAAATTAGAGGCAGGGAAGGTTTGAAAAGTTATTTCCAAATTCAAGATGGAGATGAGGCTAGCAATCATGCTACCCAATAATCCCTTCGAAAGAGTTGGCGAAATGAATTTTATGTACCTATATTGCATGTCACGAAACGCAAAGTTATACACACAGGCCAATCAGCCTTGGAAATTGGCCAGTGTCTGCTGAACAAAACTGATATTCGTGATCAACTAATAAGTAGTAGAACAAAGAGTGGGTATTACATCGATTGCCGCATGATCCTCCCTAGTCACATCCATCATAATCTAAAACGGCTTATTACCGAAATCTCCAATCGTCCCAATCCGCGTCGTCATCGACTTCTTCACTCTCATCGCCGTCCAATTGCGTAGGTTCTTGCGCGTCTTCAAGAGTAGTGCCATTACTGTCCGTCAAGTTTTGTGCCCTCAGTTCCTCTCGTTTCGCCTTTAATCTTTTGACTCGTTCTTCTAATTGCTCCATTTCCTCGAATTCTTCTTCCAGAAGTCGAGCGGCGTCTTCTTTTTCTCCTTCAACATATTCCTCCCGTGCTCTAGCTTGCTCCTCCTTTTGTTTTTGCTGCTGAACAGCAAGTTCATCAGCTGTGATGGGAGCTGCCGAAATAGTCGCGGGCGCCGCAGTGATGGCAGGGGCTTGTGGAATACGAGTAGGCGCAACAACATCGCGTTGAAAGGCTGCCCATTCATCTTCATTGATTGTTTGATCAGGTTCTGGAATCTGTGATGGGCCAACCCTCATCGAGGTCTTTTGCTCGTTAGGACTGTTCGCATCCTGCCGGTCGATTTCGATGTCGGGAATGTTAACGCCGGGGTTTTCTTCCTCTGCGACATCTTCTGCGCCTTGATTCGACTCGATTAATGTCGCTTCCTTGATATCGTCTTCTTCTGGCGTCTGAGCATGAGCAGGTGTCGTGGGCCTTGACTTCTTGTGTATAGAAGGTATGGGGTGGTCAGTTCCCTCTATCTTGCGCTTTTTTGTTACCCTTGTTCCAGCGCTCCCACTCTGTGTAGACGACCCTCGAGATGCAAGCTCGCTGCGGAGCAAAGACCGCACATCAACCATTCTTATAAAACAAGATTTTTTGCTTCTGTTGACTAGATTATTATGAGTTTCGCAGTCTTGATTGAAACGCAAGTGAAGGTGCAAGCGCGGCTATGACGAGATGTGGCGCGTGCAAACAAATTATCACTAAACGTAACTGTGGCAGTGCGCGTTGTGGCGCCAAGCATCGGGCATTCGAGTCTTACGTAATCTCGTTCTCCGCATGGGGAAACTCGCACGCGGTCACATGACGTTTCACGCTAAGCCGCTCTCATCACCCGCGCTGCCAACGACTTTCCAGCTTCTTCTTCGACTTCCTTCTGTCACGACGCCTCACGCCACACCGCACTGCTACAGCAATTTCCCACCCAATACATTATTGAGCGATTTCTTATCAAACACGCGCCGATACACGACAAAGAACGCTTTAAACTGTATACTCGTCCCGACACTATTTGCCAGGAACGCGCCAAGCACTGCATTGCGCGACACGCAAAAGTGGTTTATCCCTTCTTCCACAGTACCGAGGACACACTGCATTAACTACACGTGGTTATTGCGCAGAGAACAGCTGTGAATTGGATAGTTGCTGGCCGTCGGGGGGTTGGAACCGCACACGCTTAGCATTGCGATTTGTATTGTTTTAGCCACTTGATGTCGTAGAGGCACTGGGTCAGCTGCGGTGTTTTGTGCTACTAGGGCTCGCAAAGCCTTTTTTATTACACGTAGAATTATTTACTGCTCATTACACCACAATACTAGTCATGGCCGGTAAGCATGCTCATTCAATGGCTATATTTGCCAGTTCCTCTCGGAAAAAGAAGAACAATCTGCTCAGGGCAGATGCGACGCATTCTGGTTCTTTCATCGCTTGTGAGATAAACACGCTAACAAAAAGCCTACAGACGAACCACGCAGGTCGGGCCGAGCGACCAAAGGCCAGCATAAGAATCTCGAACTGTTACAAGATATGCCCTCGAAGAAATCGAAAGCGAAAAGCCAGTCCAGGGAGAAGTCTGCGAAACCTTCCGCCGAACCAACACCAGCCCCGAGTGAGGAGGAAGAAATCATTCGATGCATCTGTGGCGAATATGAGGAAGAAGAGGATGTTGAGAGGGATATGATTTGCTGTGATCAGTGCTCGGCATGGCAACATAATGACTGTATGGGCCTGGAGTTCCCCAAGGGCCAGGAACCTGATCAGTACTTCTGCGAACAGTGCAAGCCTGAAAATCATCGAGAATTGCTGGAAAAGATGGCTCGTGGTGAGAAACCATGGGAAGAAGTTGCGCGACGGCGACAGCAAGAGATCGAGGAAAAGAAGGCTGCGAAGCGCCGAAAGGGTAAAAAGGGTGGCAAGAAGGGCGGTGCGAGAGCAAGCGATATCAGACCTGAAAGTAGTGCTCCATCGACACCTGCTGCTGCTGCTTCAGAGACACCTGTTGCGCCATCTGTATCCGTAGAAAAGGACAAAACTCCGGCTCCCGTCCCTGATGAGGCGCTTGGAGATACAAAGCTCAGTGCTCAAAAACGAAAGTTTGACGATCACAAGGAACCCTCAACGCCTGATGTTGTGAGTAGTTTAAAGGCATGCATACGGTACGATATTTGATAACTAACGATCGAATCCAGGGTCCCAAACAAAAACAGCAAAGACTATCAGAGCCGAGGAAGTCCGTTGAGAAAACAATCAAAGCACATCCTGCTGACTCTCGAAAGCCTAGCATCGCTGGTCCGGAGCTTCAAATAGCGGAGAAGCCTGAGGACATCAACAGCCAGGCTCGAAGAAAATGTGCAAGCTTTCTAATAAGCCTCTTCATGGACCAAATCAACGTGGCACAGAAACAACGCACATACATTCTACCGTCCGGGAAACAAGCGGATGATGTTGGACGACCTCTTGGTCTCTCCATTGAGCATGCCATGTATATGACTCTATGCGGTGGATCTGGTGAGCCGAACGATGCCTACAGAAACCAGCTGCGTACAATCACATTCAACGTGAAAAATAATGCCTCACTACGTGATCGCTTGCTCACAGGAAACCTCGCTCCCTCCACGCTAGCAACAATGAGTTCTCAGGACATGGCTAGCGAGGAACAGCAGCAGAAAGATGCAGAGATCAAGAGAGCGGCTGAGAAACAGCATATCATCATGAAGGATCAAGGGCCGCGAATCAGGCGCACACATAAGGGTGAGGAATTCATTGAGGGCGATGGCCAAGCAGGTACATCGGAATCGATCTTCTCATCATCGACTGCCGTTCGTCGCCCTACTATTGACGAGAATAGTATCACTGAAAGTCCAACTGGCACGAAAGGCGCCGTCGGTAGAACACAACCACCATCCGAGCATCTTCCAGCAGGGCAGCAACATGTTGCGTCGAATGGTGATGCTAATCGTGCTCACTCCCCCGGGCCGCCAACTCAGGATGGTTTGTTTCCCGAAGTGCCTGCTCATTTACACCAACCTTTCTCCGTAGGTGGCAAGGTCCAGGCAGACGAAGATATCGATAATCTTCTTAAAGACGAGGATGTGGAATCTCCCCCTTATTCACCAAAGGACTATCAAGGCAGCAGCGATGTTTGGTTTGGAAAACTCGTCATGAACCCCGTCGCAGAGTTCAGCTCCACTGGCAAACACGTTGCTGGTGCTGATCTCAGTGGTAGAATACCTTGGGGCCAGCTAGCACCATCGACCCTTGTCATCGATGGCAGAATTGACGTGGAACTGGCTAGCAAGTATCTTTGTGGCTTACGATTCAGCAACTCAACCGACGTGACGGTGGTGGCAATAGCAGCTCCCCATCTGCCAAATGAGCGTGCAGAATTCGACAAGCTGTTCAATTACTTCACTGAACGTAAACGGTATGGAGTGGTGGGAAAACATCAGTTGGCAGCTGTCAAGGACACATACGTTATCCCAATCGATGCTGGTGCGAGTGAGAAACCCGAGTTCATTCAGTTGTTGGAGAACAATTCGCTTGAAGATCCAACTCCCGATCGAATGCTGCTCATGGTATTTGTGGTCAGAACTAGCGATGTCGTACCCTCCGAGCAAGCGACACCGTATCATCCTGGTCAGGACAAGGGCCTTGCAATGGCCGCTGCCAGTCCACTGAACTTGACGCCTTTTGCTCAGAGTCAAGCACAGTATGTATCACCTTCACCCGGCACGCGGCAAGGCTCACAGTCAATACCGCCCACGAACCTGGCCGGATCACCGCCTTTGAATGACAAGGCCATGTCGCCCTCTTCTCAGCAGCTTCTGCAACAAGGAGTGAGTGCGGTGCCTCAGCCAATTCAAGCGCAGCAGCAAGGACAGATACCCTCGCTTCCATCTACACACCCACATCAGCCTTTGCTAGTTGGGCCTGCGGCTGCAGCTCACGTACTCGGTGCTCAATCAAAGGCACCGGCAATCCAAGAACTTTTGCAAAAAGCTCCATCAGCGGACGTTGCACAGTTGAAAATCGTTCGTGAAATCCTCAATCAAAATCCGGCTGCTGCCAATGACTATCCAGCTTTGATGGATTCTATCCAACAGTATACGTCTTCTTCATCTGGTAGACAAGCTCAGCCAGCTCCTGGGTTATAGTCTCGCCTGTGCGGCAACCATTTGCTTCTCAGTTCTCACTCAGCTTGAGACGTGAGAGAAACGGAGAGGAACACTGTATGAGCTTTTTATGTCCAACGTTTGTCTAATGCTTGCCTTCTTTTGTCAGCGATGTAGTCCGAGTATGATATCCCATGTTGTATTACTCTTTGTTTTTTGGTCCAACTCTCTTTTTCCTCTTGTCAATATGCGATCTACTCGGTCTGTTTTACTTTGTGCGGTGTCAATTTTCCAATGTTATTACTGCCGAGTCTGTTATGTGGTCACTGCGCTTGTCAAGGAAAAACTGCTTTGCTCTTCGACTATATATTTTGTAACTACCACCCATGTAACTGAGACAAAAAAAAAATAATGGAAATTGGAATGAACTCTGCTAGACGCCTGCGCTATGCGGTTATATAAAAACAATCAACGGAGGAAAAGAAAACATTGGAATCATCAAGACAATAGGCATTCGACGTATTACCATCTGTTCCCTCCATAACCACCACCACCTCCTCCTCCTTTCTTCCTATAGCCTCCTCCGCCACCAGATCGTCCATATCCTCTACCACCGCCTCCTCCACCTCCGCGGCCTCCCCAGCCTCCGTCATCGCCGTATCCATCGTCATGTCTCGCCGCGGGCGGTCTTCCTTTCAGCTCCGCACTGAGTTTCTTGTATGTCTTGCGCATGTCCGAATAGCCCATGTGCATTTTTCCATAGAAGTGGTCCGCCAGTCGACGATCATTATCCAAACGACTTAGATACGCACCGCAAACGTCACAGACCTGGAGCTTTTGGTGACCGGAAGGGCCCGATGTATCCGACAACGTTTTGAGTTCGCGCTCGCACGTCTCCTTCTGGTGTTTTGCGGAGCGGATCCGGAAAAGTTCGTTCATAGCGAGCGACACAGAGCCCATTTCGCCGAGTACTGATACCTCCAGAAGACCGGAGTTGATGGTCTTCGTGTGTTCGGATATTTGTTTCAACTGCACCGTATCACGTTAGCGCAGTCAAAAGAAGAACGTAGACAGTGACTATACCAGATTATTAGTCTGCCGAATCTCATCCGGGGTCTTCTCCAGCCGGCGTTGGGCAGAATCAATGCGCCTGTCACATTCATCGATATACTTCTGTATGTCGCGCATATAATCGTAATCGAAGCCCCATTTAGCCTTGTCGCTGGCGGAAGCAGCCTCATATTCCGCCTTCAGACCTTCGCTGTGGACTTTCGGACACGGACCCAGATCTTGCTTGGTATTGGTAAACTGATCGTGCGGACACGTGCCAACAAGGTACGATCGACAGATCTTGGGGTCAGTGATGGTGAGCTGCGTGTTGCGAGACGCCGCTCCCAAGCCCATGAGCTGGTCGGCTGCAGTTAGGAGAAGATCAGTAATCAGTGGCTATGCGAGGGAACAGACGAAGCTCCATCCAACGTACCTCCCATGAGCTGCTCTAGCAGCTTCCTCTGCTCTGCCGCCATAATGAAGCAGGCGACTCAATATTTCGCGAAGGCGTTCTGGTCTTAAAAGCTCTGACTGGCTTCGCAGAGGCTTCGTTGCTCGTCGTCGTCGTGCTGGTTGACGGAGCGAATGCGAGGTTGATACTTTTCTGGCGCTAGTGGGCGGCCGTGGGCCAATCAGAAGCTGCAGCAGCTCCCTCCGGCAAACTACAGCAGAAATCCTCAACTCAGCGCATACAACAATTGTATGAGTATGTTGGAGTTAATAAAGAGTATCATATTTAGTAGTAACTACCTGCTTAAACAATAGATCCATGCTGTAATGTTCCCTGTTGTGCGGTTCATATCCTCCTTGCCGCCGGGTAGTTGTGGCCGTCCGCTCCTCTGGACTCTTCCAAGATGCTACTCACACTTCACGCCACTCTGTACGCAGTCGCTCGCTGTATGATGTTGGAATGAAGTGTTCTTTTCTCTCGCTCACCGCTGTCGCGGTGTTCGTCGTCGATTGTCTCGCTGCCACCGACTACCACGAACGGCTTGTCCTCCAGCCGCTCCCTGGCTCCTCGCTGCTGGCCTCGTTCAATTTCCGCAGTAACTCGTCCGCCTCTGCTTTCGAGAAGCAACATTTTCGCTATTTCCCTCGGTCTCTTGGCCAAATCCTGCAGCATGCTCACACAAAAGAACTCCACCTCCGCTTCACCACAGGCCGCTGGGATGACGAGAGTTGGGGCACCAGACCATGGGAAGGCTATAAAGAGGGCGCAACCGGCGTTGAGTTATGGGCATGGATTGACTCTGCGTCCCAAGAAGAGTGAGTTCACCCAATGCAGGTTCTTTGTGTGTTTATATGCGCGCTGCTTACTGATGATGATTTGACTATGCAGTGCTTATGCGAATTGGAGCTCTTTAACTCAGTCCCTTTCCGGCCTCTTTTGCGCTTCCATGAATTTCATCGGCTCGACGCGAACTACAAGCCCCGTCGTTTCTTTTGAGCCTTTGGGAGACCATTCCGGCCCTGATCAGTTGCATCTTCTTCACGGCACCCTGCCTGGCGAAGTGGTGTGTACAGAGAACCTCACTCCCTTTTTAAAGATGCTCCCGTGCAAGGGCAAGGCGGGTGTCTCTAGTCTTTTTGATGGACACAAGTTATTTGATGCCTCGTGGCAAAGCATGTCTATCGACGTCAGGCCTATCTGTTCCTCCGAGGGAGAATGTCTGATTGAGATCGAACAGAGTGTCGATATGGTTCTGGATATTGATCGATCCAAGCGTCCTCGGGGTACGTGTATGGATATACATTCTGGGGTATAATTTGCTAACAAAATCGTCAGATAACCCTATCCCTCGTCCAGTTCCATTCGAGCAACTAGCTTGCGACCCAACAAAGCCTTATAACTCCCATGATACCTGCTTTCCTCTAGAAAGAAAGTCGGAAGCCGGATGGACACTTTCTGAAATATTTGGCCGTCCTATTAGAGGGCATTGTCCTTTGACCGACGACAATGGCGTCAGCACGCAAACAGTGTGCTTAAAAGTGCCTAGCGATAGATCCGTCTTCACGACGCCTGGGGCAACGGAAATAAGCGATCCCAGCGGCGTTTCCAGGTGCTATATCTTGTCAGCCTCCAACGACTTCGACCTCATACTGCCAGAAGAGGAAGCCAAAACCCAAGTCCCTTTACAACAGGGGGTTTTACATGCCGAGCGGACCATCATTGGACACGGGCAAGAGCGAGGCGGCATGCGAGTGATTTTTAGAAATCCGTCGACTGTGGAAAGCGTTGATTTTATCTACTTTGAGTCATTGCCTTGGTTCATGCGTCCGTATCTACATACTCTCCAGGCTACCGTGGTTGGCAACGACGGCATTTCGCGGCAGTTACCTGTCTCGGAGATCATCGATGGAATTTACTATCGCCCTGCTGTCGATCGTGAGAGGGGCACCCAACTCGAGTTGGTACTATCAGTGCCAGCCGACTCGACAGTCACGCTTATCTACGACATCGAAAAGGCTATTTTACGCTACACCGAGTATCCTCCCGACGCAAATCGGGGGTTCAACGTAGCACCCGCTGTGATCAGAATCCTTGATCAAGAAAACCATTCGTCCTCAGTATACCTGCGGACAACAGGCCTACTACTGTCGCTTCCAACGCCAGATTTCAGTATGCCATATAATGTCATCATTTTGACCAGCACAGTCATGGCGCTAGGGTTCGGAAGTATTTTCAATCTTCTAGTCCGACGCTTCATTCCTGCGGACGAGCCGGCCTTGCGCGCCTACGGTCTGAAAGCTCGACTGGCAAGTAGGCTTGTTACACTACGTGATCGAATAAGAGGCAAGGCGTCTAAACCGAAAGAATAGCCCTTTCATGAGACAGATTTGAAGTTGTATGTTTATAGAGTACCAGAACAGATGCATAATAATATGTGCTCCGAGTCCATTGCAGCTCACTTTCTTGCTTCGCTCCACGCCATATCCTTTCTCATTTGGTAAATCTGTAAACACAGTCAGGCTGCTAGCACACTCTGGAAGAGAAAGCAGACAACTCACCGATCCACAGCTCCTTTCAAGAACGAACTTCCCATCAAATGGTCCGGACCACCAGGTTTGCGTCCCATAAAGCTATGGTCTTCCGTGTCGCAAGTCTCCTTGAACTCGCTCGCACCGTCCCCGTTGTTCGGTCTCTCGTTGCCAAAGCCCCCCGACTCGGCCACTCTGAAAGCCGTATGTGCTTGCGCTGCGCCCTTTTGGTTTCGCAAGCCCAGGAATTCGCCGGATGACTCGGCCGGGTTGAGGACACTCGTGTGTCCGGGGCCTAGATAGCTGCTGCTACCCTCTGCGCCGTTGATGTTGGTGTTGGTGTTGTCGTTGTCTTTGATGCCGCCCATTTTGGACTTGGTCTAGGTCGCTCATCTGAGAAAAGAGGACTGACATGGTGAAAATATCCAGAGATTGAGGTGTTCCTGTTTTGATGCATTGTCATGTGATATGATATCACCGTGAGCAAAGAGTCGGGCTTTGGTCCAACCAGCGTTGAGTATTTGTTCCACTATCGGATTGTATATAGGATTTACTATATGGTGCAGCTAGTGTCCTGGTCGTCAAAAACGGCGTTGACATATTCATATACACGCTATGCGTACGTATTAATACATTATAGTCATTCCCAACTGTAGGGAGGGTATCAATCAACTATTGCGCCTCGCTTCTCTCGACTTGCTCTGCCCAGCTCCCTTCTACTGGCGATAAGGATGTGTCGGGCGAGAGCACTCTTTCCAATGCAGGCGACTTGGGTTTGTCTCCATTCTGCGCTGGCGTAGCTTCCTTAGATGGAGGGTTACGATTGCCTGGGAGCGCTGGAAACTCGCTTTCGCTGTTGATTCCCGGTACTGACTGTGGTGCTGGACGGTCACTGGCATTCAAAGAAGAATTGCCTCTGCCACCTCGGCCTGCACCGCCTCGTCCTCGTCCACGGCCGCCTCTACCCCGGCCACGGTCTCGAGTACCAGGAGGGAGTTCGTCCAGCCACTCTGGACTATCGCTGTGTTCGCGTCGTGGAAGTCCAGGAATAGCACCGTGCATTCCACGACGAAATTGGCTGCTGCCACCTCGACGGCCATTGTAGTCGTCTTCCTTCTTCTCAGCATCCCATTCCCGGCCTGTTTGGGCGCCAAGTTTGCGCATCCTGTTGCGCTCGCGCTCGTTGTCCATAGCCTTGCGGTTCACTAGTTCCTGGCGTCGCTTTTCAATCGCAACCCTTTCTCTTTCCTGGAACGAGGCTTCGTCGGCCTCTGCGCGAGCGTGCGCCGCTGCTTTCTTAGCAGCGTTGAGTTTAGCAGCCGCCATGCGTTCGGCTAATTCTTCCTCGGTGAGTTTTGGCTAGTATGGCCATGTCAGCTCATAAAACGTCGAGCCTCCTTCGAGACTTCCAGTCATACCTTTTTGACTCCACCGGTACCACTGCGATCACCGCGCACCGCCTGTACTCGCGCACTCTCTGCCTTGGGTGTTGTTTTGCTTTCATTGTCATCCTCCTTCTTTTCCTCGCCCGCCTGCTCGTCCTGCTCGGAAGCTTCAGTATCCTTCGCTTCTGCCCCTGCCGCTTCTTCCTTGGGGACGTGTTGTTCTCGTTTGGGTCCGGTGTCTGAGCTACCTCGGCCACCGCGCCCTCGTCCCCGACCCCGTCCCCGACCGCCATCAGCAGGCGCATTCCCTCGACCGCGTCCTCCTCGATGCCTTGTAGTGGTCGCCGTTGTAACAGGGTCGGGTTGTTGCGGGCCGACATCCGTAGGCTCCAATTCTTGCTCTGTGGGCGCCTCCTCATCAACAGGCTGAACCTCCTGTGCGCCTGTGATAGGGATGATTTCGTCGTCAAACAAATCGTCCGCTCCACGGGTCTGAGCAAACTCATCGACTGCAATAGCAGGGTCTGCCGCGTGGTCCGCCATTTCTCCGTATGTCGTCGAATCGGGGCGACGCGAAAAAGAAACAGTCGGTCAGAGTCAGCTCGGGGAGGAGAGTTGGTGGTCGGTATTGAAATCGACGAGACGATCGCTCGAAGCAATAATTAGTCGCAGTCCCAAAGGAAAGAAAGAAAGACTGAGCGCGAAGGAATTGTAGGGTCTTTATATATAAGTGCGGTACAGGCATAGGTTGAGTGTTCCAGAGAAAACCCGGGAGATCAAGAACCGCCGTTATTTATCCAAAGCGGTATGTATGCGGGGTGTACCAGCTGCAGAGCAAAGGCGTGGCAATGCACGCAGGCAACACTCACAGGGCCAGGACGACGGATATACAGGAATTGGCAGCATGGTAGTATGCAGCAGAGAGTAATTTTATTTTTGTTGGGGTGTTTCAATTCCAACAATCTGGAGTGTTACTGCCTCAGGCCCACACTTGCCCAAACGGGTATCTCCGCAGTATCTTCATTCATCCATGTATAATTATGTACCTATGCTGGTATAAAAGAGCAATCGTGGCGTCACGTCTACGCAGAATTATCGGGCCATTGAGCGTACAGCTGCCAATAGATCACCTAGAAAAGGTCGCCTATCTCTTCAAGGAATTTAGTCAAAGGCGTCAATCATGCAATCCATTCTCCCAGGAGAAATGTGAAGTATCCAATCAATCTGAGAACGAATAGGATTTGGGTTGGGCTCGCAGAATGACATGTAGAGTCAGCCATACGAGCCAGTCACAGAAAGACGAGACTTTCTTTGGCTACGGAGAAATTAACAGCCTCTTTACAACAGAATCACTTCCTTTCAAAAAGGGGAACCCTAGAGCCCCTTTCCTGACCGGTGCCCTATTCCCTCGTGTCCTTGAGACATTGTTAGCTACCTACGTATGATAATCACTATACAGACAAGGAATTGACAGGCTCAAGTCATCTCTTACTTTTCCCTTCTCTGCTCGGGTCTATACTGGTAGCTCCTGCTGAAAAAGTTTTGTCATGTTCAACCTTGGAATATCAAAAGGTTTCTTGGGCCCAGCAGATGTAGCAGCCATCCTGGAATGTATACGTATACATCTTCGCCAACGGTGACTTTAGGTCAAAGCACAGAGAGCCAGTCTTCTTTTACATGTTTCCAGACTTGTGATTGCTACAGGAATGCAGGACATATCCATACAAACAGCTGTCCGACTACAAATACAGTGATTGCCCGTTCGGTGCTCAGTTGTAAATATCTAAGCTCTGATTATCATTAACTGTGTCAAGCTACGAGGAAATTGGTTCACTTATCGCTCGGAGAAGAACATTATATAGTCAACAAATAGTAAATTATCTGGAACACGATCGCACAAACCAAATAAGGTACAAGTATTTGGGAACGACACATCTTGACTCTACCAATTGACCTTGACGCCTACAGGGAGCGCCCATACCTGACTATCAATCTCGTCTTGACATGTACCCAAGCTTGATTGAGTGGACTCGGTTACACATTGCTTGGTTAGTCTGTTCATGAGGTATCCACTAACTGAATAATCCCATTGCTGCGCCAGGTTGATAGGAACAACTGCGCATGGCTCCAAGATTGCCTGATGGTTTGTCGCTGTTAGACACAGACTTGTATCAGACAGCGGGCTGACAGTTCCCACAAGTGGCTCAATTTGCCAGACCTGCTCATCTGTTCCAGAGAAGGCATCGAAGGCGATTTGCCCATCACTACCAGCAGTGAGGCAGTTTGACGAAGCATCGTTCCAGATGAGGCCAGTTGGTTTAACAAGGTCCGCGAGTATAGCCGAAAGGGAGATTCGATAGACCGCAGTCGCATGCATGGGCAAGTCCGTGATCTCCAGTTCGTCTTTGAAAACAATATTCTTGCCTGTCCATAGGTCTTTGGCTGTATATTCAACCTTTATGCCCAGTATTTCCTCTACCAGACCAATGCGGGAGACACTAATGTTCGTACTAGCTGTATAGTTACCGGTGTTGAGAACAGTCACCAAACGATCGCCATTATCCAAGCTCTTCGTCAGCACGTCAAATGTATCGTCACGGCTCACCAAGGTAGCTTGCTGGGCCAGCTTATCCTGGTCGACGGCGATCAGGTCCGCGTTTTTCAAGTACGACAGCACGTCTTCTGGCAGCTCAGGAATCCAAGCACTAATGATAAGTGGCGCTGAAAAAGAGGCCCAAAGAGCAAATTGAGACCGCTTCTCGTCGAGGGAAAGTGCAGGATGGTCTGCAATCAGGAAATCCGGGTCATTAAAATAGCCGGGGACCTGATAACGCGCGAGCTTGATCTCGTAGCCGTAATTTTGCATAACGCTACCCCATGGACTAGTGACGCCATCCCATGAAGTCTCGTTCAACGCATACACCATAATGTCAGACGAGTGCCTAGCAAGTTCTCCAGTATAGGGCACGTAATCCATGGTTGTGTACCAATCGGTCAAATTATCCGACCCAGTGATCCATTTTGAAAAGTAGGCAGGAGCTGACTGGGAAAAGATCAGTGGGTCAGACATGTTGGTAAAGGCTTCATGCCAGGCCAAATAGATCGAATGATACTCGGCTTCGGTCGCAGGAGAGACATTGCAGCCATCCACTTTCAAATAGTCAATCCCCCATGATGCGAACGTCTCTGCGTCGATGGCTTCGTAGCCGTATGAGCCGGGATAACCACCACAGGTGACATTTCCCGCATCTTCGTAGATGCCAAAGTGAAAGCCACGCTCTTTCAAATAACTTGCCAGCCAGGGTAGCCCGTTAGGGAAGATAGTAGTATTCCACATTAACGTATTTTGTTCAGTGCGGGTGTCTTCCTGCCAGCAATCGTCGATGTTGATGCGGTTATAACCCGCAGCAAGCAGTCCCGTAGATACCATGGCGTCGGCGGTTTCTGTGAAGATGGTTTCATTGATAACACATTGGAAGCGCGCCCAGTCATTGAACCCCATGGGAGGAGTTGGCAGTAGTCCGGGATTTTCAATTGAAGCGCTGCATCCGGAGATCAGCCATCCGCTAACTGCTGCAGCCGCCTGCAGCAGAGATGTAGGCTTTCTGTGAGAGTGCATCTTTGTTCCGTTTGTTTTCGTTGAAGACACATTCAAGCTTGTCTCCAAACCCGGGGCAGGATCTTATTTATCTACTGCTTGCATGTAGGTATACGATAGTGCTTGGAGTCCATGATTAGAGTATCTTATCAAAGTAGCACGCGTTACAATGTTGCAATCCATCATAGCTATGAGCTTAAGCTTATATTGTAGTTATCATGTTGAGCTTACTACGTAGTGACTTTAACTACACGATAGCGTTATCTTATCATTCAAAGCCCCATAAAAACCAACGCACTATATCTCTCCTCATTGGTTGATCAGGACCAGGGGAGCGGCCCGGCTATCGCAGTCCACGAACACCAATCATATTGCTTACTTCTGCGGGTCGTCGACGTGACGAATCTGCAGATTCCGAGGTTAAGGTGGAGCCTCCTTTGGCCAATAGAAAGCCAGGATTTTAAAGCCAGAAAGGTGTAACGTATCAACTTTAGTTGGCAGTCATCGAGTTATCTCAAGCCAGCATATTCACTTATCACCTTCAAATACCAAGAATATAAGACCAAATCTTCTCCCGTAGAATCTTAGTCTTTTCTGTAACCCAGTTCCTTGTTATGGCGCAGCACAAATCAGGTCAATACAACATAGGAACAAAAGGACTTGTAGTATTGTACATGTTCGTATCAGTCGTGAGTTATGGTCACAACTGAGGATTTCGTGATTCATGCTACGTTGATCCACAATAGCGCTTACAATTGACAGCGCTCTCTGAGTCTAGCCTAGCGGCGTGATTGCGGCGCTGTATTCTCCACGCATTGTCACCGAATCGGCGAATCTTATTGAATTATGTCTTGATTGGAGAGCCAATGCCAATGGCGAAAGTATTGGAGAAATATTTTTCACCTTCATTGGTGCACAGAGGTGTGTTGTGGTAATGCAAGATAGTTCCAATCTGTCATTGCATCTCTTAAAGCGTTCTTCTTTCTAACCTCCTTTTTCGTCCCCCGTGAATATCTACTCATTATTGGTATAAAACGGAAGTTAGAGATATTGTCCATATGATGATTCGGCGACGAATTCCCGCTGATGGACTTACGTTTACTATCTACACTATAACTGGCTCTTGAAAAGACTAGTCAACTAAGATCTTGTGGATCTTTCCTTACAAATTTAATACCATAAAAATAAACTCTGAACATTCCCCATACGAAGGTCGGCACATCTGCTAGCAGGTTTCGAGCTATCGGAAGTTAAAAGATAGGGCTCCAGTCTAAAGAACGTCATTAAATGCATTCAAAATAAATATTCAAAGCTTTAACGAGTAGACATAAGAGAAAGAGCCATGAAACCTTCCTGGCATACTTTTGATAGGTGCTTTGTATGATTCGGAGATGGCCGTTAAATTTCTGGCTGAGCTGGGTATGATTGCCAATTGAAACATTTGAGTGTACGAGCCACGAACCCTAACTAACAGTTGGCGGTGCTGGCACATACAATCTAGCTAGGCGCAGCTCTCTCTCTCTCTCTCTTGCTTTTTACCCTATTTAATGTTCGCGAGCCGCTATTCCCATTTTTATGCACGTTTATTTACCAAGTGAACATATATACCCCATATCGTACCTAGGCAGGATACTATCAACCTTGGAAAACGCTGCCCGGAAACATTATATCGACGACAATGAACATAGTGATCGGCCAGTTGAAGAGCTTAAAATAGCTAAGTCCTAGGACGAGAAATGACTATGCAAAATTATTTATCAAAATCCCAAAATAACCATCACGTAGACCGAGAGTGAACAAAATTAGATTTAAACCGAGCCTCTTGTGAAAGCTGGCGGTACTATATAGGTTCTCTCAAATTTCATGGGCAAAAGTAGTTCCAAGTATGATTTTACGCATATTGTCAAACTGGCCAGGCTTGACCAATGCCAGGTTCGGACATGGCCTGGCAAAGCCGAGTTGAGACGGCGCAGTTCCTTTAATAGAACGACGGTCTATATATACATATACGCCCACATAAATATAGCAACAACCTGAATGGATATTGATACAAGAACCAAAAGGCACCGTCGAAAACCAACAGACCAACAGAATCTCACGATCCGCCTTATCTTGTGGCACAGCGCGCGCTTATTCCATGTCGAGTCGTTCATGCGGCGTCACTCGCTTTAGTGGGAAAGAAAGACGAATCACGACCTGTATTCGATTGGCACAATGCATGCTTTGCCATCCACGATCCAGGTGAAAAAAGAAACTATTAATAAACACTCTATTTCCAAGCAAATTTGCACCGGATATATCCAGTTTTTTTTTCTTGTGATCGTTCGGGTTTGTGTAACCCCACAGCAAGTCGAAGTATATAAGCCCCGGTCTCCATGGACATTAATACATGCAGCATGCATACATACATACATTTATATTTTCAACTGAAACCTTTGTTCAAAGAGCCGTAGCACAATGCCTAGCCCAAAGACACCCTTGGACACTCTTCCTTGCTCGCTACCCACGAGGGAGATTCCCCCGGGTATCGATCCAGCCTCAATATGTCAACAGGCATTCGATAACAAGAATATCGCCAAGTTATGCGAGACTGACTTTATCAAACATGCCATTTGGAGGGACATGTTTTCCCTGAGCAGCACTCTTCGCACATTCTACTCTGCCTCGGCCATAGTGTCTATCTGGCGCTCGTTATCCCGAGAGCGAGGAGCAACAGCGTTCGAGGTCAAACCCGGAACTGCATCTGTGAAAAGACAAGGCTTAGCGTCAGGCCCGCAGGTGTCGTGGATAGAAGTGTCGTTCACGTTTAGCATGGCACAGCCCCTAGAAGCCTCGTGCTTGGGATATCTATGTCTGGTATTTGATGATAGCGACGAGAAATGGAAGATATGGATCATGGGCACCATACTAGACCAGCTACCTGATTTTGCAGATGTTGATCGTCTGGATCCAGTCGAGTCGTCGGCACGTTTGGACAATGTTCATGGAAATCGAAGCTTGTCAGACAACTCACATCAGCAACACGACTATGGCTGTGTCATCATCGGCGGTGGTCAAGCAGGCCTTTGCACAGCTGGGCGTCTGCAAGCTTTGGGCGTCTCATACATTTGTGTTGATAGTAACGACCGAATAGGCGACAGTTGGAGAAAGCGATATGATTCATCGAAGCGTATGTTCATTCCTTTTTTCTGAATCCCGCTAAAGCTTTATGACTTACCTCTGTCTCGCTCAGTGCACACAATACGGGAATCATCTCATCTTCCTTTCGAAAGGACCTTTACCCCCGATTACCCGCAGTGGTTGTCTAAAGACGATATTGCAGATGCATTCCAAGCATGGAGTAAGAAATATGGACTTGTGGGTTAACTTAACCCTTAAAAAGCACCTATAATAGTGACCACCTTTGTTGATGATCCATTTATTTCCATAGACGCCCCATATCTGGCTTTCAACAACACTCGAGTCGGGATCATGGAATGAAGTGACGAGCAAGTGGACATTGCATCTACAAAGGAAATATCACTCGGATTCAGGGGTACAGCGGTCTGAATTCATCACAGTCATGAGCTCGCACGTCGTCCTGGCTATCGGCGTCAACTGCCATGTACCTTTGCGCCCCGACTATGCAAACAAGGTTCGTTTTGACTTTGATCAAGTCTGGAAAGGAAAAGAAGTAGAAACTTGCTAACAACACCAACAACCCTAGTCAGAGTTCCAAGGTATTGTAATGCATTCCAAAGAATACAAAAATGCATACAAATGGAAAGGAAAGCATGGAGTTGTGGTGGGTACCGCGAATACAGGCAAGTCTTTCTATCTTTCATGCTCGCTCATGTCCATATTGACACTCTTATTTCTGTCTAGGACATGATATTGCCGAAGACATGCTCGACGCCGGGCTAGCTTCAGTTACAGTTGTACAACGCAGCAAGACATGTGCGTATCCACATCCTAAAGTCCATTGAATAAGAACCAGGATGTCTGTCTGACCTTGTTACAGTTGTGATGCCGCAAGAAAACTACATGCATTGGGCAGAAAGTATCATTCCCTATCGATTTATTTCATTATATGTCTTCCATATCTACTAACACATGGTATCTCTAGCACAATACAATACCGACACAGACATGAAGATATGCGACATAAAATGCTTCGGATACCCGTACGCCGTCAACCGGAATCTAGGGCTATTAGCTAGCCAGCTTCGACAAAAATATCAACCCGACTTATACTCTGACCTGAAAAAAGCTGGCTTCTTGCTTGAGGAGCATGATGATATCACGCGCCATCTTTGCGAGCGGCTTGGAGGACATTACATGGATGTCGGAGCGTCGAAGAAGATTGCTGATGGATTGGTTTGTTCTCCTCTCCTGTTGAATACATGTCTGGACATGTTAAGAGCCAATCCCACATTAACAGCTTGAGTAATTGTTCCCAGATCAAAATGAAAACCGGCTGTCTACCAACATCCTATACCAAAACCGGTCTCAAATTCGACGACAACACCCATCTCGACGCAGATGTAATCATCTTCGCAACCGGCTTTCTGGCAAATATGGGGGATATCGTACGTAAATTATTTGGCGACCAAGTGGCCAATAGAGCAGGTGATTGTTGGGGTGTCGATAGTGAGGGCGAGATCAAAGGCGCATTTAAGCCGACGGGACGTATGTGATACACATTCTCTCTCTCCCTCATTTATATTATCCCCGTGGCAATATTTCTATTTTCGCTGACAATTACTTTCGGCACAGAACCCGGTTTGTGGTATATGGCTGGTGGAATCAATCATGCAAGATTCTTCTCTCGATTTGTCGCGCTGCATATCAAGGCTGCACTTGAAGGGAGGCCTATGCCTGTCTTTGATGCTAAACAGTCGAGTATTTCACCGAGACTGTGAAAGGAATATATCTAATAATCCAATTATGTGCATGAGATTGGTTATACCCGGGCTTGTTTGTCTTGTAATCGCAATTTGCATTGACTTGGGTATACCTATGGATATGAAACTTGGTTCTGGGTATATAATATTATTGATTATATTTGCTTGCCTTAGGATTGCTCGAACTATGTTATGAAAGTCTCAGAAATGATTCACCGCCAACAAGATGACTCAGGCCCCCAAGATCATGTCAAATGCAACAAACATTACAATAACCACATTGGGTGACATCAACGTAGCAAGAATAGAAAGCCGCTATTGCAGTGTGTAGGTTCACAGAAAGTAGGGTATATCGTGCGTGGTGATGTAGGTAGGTTTGAGTTCTCTGAACGGTTGTGTAAGAGTGGACATACTTAGGCCCGTCAAACCACCCTCCTAGAAGACTGTTAGATAATGCCTCGCGTTTTTTTTTTCCCCCTTGCAATCTCAAAACATTTAATTTACCAGGCCGGCTGATGTCTTTCGAGGCTTGGAGTTGGCACTTCGTTTCTATCTCCAAAGGGATTGTTTTCATCATCCTCCTCTGATTCGCTTGCACTTTCTAGTTCGTTCAGGTTGAAAGGCGACGCTTTGTTGTTACCAGGAAAGCCCGGTATGCTTGTCGGTCTAGGTGGACGAGGAGGTTTAGGAGGTCCAATTGATATACCGGAGAAACCTTCGTCGATGCCGCGGAAGTGGATTTCGTCGTCTTCGCTGTCGCTATCATAGTCCAAGCTCTTGTCAAGTACTTCAAATGCCATCAACCCAGTAACAAGTTCTTCGTTGGCATGGATCAGGCTACCAAGGAGGTCACCACTTTCGATATTCTGAATGTAGCGTAAGATCTGGTGTCGAAGATGCTTGCATTTCCCAAACTGCGCCATGACTTCTTCATCCTCGCTTACTCGGTGCGTCTCTCGGTTCACCAGCTTTAACGCGTTTTGAAGATTTGTACTGGCGACTGATGCAGATGCAATCGTTTGGAGGATCTCAGGTTTTTCCTTTTCCATATTAAAGGGTTTGGTGTTGGTATTAGACCTTTTGTGGCTTTTTGAGCTCGATGAGCTAAACACCGTCGACGAGCGTTTGGACTTTTTAGACTTGGGAGAAGTCAATGGCGTCGAAGGTCCTTGTCCTACTGAGATTGAGGCAGAGTGACCCATCGGCACCTCTGTGGTGGGTTCGGTTTCCCTAAGCACTTTCGCCTGAGCCTGCTGCGCCGGCTGCTTTCTCTTTGGAAGCTGCTTGTAAAGAGTCGTGATTCTACTCATGCCCGGAGTGTCCTTGTGAGTTGCCGCCCACTGTCCAAAGAGTTGTTGACATTTCTTTCTCACTTCCGGGTCCGAGACTGGATCTGTAGCGGCGATTCGAAGGCGCTCGAGTAGCGGTTCGTCGGCGAATCCACGCAAAAATCGTTCGCCTGCATTCTGGATGAGGAAATCCAAGATCGTCAACGCCCGAAGCTGTCGGTGGAGATTGCCGTATTTCCTACGTGTGCATTCATATTAGAGCAGGTTATGTTACTGTCAGATGTTTCAAACCCACAGCTTTTTCCGCAACGCACGACTAGCTTCAGACGGTCCAGTTGCCTGTATCTGGACTACCTCTATCAAATCAACTATCCCACTAGAGTCATCGACTTCATACTGCTCGCTCGTCAAACTCTCGATCTGCACAGTGACGGCTGTGTACGGTTTCTAGAGACTGAATCAGCGAGGTGCCCGAATACTTCTCCTCTTTTCATCAGAACGGGGGGAGACATGGCAACTGTGGGTTGCTTCACTAACGTCTGATTTGAACATGGTGGATGATATCCGAGTCGAAGTTGTAGATATCCACCGTACATACAGCCACCGGGCAGTGTATAATCAAACGGGTAAGTGACAAATCAAAGCATAGAAGGCAGGTCAGAGCATCTGGAGAGGATAATGTCCCAATCGCTTATCAGGCACGACGCTGCGTCAAAACCGAACACGTACTAATCGTAGGAGACACTCCAGTTAAGACACGCGACACAGGCTGACGACAGAGGATGGCAAGGCACGGCGAGGCTCCTAGTTCAACGCGAGAGCTCAAAACATAGAGTAGCAGCTGGAAGGAAGAGCGAGGAAATAGTTGGCTGATCGCGACAAACACCACTGCCGTCATCGACCCCGCCGGCCCTTGCGCTTGCTCTAATTCGGCTTAGTGCGGGACAACGATGCTTCTGGAGACTGCTGATTGGCCATGGTGGCCATACTAGTCCTCTTCGGGAAATCCACGCTTTTTCCTGGCAGCCGTCGTCAAGCTGTGGCATTTGTCTTCCTTCTGCTCTGCCAAAGATTTTCACCTGCTCAGAGCGTTCTCTTAAATTGCGGCACTAAGACAGCCGTTAGTCGCAAGCTCATCCTGGCCTCAAGCGTCATCGCTGGCTATCGACTCCGTCTCTCCGCGATTCTCTGCCACCTCCGATTCTCCTCCAGCATTGCTGCAGATATGACTTACGAACACGAACGTCGAGTCGCCGAACTTGCTGTCCAACGGGCCACGCTGCTTACGAAAAAAGTCTTTCACGAGAAGGCCAAAGGAGAATTGTCCAAGGACGACAAGTCGCCAGTGACAAAAGGCGATTTCGGCGCCCAGGCCCTAATAATTCAAGCCATTTCAAAGAATTTCCCCGAGGACGAGATCGTAGCAGAGGAAGAGTCGAGTGAACTGAGACAGGATTCAGCTTTGCGATCAGAGATCTGGGACTTGGTGAAAGATATCAAATTGAATGACCAGCCTAGTGATGAACTACTCGGTGGCTCATTAGAGAATGAGGAAGCAATGATGGCTGTGATCGATCAGGGAAAATCCCTCGGCGGGTCAAAGGGTCGTATTTGGGCATTGGATCCCATCGATGGTACAAAGGGCTTCTTGCGAGGCGGGCAATACGCCGTCTGTCTTGCCTTGATAGTCGATGGCGACGTGAAGGTAGGCGTCATTGGATGCCCCAATCTTCCAGTCGATGACTCCGAGTCTCTCACCGTCGGTATCGGCAGTCAACAGTCAGACGAAGATGGCAAAGGCGTCCTCTTCTCTGCAGTCCAGGGGGAAGGAGCCGTGAGCCGACCTCTGACAAGTGCCGGACTTTCACCAAGCAAGCCCATTCATATGCGCCCAGTCCCAGACGTCTCTCACGCTGTGTTCTGTGAGGGCGTTGAGGCTGCTCATTCCAACCAAGGTGACAACGCTGCAGTCGCGCAGCGCCTTGGCATCAGTGCCCCAAGCGTGCGATTGGATTCTCAGGCCAAGTATTGCTCGATTGCTCGGGGTGCCGGGGATATCTATCTCCGCCTACCTGTAAAGAAAGATTACCAAGAAAAGATTTGGGATCATGCAGCTGGTGACCTGCTTGTTCGCGAAGCTGGCGGCCAAGTGACCGACATCTATGGCAAACGGCTTGATTTTACCAAGGGAAGGACCCTGAAGGACAACAAGGGTGTTGTGGCTGCCCCGGTTGCTCTTCAAGATCAAGTTATAGATGCGGTGCAGATTGTCCTAAACTTGAAATAGAGGATTGTCGATCCAGTAAGAAAAAAGACCATACGTATGGGACGGAGAAATCTAAAATACATGTGAATGAAACGTAAAGCAGATACCATGAGTAAATATACATCCAAGAAGAAACGCACAACAGAAGTGAAACTCGAGTCGACTATTTGATCTTCTTATTTTTGAGACGGATCGTCTCACCGTTCACGAAGATACCCTTGCCCTTATATGGTTCTGGTTTCCTCCACGCCCTGATCTCAGCGGCAAATTGAGTCACGACCTCTTTGTCAATACCCTCGAGCAAGATCCTAGTCGGTTGTGGAGTCGAAGCTTTAACGCCTTTTGGAATGCCCAGCTCAATCGGATGTGAGTATCCAACCTTCAAGGATACGAATTGTTGGCCTGGATACTCCGAAGTCACGGTGGTTGCAGTTGGCTCAACAGTCGCCCTGTAACCAACACCCACCAAACTCAGAATGCAAATGTGGCCTTCAGACACGCCGAGGATGTAATTCTGCAGATGAGCGCGTGTCGTTCCTGCATGATAATAGAAACACTCTGTCAGATCTCGTATTTGTGCAATATGATTCGAAGAAAAACCAAAAGACATACCCCACATAGCCCGTTGATGAGGAATTTCCGTATCCTGAACAGAAATCGTGGCTTTTCTCGCAGTCTCGTCGTGGTTGATATTGACAAACGGAGGGATGTTCAGTGTCATTTGGCCTATTCCAGATTCATTACTGAGCAGAAGATCATGGCGAAAGTAGCGATGCAGGAAACGAACCTAACGGGCCATTGACCTCAATAGCCAGCTTTGCAGCCTCTTTTGATTTCCCGCGGACCTGGGTCTGCGGAAGATCAATGAGTTTCAAGCTGACCTCTGGGGGAACTGAGACGGGCGCACCGCCGACACGAGAACGGGCGGGAGGCGTGGTTGAGAAGCATCGTGCCCTCAATGGCTGAGAAAGAGCTGGAACAAGAAACGCGGGAACCGATTTCGACCGACCTGGCTCGCGTAAAAGCTGCACCAGGCAGCGTTGCGAGGCGGCGCAAGACATGGTAGCTGATGCTGGAAACTTCGTTGGCCTCCGAAGATCGTCAGAATTTCTCTTTTGACTGGCTCGGAATACATCACGTGACTCTCTCCGCCGTAAACAACCGTACAATTGACTGCCAATGAGTACACAACTGCTCGAATTGTCTGTCTTGAATGTCTAATTCGCTTGAAAGAAGCGCCCTCCGAGGCATCGCAGCTGAAGAAAATGCCCGTACTAAATGCAGCGCAGGATGGCCCTTTGGAAGACGGACTCGCCGCCTCCTTCCTCGTGAACCTCACCTTCCCTTTACTGCTTAACAAGCCCTCCTCGACCAAAACATCTCCTTCGCTTTACACACTTGCCACTTCTCTTCTACCATCTCCATCTTACTCGTACATGATCTCGCCTGGAGACCCAGATCAATACACTTTCCGTATTAACCTAGCCATCTGACAAGGAGCCTTCATTTTCTGGCTGTCAGTCACATTAATAACGACGAATATGTTGCCGTGGCTCTTATATGTCATCCTTTGTTCTCTGGCGACTTTTGCAAGGTCGTCGTTCATCGATCTTTACCCAGCTTCTATGCGAAAGGGTAACCGCTACGATCCACCGGTGCGAAAGTTCTTCTAAGGCTAACCAGAAACTATAGCAGGTTCAAGAAAGTCGATAGAAAGCCCTGATCTAGTGAATCTGATCCAATCAAAGTCAAACCAACATGATAGTGTCTTTTCCAGTGCTGTTCAACTCCTCGAATCGATGAAATCTTCCTCATCGTGCAGTCGAATTGCCGCCCTGAACCTCCTCACATCTTGTCAGGGCCTTCGCAGTTCCGAAAGCCATGAAGCAACTGAAATAGCAAAGACTCTTGACCGAGTAAAGTCAATATACGCTGCAAGACTTGCTCTTTGTGAGCTTTCGGGAGCTGGTGCCTTGATTCCCCTATCATGCTCCTCGATCCAAATTACACCTGACAGAATGCACAACGAGTCCTCAGTGGATCTGGCGGATGCCGCAGATGACTTTCCACCCGGCGTTGTGGAAAAATGCCTCAGCGGACTTGAATCAAGGCCTCAATGGTGGACAAGTTACAGCAATAGTAGACAGAATGCCATTGTAATATGCCAGGCGGCACGCGTTGAAACAGAGAAGGAGGAACTACTCAACCTACACCTGTCTCTCGCAAAAAACACGGCGAGCATCAATTCTGCCTTGCGCGATGCTGTTTCTGAGAATGCTCAACACAAGGCCTTTGTGGAAACAGTATACAAGCTAAGAAATCAGCTAACAACGGAGCTTCAGGAAGACCGCAGTCGGTTGAAAACCTTATTCACCAGTCTTCTCCATGACTTCGAAAGCGCTGTAGGTGCCAGCGTTTCAAAGGCCCTTTCACACCTAAGAGACGTCGAAATAGACAGTACTTCCCTAAGCCAGGTATGCGACATACGATTCAATCGCGCGAACCTATAGCTAACTAGTACAGGGGATGCGACTTTCCGTCACAGACATTTCCCATCTACGAGATCAAATAAACGAAATATACACCCATGCCGAACGCCGCAATATTGAGTTGAAAGATTTGCACGACAAAGATACAAGGGACATCGAATCCAACCAACAGCTAGCCCTTTCGGTGCAATCTTCGCTGAACAATCTTCAGGAGAGGATCGCTGGTGTGGATGGAGCTCTGGTATTCAATCAAATCGAATGTGGTTGATTATCTTGCTAAGATGGTTACAGGAATGGTTGGTCGGACGTTTTGCAACAATCTACCAGCAAGAAACGCTTATTCTAGAGGTTCGTTGTTCCGTATGTTCGGATCTTGTCCAACGTATCTAATCACATCACAGCGCTTACACGCATTTGAAACGCACCTGAATAAATCTGAGGTGCAGGCAAGAGAACTGCTCAAAACTCAAACCGTGCATGCCAGAGCCATTGAATCACAGGCCCAGGCTCAAGAGGCTCTAGGCGCGAGCGCCAAAGTGGTGTTTGCGATACTCGAAAAGCTCACTACTCGCGCAGCCAACCTTGAGACTATCTTGGAGGAAACAGCGGACAGATTCAACGACCTACAACATCTTGACGGCCTCTTTGGGATCAAGATTTCAGCTTGGACTGCATTCTCTTTGCTTTTATCTGTTATTGCGGTTCAAAACCCCAAAGTCGCAGCAGTAACGTTTGCCTTTGCAGGTAAGTCGCTTCCCGCCGGCATCGAAAGTAATATCTTTTAACGCTTCCCGATTCCAGGTTTCGCTCTCGTCTACAGAGCGCTTTCATATTTGACTCCCTTGAACTTTCCAGCGTTTTTCTAAACAATCCAATTACCTCCGACATTCTCCTCCGACTACTATATAGATATGTTGTGCAAATGACGGCGTTGGGAACTTGGGCATTTGTTTCCTAAACCTATGATCTAAAGATAATTATACGTTTTGTATGTACTTATTTGCCAATAATGCTTACCATCTATACACCTTAGTCGAGCAATAATTTTATCCAAAATTTTAGAAAAATGACTAGAAGGTTATCCCCAAAAAGACGACAATACTCCCTGATCAGGCAAAATCCGCATACAAAGGCCTCGGCTACTGCAAATTCGCAACCTAGTTATTTCGCTGAGTTTTTCATACTTAAATCTTTCAAACACTTCTAGTGACGAATCATACCCTCTCGTTTCCAAACATTCCAGGTCTAGGCTTCGGTTGCCTGTCTTTGCAAACGCAGTCCAGATGTCCTGTACTACATTGGTATAATATATGTCCTCATTGGCTATTACGGGCTGGTGAAAGATGTAATGTGTGCCAAATACTTGATACAACCTCGGAAGTCTTTTTAATAAATGCGGTAGTATGGGGTGTCTGGTTCTCTCACTGGGAATGTGCAGAGGTCATAATAGCTATGGTAGCTTGGTGCGTAGGCGCGCTGGTGGGCATATGTCCACAGACTGTTGAAGGGGTTTGCTTTGATGACTGATATGAGAAGGAAAAAGAAGCAGCGGCGACAAAAAGTTCTTCGACGTGATATATTACAAAGCCATCAGTGCCGACGTTGACGGCATTGTAATCGTCGGTATAGTACTCAGGCAGATCACAGAAGTCGGAGGAGGCTATTGCAGCGCTCCGGGATAAGAGACTGAGCCTCATCAGGCTTGAAGCGCAATAAGCACGTTGGCCGGGTTTACATTTCCCTCACTTACAAGTGAATTGGCTGATCGAAGATGTACAAGTTGTCGATAACTATGTTCCAGGACCAATATTCTACGCGGATATTGAGTAGGATTTCTGCAGGGAATTGCTGCAGACACTCGGGCGAGAGACCGGCAGGACATAAGGTTTCCAAATAAGGAGACAAAAAGGTCGCAAATGAAATTCGGTCGACGACATTTCCATCGAAGGACTGTGGAATAGTGCTTTTGAATAGCCCCCGAGCCTTCGGTGAAGCTATCAGATCCATGACTGACGCTCCCACCTGCTGACTGGCCGAAGACGCTGACATTGTCAGTATCGCCTCCATATGCAGCGATATACTTTTGTACCCACTGCAATACTGAATTCTGGTCGGATAGACCATACTTCCATGTGATGACGCGATCGTCGAGACTCAGCAGACCAAAGAGGTTCAGAACATGACAGGCTTCAACTTCTAGGATGGAACGCTTCCGATTACAGACAGTCCTCACTACAGTCCTCACTACAATCCACCTCAGATCCACCTAGTTGGCATCGACTTGCTTTATAAAGGAGATGATGGGCAATATCGCCGAACTGGTCACAATCAAGCCGCGTCTCGTCATACGTGGCTATTTGATTGATGAGCAATGCACTCGGTGTCTGTTCGTGGGCGCCACCATCTACATGCATGTATCAGTTACTTTCGCATCCGATCGTACAGCAGAACCTGGCGCTATGACGAAAGGAAGGCCTCCCGAGATCTGTATTGGTCTCGGTCTATATTATCGTAATATGAGTGTGAACGGCATTTGATTAATGAATAGTCAAACGGATTATGTACTGGAAAGCTCTTCGTTACTAAATCAAATTCACTACCCGGTATATCGATTCACGCCCCCTAAGAGGTCTTCTTATTGTGTGTTGAAAATGCCATAGTGTTAATCAAAGGAGAAGGCTTATATGCATTGCTGGACTCGGTCAAGATTCAAGCAAAACAAAGGAGAAAGTAGAAGATTGCCTTATCAGGAAATGGCTATTCGGCAATAATACGCGATAGACATTGCTAGGTAATATTGTAAATCCGATTTAAGCAATTTGATAGTCATCGGGGGACCTCGCCCAAGCCAAATAGCTGGTAAGGTTTCATATACGGGTGAACACCGGATATGCCTTGTAATGTTCATTTCTTAGGAGGTAAGAGGAAAAGGTGTACTCACCCTAATTCCATAGTAAAATCAATCCCATTGTCCAATTATCGGTGCAAAGCCCACTAACTACCCAAAATGCTATGTCATGTCCATGTTGACAATTCCGTTCATGCTTCCGAAGATAATAAACAAAAATCGGGGTATATATACGTATGTATGTTTTAAAGATCAAATGAAGCAGTACAATCAACTCAACACCTTCACTTTCATCCATTCACTCGTACCCACGCCAAGATTGAGCCCATTGCGCGCCCACCACTGACGAACACGCTGCTCAGCACCAGACGACGGGTCAGCATCTTCCAGGGCCTCTTCGATATCGCAAGTCTTGAATTCGACACGCAACCCGCTGGTGCGCCACCATTCGAGGACATCGTCGTGCCCGCTCCGTGTGGCCCCAACAAGCACTTGGTTGTCGAATATCATTTTCGCGCCTTTGAGACGGTGCCATAATTGCAAGACGTGGATGTGGCCGTATGTGCTGGCGATGCGTGCCACGGACTCGGAGTGCGTGTACGGTATGCCGGATGCGTCCCACCAGGCGAGGGATTGTGTTTTCCCAGATTGAGCGGCGAGAAGCACCGATTTTCCGACTTTTAGAGGAATCGCATCTGATGACGAGGATGATGCGCTTAAAGATGCATTCTTCCACCATTCTAGCACTTCAACGCGTCCTTCGGCACTGGCTGACTCCAAGGCACGCTCCGTATATCGCAGTGGCAAACCGGACGAGAGCCACCAATCCAGAACGCTGATATGTCCGGCTCGGGAAGCTCCATCCATGGCGTCCGCGCTATGCACCTTTGTTGATGAGTCGGAATAGTCGCGCCACCAAGTCAGAATAGCCGGGTTGCCATAAATGGCCGAGGCGAGATATGGTAAATTTGTAAATCGGGTGGTTGTGCTGTATAAACTGGGATGTTTTTCCAGTAGGTATGTCAGGATATCGGTGCGGGAGAATTTGAAAATCAAATGGCATGCGAGATTCGGCAAAGGCGTGTACGGCGTAAGTTCATTAATCTTCGAAGTGATAGCTGTGAATGATCCCCGAAGAATTGTGTACTCAAGCGAGGGGGGGGCAGACATCTTCAAAATATGAGGTTGCCACTCCTTCGGAACAGGAAGCCTTGTTGGGATTCCCACTGCTTTCGCAATTTCCCAGTCTTTCAGGTGGTCTTCGAAAATGTTCAGCCACAGCTCTAGAGGCAATGACTTTGGGCGTCCGCTCTGTAATTCATCGCGCTTCTTGGCAGCCTGCTGAGCAAGTTTGGCGATAGCGATTGAACTGCTGTTGCCTGTAGACTCATGTTTTTCCTTGGCGGCATCATCTTGTTTTAGCTCGTTTGCAATCTTTCCAATTGAGATGGAATTCAACCCAACAGTCTTCCGGAGTAATTCTTCAAAAAGGTGCTTCCCCTCCCATGGCTGCTGTGCCAATTCCTCCGGCCCAGTGAGACTCCATAGCAGAGGCGATATTCTTATAATCCACGGCCAAGAACGCGCGAGTTCCTCCAGTTGTCGTTTAGTCAGTGGGTTCGTCCACTCCGACACGGTCATGCCAGGCACAAGTAATACAGGCTTCTTCAAGTCCCACCCTCGAAGCAGAGAAAGTGTCAACGTGTGTGTGAGACCATATAACATGGATCCCAGCGTCCCGGCGTCAATCGGGGCTACGATGAGGAGATCAGCCCATTCGCATAACTCAGCCGCCTTGGCTCTCAACCATCTGCGTGATCCAGTCTTGTTATCAAATGTATGGCTATCAACCGAGTCCATGTAATGCGGCACCTTGGTTGCGCCGGTCAATATGGCCGAGGATTCTTCGTCGGTAATCAGGCGAAGCTCGATGTCGGAACTGCGGAGAAGGGGTGGCAGAAAATTCGCAGCAAAGGCACTCTCTGTCGACATGAGCACCCTTTTCCGACGGTTTGCCGGCTCTGACGAAGCTTCCATTTTTATTGTCGATGCTTTCAGTGAGTTGGTGCCATTAGAAGCAAAGTCCACGTTGCCTGAAATTTCCTCCACCCGCAAACGGTGCGTCTCGGATCCTTTTAACTCACTTGGCCCAGGCCCAGCCACGTCCCCAGCATTCAAGGTGATTGCCATGCCAATTGAACGAACTTCGCCTTCCACTATGTCCCCGGTACAGGCCGTTCTTCCGGATTTGCAAGGCGTTGTACCAAGAAGTGCTTGACAGATAGCGTATATGTAGGCGATCGAATACAACACTCAAAGATTCGCGTTGCAGAAGAAATCACTCAACTCGTCTAATCGCGTTATGCCACGAATTGCGGAAGAGCGACGGTGCAGCAGTGGCTCGAAAAAGGAAGACAAAATAACAAGCTTCGTGGCTCCCTGATGGAACGATGATTCGCGACGACTCACGCAATGCTGTTCACGCCACCGACCTCCCCTTCGTTCGACAGTCCATTGAAGTCTTGAGTTGTTTCTCTCCCGGCGGCTTCTCGGGAGACATTTTGTTGCCACTATAACTAAACCGCCTGCTCTGATTGGGCCGCGATAAGAAAAAGCGGGCCCGGACGTCAGTCCAACAAAAGATGAAGTCGACCAACTTTCTTTCCCTTTTTTTTTTTTTTTTTTTTCGCTCGCGCTGGCTGTTTGCAGCTGTCATATGCCATCTCATTGGCTGAGCAACAATACACGTCACAAGGTTGTTGCCAAGCGGTATTTAGGCCACGAGGGACTTCATTAGCAAAAGCTAAGGCCGAATCATATCATGAAGACGCAAATACTGGCATAAGGAGAACTCAGACACAGTGGTAATTATCCAGTGATCGATGGACATCCGACTTTTCTTTTCTGTCATGCCTGCTTCTACATTACCGAGACGCAGCGACCCAAGTCCTCGTGTCGGTCAATGCATGTTTTGACTCGGATCTTGAACTGCTGCCTCGGCCAGTCCGAGGACCTGATCAATGGTTGGTTGGTTGGTTGATTGATTGATTGATTCATACACGCATCGAAGCCTAGTGGCCGGCGGCGCCTTCGATTGGGCAGCCTCTTGTTATTGGTTTTGCATGCTTCTTTGTAGAGCATCTCTATACGTAGATCTGCATGGAGCGGATAGTGTATAAGCATATGCGCTGTATTCTGCCCACATGGACATAGTGATGAGCCTTCGATCTTTACACTCACAAGAAAGCTGTGAAGCGCAGATTTATTAGTCTGTAGCTGTATAAGCACCAAGCCCTAAGCCTATTTTAGTCCTTCATATAGTAATAGCATCATCTTCTTTGCCAGCATTTGTATAATCTGGTAGAGATATTGACTATGCTTAGCACCATCCTATTGCTCTTTCTACTGGTTCGCGAATCCCACTTGTAGTTACTGTTGACAAACTACCACAAAGATAATTGAGTGATGTAGATTATAGGAAACACGTGTAGTATGTGATGTGGTCTGGTTGAGTGTGCTGTGTCGCTTTAATGTCGGAAACTTCGGTCGAACCACCGTCGAGTACAGTATAGCTATTAACGGGCGAAGTTGATAGTCTCCTGGAGTACGAAAGGTGTGTAAAACACGAAAGTCTCATAAACAAGATAGAATATCCTGATTAATGGAAGATCGTATACTTAAGTCACCTCAGTTAATTCAAGACGATAGAAGAAAACTAAATACATGGCTAACGAGTGTTCTTATATAGTTGTCCTCCATCATATCAATCATAGCCATTCTATGCCATCTATGGACTATGATGACTATTCCCTATTAGTCGTAGCGCCTGCGTGTTCCCGTCAGGCGTCGGGCCGTGATCTCCGCATGTTACAGTCATTTGCAGAGTAACAACTAACACTCTCTTCTCTTTCCTCTAAAACAGCACTAAAAATTTCCTAGTCTATATATAGCTAGATCCGGAATAACCCTAGCTCGTGTAATTTTCTCCCCGGGGTATTGCGCATTCACAGATTTGATACGCCCGTAAATTACATGTATCGCTGCCTGGACTTGGGTACCTCGTCATTTCCGAATCCCTTTCGTTCCTTTCTTCTACACCAATTACTAGAACATAATACAGTACAGCCTTGTACTATAAGATGGCACCGCCCCTTGCACGATCAACAGTGCAACTGGTATGTGATATGCTAAGAAGTGATGAGCAGCTAACTGTATCAAACCTTGAACTATTTGGAAATCCGAAAGCTCCGCCAAACCGCCCTAAATAACAGCGAATAATCACGCCGATAATGCTGAAAGCGTTGTGTGATCATCTCCTGGAAAAGCCGACATCATATTTAGATGAGATGGCAGTCTTTCTGTCAGATGAATTTGACAAAGATGTGGCGATTAGCACCATCAGCAGGACCCTTGCCTTAATCGGTTGGTCTAAAAAGATCGCACGACAGAAAGCAAAAGAGCGCAATAAAGACTTGCGAGATGAATATGTCCATTATATTTCAGAATTTCGCACAAATCAGCTGGTGTTTGTGGACGAGTCAGGATATGATAAACGTGCAGGATTTAGACGAACAGGCTGGTCGCCATTAGGAGTGGCACCAATTGAAGTACGCAAATTTCATCGTGACCGACGCTACCAGATTTTGCCTGCATATGCCCACGATGGTATTATTCTTTTTCGTATCTTTCAGGGTTCAACAGATGCTGAAATATTCGAGGATCTTATTGAGAAGCTCCTTAAACACTGTGGGAAATGGCCCGAGCCAAAATCTGTTATTATTATGGACAACGCATCCTTTCATCACTCAGATCAAATAGAAGAGATGTGCTCGGGAGTAGGAGTTAAACTTGTGTATTTGCCACCATACTCGCCGGATCTAAACCCAATCAAAGAATTTTTTGCAGAGCTGAAGGCTTTCATCAGGCGAAACTGGAAAATTTTTGAGGACAATCCAGATCACGGTTTTGAGAATTTTCTGGAATGGTGTGTTGATACTGTTAGTGCGCGAGAGCAGAGCGCAAGAGGCCATTTCCGACACGCAGGTCTAATAACGGAAGAGCCATGAATTCAAATTATATGACTCTAGTCCTTACTGTAATTCAGGCTCTTCACGTAAGCACGGTTCCACCTGTGATCCCATGTAGCTCATCTTTCAATGATAACTATTACTGATTAAAGATGTGACGATGCAATGCCAAATCTATTTGGTCGCTAAACACGAAGAGACTAAACTGGAGAGAAGATGAAGAGAAAAGAACAACTACCGGCCCCCTTCCTCCTACTTATACTTCCTTCTACTCCGGATACCTGTGGGCTATCTCTGTTGTATGCCGGTGCCTAGTAATCTAGATTTCTGGAAGGTTCCAACAATGTAGAATACTGGCTGGTGAAGGCCATTTGCCCTTCTTGATATTATTTAGATCCTCTGGCAATCTGCAGCGTGAATCAAAACATGGGGTAATCCCCATAAGGCATATCTAGCCCCACATCTTCCCTGCATGTGATTCGTCCATGGGAGGTGGCCCGCGGGTACTTCCGCAGTAACCGCGTGCCGCCAAGCCAAATCGTACTAGGCCGTCACAAAAGAGTCCAAATCTGGAATCATCAACTGGAGAATTTACACATGGTACAGCACTTTGCAGGTTTGGCTTTACATGATTTACACTCTTTGACTCTTTCTCAGCGTCACTCCCACTATATTAAGTTTAGACCAATATTAGGGTAATCTAAGACCCGTATAGAATGTAAAAATACTAAAATTTGGGTAAGCTACACATGGTACTCAAATTTTCATGACAATTGCAGTAACTAACGAAGTGGTTCTTCTTATGGTGGTTGTAGCGAAACAATGACCTTTCACTACAGCGCTACCATTAAGCTCTTACTACTCATCATCAGCTTTGTGCCTGCGCAATTACCAATCACGGCCAGTGCAAAACGGCATGGCAAGTCCTGTGTTGTCATGGAACGAAGGTGACTGGCAGTCGCAAGCCAATAGGAACGGCACAAACAGGCCCACCTAGTCGACATATATCGATTTGTCCACGTGAACTTAAGATTTTCGTGTCACAACCTAATATTATTTAATTTCAAAGCCTGTTAGTGTTCCAAAATGTCATCCAGTAAGCCAAGCTTGTGGCCGTCAGGCCAATGGCTATGCGGACGCTAGGAATATGAAGATCCGATGACGCCCCGGTATGCGGGAAATCCCACCAAGCCGAAACTACTTAAAATTATCAACACCCCAAGCCTGTTTCCATTCTTCTAAACCACTTTAACTATATAGTATATTTACTGTACGTGGGCGTGTGATTTATCTCAACTTGAGTTTCCTGAGAAGCCTAAGTCCTTTTGATGTTGTAGCAGCTGCCGATCCTGCCACTGGTAAAATGTCTGTTACATGTCGATTAAGCCGAGTAGCGGCTGTTGGCGAGGTAGAGCGAGAATCTTCAGAGGTCTCCAAGTTCTTAAGGCGCTCCTGGGCTGCCCGGTACCAGCGATAGTTAGTTCCAAAGACAAGCTTATACCCTCTAAGTGCTCTTGTGTACATTAACTCTGCATCACTTAAGCGGCCCTTATCCTCGAAGAGCATACCATAGCTATAGGCGTTATGAAGGGCAGGAACGTACGATAGAATATTATCCGGCCCGAGGGCCTTCTCGTAGCCTTCTAGCGCCCGCTGGTACATATTTTCAGCGTCTGCCAGCTTCCCCTGGTCGGCATAGAGAATGCCCAGGTTGTTGACGGTGTCGAGTGTCGATGTGTGATTAGGGCCCCAGGCCTTCTCGTAGCCTTCTAGCGCCCGCTGATACATCTTTTCAGCGTCTGCCAGCTTCCCCTGGTTGGCATAGAGAATGCCCAGGTTGTTAACGGTGTCCAGTGTCGATGTGTGATCAGGGCCCCAGGCCTTCTCCTTGCCTTCTAGCGCCCGCTGATACATCTTTTCAGCATCTGCCAGCTTCCCTTGGTCAGCATAGAGAAGGCCCAGGTTATTGACGGTGTCCAGTGTCGATGTGTGATCAGGGCCCCAGGCCTTCTCCTTGCCTTCTAGCGCCCGCTGGTACATCTTTTCAGCGTCTGCCAGCTTCCCCTGGTCAGCATAGAGAAGGCCCAGGTTGTTGACGGTGTTGAGTGTCGATGTGTGATCAGGGCCCCAGGCCTTCTCGTAGCCTTCTAGCGCCCGCTGGTACATCTTTTCAGCGTCTGCCAGCTTCCCTTGGTCAGCATAGAGAAGGCCCAGGTTATTGACGGTGTCCAGTGTCGATGTGTGATCAGGGCCCCAGGCCTTCTCATAGCCTTCTAGCGCCCGCTGATACATCTTTTCAGCGTCTGCCAGCTTCCCTTGGTCAGCATAGAGAAGGCCCAGGTTATTGACGGTGTCCAGTGTCGATGTATGATCAGGGCCCCAGGCCTTCTCATAGCCTTCTAGCGCCCGCTGGTACATCTTTTCAGCATCTGCCAGCTTCCCTTGGTCAGCATAGAGAAGGCCCAGGTTATTGACGGTGTCGAGTGTCGATGTGTGATTAAGGCCCCAGGCCTTCTCCTTGCCTTCTAGCGCCCGCTGATACATCTTTTCAGCGTCTGCCAGCTTCCCTTGGTTTTTATAGAGAATGCCCAGGTTGTTGACGGTGTCGAGTGTCAATGTGTGATTAGGGCCCCAGGCCTTCTCATAGCCTTCTAGCGCCCGCTGGTACATCTTTTCAGCGTCTGCCAGCTTCCCTTGGTCAGCATAGAGAAGGCCCAGGTTGTTAACGGTGTCCAGTGTCAATGTATGATTAAGGCCCCAGGCCTTCTCCTTGCCTTCTAGCGCCCGCTGGTACATCTTTTCAGCATCTGCCAGCTTCCCTTGGTCAGCATAGAGAAGGCCCAGGTTGTTAACGGTGTCCAGTGTCGATGTGTGATCAGGGCTCCAGGCCTTCTCCTTGCCTTCTAGCGCCCGCTGATACATCTTTTCAGCATCTGCCAGCTTCCCTTGGTCAGCATAGAGAAGGCCCAGGTTATTGACGGTGTCCAGTGTCGATGTATGATCAGGGCCCCAGGCCTTCTCCTTGCCTTCTAGCGCCCGCTGGTACATCTTCTCCGCCTTTAGTAGGTTTCCTCTATCCGATAATAGCATACCCATCCTATGTAGTGCGTATGATACCTCCTTATTTACTTCTATTATTGTATCCGCTGTTGCTCGCTCCATTCTTTCGATCCAAGACTCGGCGTGTGGAAATAACTGCCGCTGTTTCTGGTGATATTCTGTAGCATGCATATCTGGAACAGCATATCCAATCACGAGAACTGCTAGTCGTGATAGCTCTGTTCGTTGATGTTCATCTTGTATGTGAAATGCCCACTGGTGCACTACAGGATGAGTACTGTGGGTCGAACTCCCAGGTAGGCTTTCAATCAAGCAATAGCTCCGTAGAAGTCGAACTACTTGCAAGAATTTCACTTCATCATCGGTGGCGTCTCTCAGCCATGCCGACAAGTCGTTAGCCAATGCACTCGACCTATGTGCTCCAGCTTGGAGAATCCAGAACGGCAGTGTTTTATGGTCAAGGTGAGCCCATAGCAGAAGAAGATTTGCTGCGCCCTCATTCTTGGTGCGTATCGCATTATATGAGACCATCCACGTCGTGCTTATGCTGCGGTTCCCATAGCTTCTCAGCAATGCCGTGTTCTCAACCTCCATCAGATCCTTCCACTGCTCTTTGTATAGCCTAGTGTACGTACTGAAGCTCGTCCCCGTCTCGCTCATATAGGTTGCCGCCTGGGCCAGGGCTAAAGGTAGTCCTTCAAGCAGTCGAAGTAGCTCGTCGCTGTCATTCGGATCTGTACGCTCCGATTAGTAACGCCATGCAAATACTAGGGATGTACTTAAAACTGCCTTACCAATGTCTTGGTTGTACCACTTTCGAAAGATAGCCTGCGCTTGGCTCATGTCAACCGCCCCTAACTGCAGAGATTCGCCGACCTGTTGGAGGTTCGCAAGCCGCGTGGTAATCAGAATCGATCCATGATCAACATCGGGTATGTAGTTGCTGACATTATAGGCGTCGATATCGGTCTCTTGCTGGTAGTCGCGGTCCACGTTATCAAATATAATCAGCCAGTGCTTGTTCTCCGTCCTGCTCAGCCACTCCATGAAATCACCGATAACAGCATTAAGGTCACCGTTTGTGCTAGACGAGTATTTCCTACTTGTCTCAGCAATCTGCCCTTCTGGAATACGACCTGCGCAATCAGCAATGCTTTGCTTTAGGCTATCTTCGCTGCTTCCGTCTAACCAGAATACCGACATGAACGCAGCCTGGTGCTTCCTGGCAAACTCGGCGGTAAGCTGAGTCTTGCCTATTCCGCCAAGGCCATGCAGCACTACCACTTGTTGCCGATAGTCTTCTGGTCGAGCATGTCTATGTGGTATAAGAACTTGTTCTAAACGTCTCATTTCTTCCGGCCTATCCGCATATCTACCACGAGGAATGCCTTTGAGACTGAATGAGACTCGGTACTTTTCGGCATCTAACATGTATTTATTAGCAGTACAACCATGTCGCAATACGACAAGTACACCTACCGCTTACTCTCTCAGATATGTTAGTCTTGAATATCTCTTCTGCCGGAACGACCTGCAGCAATTCTTTGGCAACTGCCGCCGCTGTCGCGGCAGCATATGGCTGCCAACTCTTATTCTTGTGCGAGTCGGCATAGTCACAGATGCCACGAATCACCGCGGATGGAAATGCACAGGCTAGACCGGCCCCCTCCATCTCAAAGCATAATACTCCGCCGAGTTCAATACTGATCCTGTCCCTGGTCACGCCGTCCTTCATTACCTGGTTCCCCGACGCAATTGTGCCATAATGAATTACCACGTCATTGGACTCTCGCTTAGGCCGTTCTATAATCATTTGATCGTTGCAGCTCTCGCAGTTGTCTCCCCCATCATGCTCGTATGCCGCTTGAAAAAGAACATCAGGGCCTGTTGTGTTTCGACTGAATTGTGCCAACCGGTCGAAAACGGATAGATGCGCAGAGACGTTGTTCAGACGACGGTAATGGTTTTCTCGCAGCTTTGCGATTGCATTGAGGAGCATCTTCGGCGGTGCGTTGATGAATCCTGTTCTGTGTACTTGTCTGTTTGGACCAGTCTTGCCGAAGTCATACTGGACCACGCCACCATGCTGCAAGTGCGGATGGCTGACCACAACGTCCCCGAGTCTTATATCTGCACTCGCTGTTGGGACTCCACCGCCGATTCCCACCATCAGAGCGAACTTGATCGACGGGAATGCGGTTGTAAGCCGTCCTGTGACGTCGGCAGCTGAGTTGTTTCCCATCCGGCCTGACGGCAAACAGGCCATCACGATGTTGTGGTTACCTACCCGGCCGAAGACATATTGGTCCATATTGCTACCATGGTTTCGAGGATCACAGTGTTCTTCGTCAAGCATCTCTACCGCCGCTGCCGATTCGAGAGGCAGGGCAGACACCCACGCCACAGTGTAAGTTGCTGGCAGAAGACGCGGTCGGCTCATCGTCGAGTTGTATAGTCAACGGCTAGTAGAGGTAACAGTTCATGCTACATAACATAGCTATTGATATGAAGGCGTAGACAAACGGAAATTTGCAGTCAAGAGGACACGATTCCGTTGTTGGAAGTTGAGGTTCAGCCTTGTACTTTGCTGCGCCTCGCGTAGCCTTGTCCCCCGCCGCATCCGCAGGATCCGAGCGCAAACTTTCTTTACCATATCAACGAGGTGCTTCAAGTGATGCGTATTGAGCCTGTAATGTTTTTTCCCAACGGGATCCTGCCAGCAGTATCCCTCTGGATTTTTGCACGGTGGTCCAGGATATTGCATCTTATTATATACATCCCGCCGCGGTGAACATTGACCAGTACTTTGTTCAGCATCAATCTGAGCGTCACGTTCGGCAAGCATAGCATTTGTCACCGATCGTGTGTTCCTTTTCTCGCCGTTCCTTGATGAAGCCTGGTCGTTGTCATCTGCGATGTAATTAACGCTAACGTCAAGTTTAAGCTTTTTGCCCCTGCGAAAGAGTTCTCCCCACATAAGGAGTTGCTTTTCTGTCATTGTCCAGTTGATATCTACCCCTTCAGATTGTTGAAGTTTTTGCGCACTATCGCGCAATACGGAAGCCATTACCGTAATATCCTCTAACCGAGCGCGTCGGCTAGTAAATACTCTTCGGCTCTTCACGCGTTCAACCTTTTCCGCTAACACTTTTTGCCAGTATGCACCAGGTGCGAGGACGATTCGCTGAAGTTACCTGGGGTGGGGGCATATAAGAGGCCGTTATCCCATGAATCGTAAGGCTGAGGCGAAATATTATCATCGTGGCGGGGACTATAACTCATAGCCACGAAGTGACACGAGCTGCTAACGAACCTAATATTAGTGTTACCATGTTAGTTTCATACCCGATATTCTATGTTGCATGAGGGGCTGCAGCTAACAGGGTCCAAGGAATAACTAGCAGCTGCATATGGATAATTTCTCCACAGCCAGTACGCCGGCAGGCTGACAAAAGTGGCGCAGCCACGGGAGCGCGCCGCAGGGCGCGCTACAGAGAATGTAAACTGTGTGACGGCCTAGTACGGTTTGGCTTGGCGGCACGCGGTTACTGCGGAAGTACCCGCGGGCCGTCTCCCGTGGACGAATCACATGTAGGGGAGATATGGGGCTAGATATGCCTTGTGGGGATTACCCCGTGTTTTGATTCACGTTGCAGATTGCCGGAGGATCTCTGTGATATCTAGAAGGGTAAATGGCCTTCGCCGGCCAGTATTCTGCATTGTTGGAACCTTCCAGAAATCTAGATTACTAGGCACCGGCACACAACGGAGATAGCCCACAGGTATCCGGAGTAGAAGGAAGTATAAGTAGGAGGAAGGGGGCCGGTAGTTGTTCTTTTCTCTTCTTCTCTCCAGTTTAGTCTCTTCGTGTTTAGCGACCAAATAGATTTGGCATTGCATCGTCACAAACTGTACAAATGGAATAAACAATAAATGTAAAACAATCAAACAGTACAAACGCGTACGCCAGCTCGTACGTCAACGTCTATTCCCACTCCCGCCATTCCAACAATCCCTCTTTCTCATGATTTCCAGCTCGCGCTCGTCAGCGTACAACGGGCAATCGAGCATGACGTGTTTGACGGTTTGGCCTGATAGCCCGCATCTGCACTTAGGATCGTCCCGTCGGTTGATTCGCCAGAGATAGTGGTTTAAGCCAACGCGTTGTGTACGGATCTGGATCAGGATTGACGATGTCGCTTTCCGCAGCCCAGCCCAATATTGGAGAATGCTTCGGGACGGTCGCGGAATGAGCTTTTTGGTAGGTTTTCCACTCTTTTGCTTATCCCACGTTTTAATCCATGCCTCATGCGCTTCGCGTCGTGCTGCGGCGCCGAGCATGGTCCAATTCTTGATATCGCCAGGTACGATTTGACGACGAGCACCCATCATCGCAGCACGTTTTACTGCCCGGTCCGCTGCTTCGTTGCCAGGAATGCCTTCGTGGCCTGGGACCCATTGGATGACCACATCGATACCGTTTTCTACGCATTCCCAATACAGATTGATACAATCCCGGATGTAGGTCTGACCCGAGGCCATCCGTGGGTTCTGCATTGCTTTGAGCGCCGGCTGACTATCTGAGAATATCACCGCTTTTTGAAACCGTGAATCGTCCTCCGCGAATCGTAACAACGTGCTCAGCGCGAACCGGATTCCACACGCCTCCGCTGCATACACCGTTGACGTGTCCTCTGTACCAATACACTCCGTTGTTTGTCGCCGTAATTGAGGAATAACCATTGACGTGCCGATATAGCCTTGATAGCCACTACCGTCAGTGTACATCAATACACGTGAATTCTCCTTGGTCATGCGGTCGTGTACAGATACCGCCTTCTCGCGCTCGTCAATTATAATACATGGAGGCTCTCGCCATGGTGCTTGGACGTGCGCTTCACGTCTCTCCCACTCTCCCGCCAAGGTACCTGGGGGAGCACGTAGGCATCCGTCTTTATTCCAAGCATGAGCCTCCATAGGAGTGTAACCGCTGAGCGTGAGTTCTTGGTCTGTACGCCGTGTCATTACACCTAGGGAAATCACGTGTGTTGGACCTGTACGAATCCGAATGGCAGTGGACTTGACGAGCTGGTCTAGTTGATATCGGATTGGTAAGAGATAGAGCTCCACGTTGAGCGCTTCCACTGCCGTGGTACGAAACGCGCCACTGATTAGGCACGCCGCAGTTTTTTGAATGGTTGCAAAGTCCCGTGTTATTGCCGTAAGTTGCGCCTTTGCCATGACCCCTGGTTGATACCACGCCGCAGCGTCATATAACATCTGCGGGATCACTATCGCCTGATAGATCTGGCGCATGGAGCCGAGAGCGACTCCCCATATAGATCCTGCCAGTCCCCGTAGAGCCTCAAGACTGGTGCCGGCTTTGGCGACGGCCTTTTCACAGTATATATTGAACGTAAGCTCCAAATCGAGCCAGATTCTGAGATATTTGGCCACATTGCTAGCCTCCATCGCCATACCATCCTATAGCGTGATCGATTGAGACTTGAGAGTAAGACCACTCCATAGATTCACAAAGTGAATAAGTTGATACTTTTTCTTATCAAATATAGAGGCATGGTAAAGAGCCCATTGGTCCGCAATTGCGCTAGCGCGTTGAAGCTTTTCAATAATATTATTCTCGCTGTAGCCAGCAGCCATCATGCCCATATTGTCTACCCATCTATTTGTTAATACATGATTCATTGGATCTGCATAATCCTCTATCAAATCCAAATTATAAATAAGATATAGAATTGGGGAGATTGACAAGCCCTGTGGAATGCCTATTAGTGTCAATATCGGCTCTGATATGCCTTTGGGGATCTTAATTCACGTACTCCTTCCTATAAGAAAGACAGTCACCCACAGCATAAAGTAGCCAAGGTGCTGTTTCCACATATTGTGAAGCAATCGCGAATAATGCACATTATTGTACGTGCCAGATATATTAAGTAGCAACATGGATACAACCTCAAATCTATCACCCCACGCTCGCTGGATCCGATCAAGGATAATCTGGATAGCGTGATCTGTAGAGATCCCTTTACAGCCGCCAAGGTGCCCTATCAGGAGTAGTTGATATATCTTCATAGCGTAGCCAATCCTTCATGCGATAATCGCTTCAAGGAACTTACCTAGTGTATTAAGTAACGCCACTGGGCGGTATACTTTTGGTGTACGATTGTCCCGATCCATGCCACTCTTACGGAGCACAACCGTGATTGACCGCTGGAAATGAGATGGATTGTAGCCCATTCGGATACATGCGTTGTAGATCTGATAGAGCGTATTAAGGATCACGGGGATACCCACGATTTGGTGCTAGAAGCTATTAGGAATTATATCCTTACCTAGAGTCTTATCCGGCGGTGTAGAGCGGATCACATGTTCAATCTTGTGGCGTGGGATCTCTAGGAACGGCAGCTGTTCTGGATAACGGCGTCGTTGATATTTACTAAATTGGCCTCTGGGATCACTGGAAAGAATAACTCCCTGAGGAGCTCTATTTTGGCTTCCACCGTCTCCGCGATTCGTCCATCCACTAACATTAATGTGGGTGTAATCCCCGACTCGTAGGCGCCTTTACGCGTATGTGTCTATTTAGCTAACCTCTATAAGCCTATGGGCCCTTTTTCAGTGGCTTCCTAGACCCGGCGGCGGTGGCCGAGCCTTAGGGATTTACTAACGAGTCGTTTTTTCTTATTCCGTGCCCACAGATAGGCGCGCCAGATCCACGGATTGTGAGTGTTGGAGTATATACGGCGTAAACGACGGCATAGCTTTACCGCTTCTTTGCATTCAGAAGTGAAATCGGGATTGCTCCATTCGCTAGGACGGGACCATGGAACGGATTGGTCAATCGCGTGGCGGATCGCGCTCGTGAACGCGATAGTGGACAGCTCAATGTGAGATTTAGAAGCGTTCTCGAAATCTGGGACTATGAGGTGTTGAAGCATATCAATCAGTTTTTTCATGTCAATGGCGTTCCAGTTGCGGCGTTTTGGCGGTTCATAGATTGGTGTGTGAATATCAATCTGCGTACGGATTGGCCAGTAGTCTGAGTCGTGTTGTACGGTATCAGTGCATTCTATCAGGATCAGGCGGTCAGACAAGCTTATAGAGAGAAACGTAAGGTCAATTGTAGATTTAGATTGGCCTTGTTCCCGTATAATAGTACCCTCCTCAGTGGCGAGCTCCAGTTCATGGCGGTCCGTGATTTCGAGCAATTCAGTGCCTTCGTTATCGATTTTAGTGCCAGGACCACCCCAGGCGGGATGGTGTACATTCATATCCCCAAGAACAAGGTGCTCGATCGTTGTGGAATATCCTATTCGGGTAAGTTCGCGATTAAGCAGGTTCAATGTGGGCGATTTGGGTTTGTTATAGATATTATGGATATAGAGATCATGGGATTGCTCGCCACGGAGGTGTTGTAAGTGAAGGATCTGATAATCCGGGGAAACGGTCGTGTGCGTCCACTTTGCGGTGTCAATTTTCTTGTTGACGTACAGCGCTACCCGCGCTTGTTCACCGTCCACGGCCTTGGGGTGAAGCAACTGGTGCGTTATTCTCGCGGGCTGGTGCGTGGTGTTGTCATATTCGTTACGCCACGGTTCCTGGATCGCGATAATGGAGGCTTGGAGGACAATGGGATCACGGAGAAAGGTGGCCATGACCTCATCTCTTGATTTGTGTGTGTTATACTGCAGGATCTCAAACGGTGTATTCATAAGAGCGCGTCCGGGCTTGATCGCGTGATTGTGCTGATTTGTGCGGTCTCTTCCGCTTCCTCATGGATTAGCGAATTCTGCGGATAGTAGATGTGGTGGTTGGTGAATCTAAATAGAATATCCCGGCGGGCATCTGAATTGAGCTCTCCGCTGTCAATCTCCTGGAAGCTTGATACGCTATCTAGAATAACGCAGTGGTCATCGTCGATATTCACGTTCATCTGGGGTAACGGCGGTAACGGCGGTAATGGCGTGTTATCATACGATTGAGATCGGGACCGTTCACGGCGGCGTTGCTCTCGGAGAGGCTGTTCCGGGTCATTGCGCATATCCACTGGCTGATTCAAGCCCCGTGAACGCAGTGATTTTGGGGCTGTTAACGTGGCTGGCGCCGTTGACGGGATTGGGCTAAGGTTGCTTAGTTGCGCTGGGTTGATTATTGCTGGTTGGCTGGCAGTTAATGCCGTATAAATATATTCATGAGGCTCAACGGGCTCATCGTCGTTGGTGGACGATTTAGATTTAGGGGGTCGTCCTCAAGGCTGTTTTTCAGTGCCAGCTGGTTTGATTGGGATTGCTTTGGTGGGCATGTTGACTGTACGAGACGTCGCCTGGATTGGTGGTGGTGTAGCTGGTTGTTCAATAGTTATCATGGCCTCCAGTTCGCGAACTGGCGCGTGAACTGGCTCGGTAGCTGGCTCGGGAGCCGTTTCTGGGGCTGCGTGCTTTGTAGCTTTCTTACCCTTTGCGGTCACGGTCTTGGTGGTTGTTTTCTTGGTGGTCTTTTTCTGCATGGCCACAATTCTGGCTGCTTCTCCCGGTGTCGGGCCTGCAGCCATATGCTCTATCATTCGTGCTTGGAGATACTGGGGGACACAGTGTTCCCCAATACCCATGTTGACCACTTGACGTGCTCGTGCGGTCTCCCGTTTCCGGATCTCGCAGCTGTCGCTCGATGCCTTATGGGCACGCTTGCAATTGGCACATCGTGGCGTAAGATCCTGGCTCTGTTTAGAAGGACATTCCCAGGTCAGATGCTCCTCCGCGCAGAGTCCACAAAGATATCGTCGGCTCGGGCACTGGCCTTGTACGTGCCCATATTTTTGGCACTTCCGGCACATCTCCACCCGTCCTTCTCAGTAATAAGGCCTGTTGGTGAGTGAATGGGAACGCCACACTGCGTTGCTCCTCACCGCGTTGTTCGCGATTACTGGGCTCGTGAAATCCACGATCAGTGATCCCGAGTAGCCTTTGGGCTTAGTGAGCCATCCGACGTGCGCAATCTCTACCTCAAAGCCCGGTTGTCCCCATCCCGGATTATCATTGATAAGCTCCTGCTTGAACTGCTCACTCATATCTACAATAATTTTAAGAAAAAAAAAACATCTCTTTCTTCGCGAATCTAGCTTTTGAAATTACTCGCCCAATTCTGGCCGTACAGCCTCAAGAATTTGATCAATTCTAATTAACGCCAAGTGCTATCGATTGATCCTATTTTTGCTATATAAAACTGGGATTGACGATGGCGTTGGGGCAAAACACCCAAATCACGCCTCCCGCGAGTGAAAATTCTGCGGGAACGCGTCCTCCAGATCAAGCGATGCCGCCGCCTCCAGAGAAGCCATGCCCAAAGAGAATGGACGAGCTAGCTAAGAGCGTGGAGAGGGTGATTTTTCATATGGAAAATGACCCCAAAAAGGACCACTTTATGTACCAGTTTGTCAAGAACGTCAAACTCTTTGCAGACGCGGTGGTCAAGGAGCAGACGATCTTAAAGCTGGATGAGGTGTGGAAGGCCCTGGAGCAGATCCAGCTCAACACCACCGCGCTACGCAAAAACATCAAAAGCGCTACTTTGTCTGCCTCAATTGAATCGGTCTCCGTATGGCATACTCGGGCCAGGAACTGACAGGCAGATCTTGGGTCGGTGGGGACACTGTCCACCCGGAGCAGCGCGGGCTCTTCCACCCCAGGGGTGCCGCCTGTTGAGCTCGGGCAGAATAGCAGCGTGACCGTCAAAGTGAGAGACGCCGCCATGAAGAACTCCCTCCATCGACTCACCCCAGTACAACTAAAGGACAAGGCAGAGAGAGCAATTGAAGAGGCCTGCAAGAGGATAAATAGCAGAGCGCTCGCTGATGCACCCTTTATCACCGCACAATGTCTCCCTTCCGGAGACATCAAACTCACGGCATCCAACGCCGCCGCCACCAAGGTCCTACGGAACCACGCTGACCACTGGGTCAAGGTTTTTAGGGGTGATGCCTCAGTCCGCACGCCGACATGGGGGGTGGTCGTCCATGGAGTCCCAACAGGCAGCTTAAGATTAACACCGGAGACCATGGGGGATATGATCATGAGGGTAATAGTAGAGAATCAGCACACCTGGGGCACAAGGGGTCGCGTCGCTCATATGGGCTGGTTAATGCGCCCTCAGCCAGGCAAGAAGACAGGTTCCGTGGTCATGGAGTTCCTGCACCCAGAGGACGCCAACGAAGCGATACAGCGGGGCACGGTATGGGAGGCCCGTATCTACGACACGGCGGTCCTGTGCCGAGAGGGTCGAAGCAAGCTATGCAACAAGTGCCAGAAACCGGGGCATGTCCAGATCCAGTGCCCAAACCGGGCCATATGCGGCGCCTGCGCGGAGGGTCATCCGACCTGGGAGTGTCCCTCCAAGCAGGGCAAGGAAATCATGGTGAAATATGCCAACTGTAAACAAGCTCACAGGGCGTCGTCGCCCAAATGTCCCGTACGAATTGAGGCCCAGCAACGGGCCCAGGCTGCCATTATACGGTGTGAACCGTTCCACTGCGTCCCTGGTACGCTACGCCATGCGCCGGTGGTCTTCACTGGCGCCCAATTCCCAACGCTGTAGGAGGCTGCAACCGTCAGTCAATCCCATAAAAGAAAGGCGGTCTCAGTGCCCGGTAGCCCTGAGCGAGAGGCCGCTAAACCACGTATCATGACAAAAACGGTAGCCAAAAGACCAGTAGGACGCCCGCCGTCCAACAAATCGAAATCAAGCGACAGCATCCCGCTGCCGGACAATGAAATCCAGGCCGTGTACGCCGCGTCCCAATCGGCCTCTCAATCCACGAAGAGGTCTCAGAGGCTAGGAGAGCCTCAGGGACCGATGACAGACCCAGAGCGACCTCTCCGGAAACCCCGGGGCCCACGACACGTACCGAACGTGGATTCTGACTCCGATGATCCTCTAGTGGGAATGCACGCCGACACCGTTATGGATACCAATGAGTAAGAACAACCAATTCACTATCATTTAGTACAACACAAACAATGGCAGGGCCATGGTGATGGCGCCATTCCTCTGGGACCTGTGGGTCCTCGAGGCCGACGTAATTGCGTGCCAGGAACCCTGGAGGAACAAGCTCAACGAGACAACGCATAATCTGGCAGCAGGGACGCACCAGCTATTATATCCAAAGAAATCAGAATATGGGGAGGAAGAGGCAGCACGTGTCTGTATATACGTGTCTAAGCGCGTGGATCCTGCGTGCTGGACACATGAGGTAGTTTCACGGGACTATCAGATTCTCAAGCTGACGTATGATCGGGGGAAGGAGGAGAGGACAATATTTATTCATAATATATATAATGAGGTAAGGAGTGGTACAATATCCACGATTAATAAGAGATTATCTAGGATTCGCTATGAGAATCCACACAGTGAGCATGTTGTTCTCAGCGACATGAATCTACATCACCCAGCCTGGGGGGGACTAGGCACTCCAGTAGAAACAGAGGCGGAGAGATTAATTAAGGTCATAGGCGGCCACGATATGGAACTAGTCACGGAGGAAGGGGTGGTTACATGGGAACGCAACAAGCTACGCTCAACAATTGACCTCACCTTTATCTCAGGCGCGCTGCGAGAGTGCCTTCTGACCTATGAGCGAGATAATAATATTGACCACGACTCGGACCACTACCCAATCCGCACTGTCCTGGGGATAGGCGCCCCACCATGTGGGGAGCCAAAATGAAGGAACTGGAAGAAGATGGACGTGAAGCTATTCATGGAAAGCCTAGAAAGGGATATTGACGTCCCCAATCTCATGATGGTGTCCACACGCGCGATCGAGCTACGCACCACTGCCTTTATAGCGGCCATTCGCCGCGCAATTGATAAGTCCACGCCATAGGTGCGGCCAAGTGTCTACAGCAACCCCGATTTCACAGGGGAATGCCGCGCCATCATCAAACTCACACGACATCTACGACGCCACTGGACACGCACGCATCGGCCGGAGGTCGAGGAGTAATACTGTATTGCCTGGAATGTGAAGAAACGACTCATTGAGAAGCAACTACGCCTAGGCTATTGCTAATGTGTCCAGCAAAGCCATGGAGCAGGGCCCGCACGGGCTTTGGCGCCTGGCATGGTGGGCACGTCGATAGATGGGCGCCTATGAACAAGGAATCACGCCGACGCTCCAGAGCCCTAGTGGTGAGACTGCAGAGACGGTCCTGGATAGGGCAATGCTATTCCAGAAGGCCTTCTTCCCGAAGCAGCACGCTGTAGATCTATCTGATATTAACAACTACAATTATCCAGAACTAATTGAATTCCCACCAATCACACTATATAAGATTGAGCGTGTGGTATCTAATCTAGCAGCAGATAAAGCACCTAGCGACGACAATATCCTGAATTGGCTATGAAAGCTGGTGATCACAATTCCTAAGGCGCTAGAAACATTATTATAGATCTTCAACACGTGTATATGCACTAGTTATAACCCCATACACTTTTAAAACTCGATTATAGTGATGCTCACAGGGACTATTACATGTCTAAGTCCTACTACCCTGTGGCACTACTCAACACCCTCGGCAAGGTACTGGAGGCAATCATCGCGCTACATATTTTATACGCGATGGAGGAACATAGCCTGCTCCCCGTACACGCCAGAACCGATCCAAATCGACCCCAGGAACGCCCATTTTACAGTCTGATATCGCGCCATTACAGGAGACGCATGTTGAGTCCATCCGCCCTGTCCGCCGCGGCAGGAGCGCGCGTACAATCCCGGACGACGAGTCAGAAGACGAGCTGAGCAGCTCGGACTACGACACGTTCACCAAACCAAGTGAGCCTGTCGGCCAGGGCGACACTATGATGACCACGAATCTCGAAGACAGCGCTTGGGCTACTAATCAGTAATGAATCAGCACGCCAATCGACTACGAATCTTACAGGCCAACTGCTGGAAATCGCGGGACGAGGTCCAGATGCATCTCTTTGGTGAGAGAGACGTGCAAGAATACGATATCCTGGCTATCCAGGAACCCTATATCAATAAAAGAACCAACCCTTTGACAACGTACGCACTAGCGCTCCAGAACCGCTTCCATATCTTGCTGCAGCCCACGTCACAAAAAGACTACGAGATCCGCCCACGGGTCTGCTTCTACGTCAACAAACGTATTGATCCGACAACGTGGGAAATACGGTTTCACGGCAGAGATCTGAGCACGCTGATCCTTCATACCGTTCACGGCACAGCTCACATCCACAATATATATAATCCGGGGAAGGCCAGTGGCCAGGAATCGGCGCTTGACACTCTCCGCGGAGCCATGACATCTGGAACGCAACATATCGTGCTTGGGGACTTCAATCTGCACCATCCGCTTTGGCAAGGCACACAGTACCGACACGTCGACGACGAAGCCACAGAGTTGATCGATCTCATGGACGAACACGGGTTGGAGCAGCTACTGCCTCCCGGCACCGTGACGTACGAGAAAGCAGACGCCAAGACTACCATTGATCTCATCTGGGCGTCGCACACGCTGGCAGACCGGTTGGTGAGCTGTACTGATAAACGCGAATGGTGGTACGGCGCAGACCACGTGTCAATCCTCACCCAGTTCGACCTGGCCCCGGTAAACGTTCCACCTATCTTTCGTAGGGACTGGGGCTCGTCAGATTGGGAGCTCTTTCTCAAGCTAATGGGCACGTACGATTGGCATCCGCGTGAGCTAGCGGATAAGGACGAGATCGACAGCGCGGTGGCGTATCTGATCGATGCGATTGACAGGACAGCAGAGCAGGCAACTCCCACAAAGCAGATCACCTCCTACTCCCGTGCTGGATACACCCCGGAGATGGCGGATCTCAAGCACCAGGTCTCACGGTGCCGAAAGCACGCTCGTCGAATGGATTCAGCGGAGGCGTGGGAGGAATATAAAGAGGCCAAAAAGGAGCTTAAGAAACGTACGAATCAGCTGGCGCGAGATCTCCACCGACACCGAATCGAGGAAGCAACAGAATCACTGAGTGGATTCTGGAAGGTAACGCGCTGGGTTCGCAACCGAGGCACGCCACGCGCATCATTCACACCAACGCTAAAGTATAACGACACCGATTATGCCGCCCCAGAGGAGAAGGCGAGGCTTTTCCACGAAGTGCTGCACCCGGAGCCTCCAGAGGCAGACCTTGCGGATATAGCACATTTCCGATACCCTAAACCATATGAGACTTCTCCCATCATGTTGGACGAAGTGCGTACGGCAATCAACAATGTGAAGCCGAACAAAGCTCCAGGCCCGGATGGCATTCCGAATCTGGTTCTCCAACGACTGCTCCCCCTGATTGAACGCTATCTAGTGAATCTTTTTAATGCGTGTTTACAGTGCTATTATTGTCCAAATCACTTCCGACAGTCCACCACGGTGGTGATCGGCAAACCGGGAAAGCCTAACTACACGGATCCGAAAGCGTATCGTCCAATTGCGTTGTTAAGCACGATTGGTAAGGCGTTGGAATCCGTGATCGCACGACGGCTTAGCTACCTGGTGGAACGTTACAACCTACTCCCAAAGAATCATATTGGCGGACGACGAGGCCGCTCCTGCGAGCTCGCCATCCACCTCCTATTGGAAGAGACTCACAATGCGTGGAGAGACGGCTCACGCGTGGCCTCCGGCCTTGCACTGGACGTCTCCGGCGCATTTGACAATGTCAACCACACCAGGCTGATCCACGATCTGCGGAAGCGCCAGATCCCGGAGGATATTGTGGGCTGGATCATCAGCTTCCTCAGCAGTCGCCGCACATCAATTGTACTGCTTGAGGGCGATATGGGTGAGTTTCCAATCAATACCGGCATCCCACAGGGATCCCCGCTATCACCAATCCTGTTCCTATTCTTCAATGCGGATCTCATCGAGCAGATACAAACCGAATGCCCGGAAGTATTCGTTATGGGGTATATTGACGATGTCTTCCTGATGGCATTTGGGAGCTCCGCCGCAGCCAACTGCCGCACACTCACCCAGGCGCATCAGGTCGCAGCGCGCTGGGAGAGGACTCACGCCTCCAAGTTCGCGCCAGCCAAATACCAGCTCGCCCACTTCTGGCGGAAGCACCAGTCGGTGCCAAAGCCAAGGGGCAGGCTGGACGTGCCGCTGACGATCAAGGGGACCGAGGTCAAGCCCCAGGGCTCAATCAAATATCTCGGGGTCCTGCTTGACACCCACCTGACGGGGGAAGCACACGTACGACAGATGAGGAAGAAGGCTGCGGGATTAGTAGCAGGGCTGTCGTCGATAGCGGGCTCTACCTGGGGAACGCCATTGCTCCATTTACGGAAGATATATACGGCAGTGCTCCAACCGCAGATCATGTACGCGTGTTCCACGTGGTATATCCGTGGTGGGAGAGGCTTCGTTGGTGTGCAGCGGGCCACGGAGCAAGCCGTTTAGTCGATCCAGTTCCACGCGCTCCACCGGATATCTGGCGCGTTCAAACGCACGTCACGAGAAGCCCTGGAAGTCTGCCTCCATGTGCCACCTCCCGAGCTCACGCTCGCGAGATTGGCGGAGGAGGCATGCTTACGTCTCATGACCTCACCACTACGATCAACGCTTCATTCGACACGCAGTCATGCACACCGTAACGACCCCTTTACGTCTCCATTGCACCGTCTGGAGACGACGATTGACCGGAAGCTGGGACGAGGCGTATGCCAGCAGATTGAGACGATCCACCCCTTTGTAGCGCCACCGTGGTGGGAGCCACCGGATATGCAAATCGATGCTACGCGTGAAGAAGCGATTCGTACGCAGACTACGACTACAGGGGTTCAGTTGTTTACGGACGGAAGCGGGTTTGACAGCGGGATTGGAGCAGCAGCGTATTCGCCGACATTAGGCTACGCCGCCAGGCCAATCGGCTCATCAGACACCCATACCGTATACGCCGGTGAGTTGGAGGGGATTGATGCGGCACTGGGCCTCTTGATCCGGAACCAGCAGCATAGTGAGATACGAGAAGCTACAATCTACACAGACAACCAGGCCGCGATTCGCGCCACCTGCCACCCCCAACGGTCCTCAGGACAGTACATCCTCCGAAGGATCGTCCGTCAACTGGACCTGCTACGAGACACTCGATCTCGCTGGCGTGTGCGACTACAATGGGTGCCAGGGCACGAGGGTGTCCCAGGCAACGAGGAAGCAGACCGGTTGGCGAAGCTCGCTGCAACCGAAGCGACACAGCGTACACGGGAAAACGGGCGGATCGCTCGGATCAATGCACCCAACCAGTCTACGCCTCATGCCGCACGCGTTTCCTTCAACCCATATCATTCAATCATCTTGGTGGCGGTGTGTCGTCAACGGCTGCGAGCGGGATTCGTGGATCGGTGGAAAGAGCAATGGGACGGTGCCGAGCATGGACGGCATCTCCACCGGATCGTACAGACGCCAGCAAAAAAAGTGCTTACGTTGCATGAGGGATTGAAACGGGCATGGAGCTCAGTGCTCATACAACTGCAGACGGGTAAATCAGCGCTCCGCAGCTTCCTTGCAAGCGTACAGATCGAGGACTCACCACTGTGTCAATGCGGGCTTGGGAACCAGAATACAGCGCACGTGCTCGTACGCTGTCCCCTTCACATAGACCTGCGTATGGAGACGCTTTATAAAGAAGCACGCGAAACCGACGACCGGAGGCTTCTCAGCGAGCCTCATTGGGTGCGAAGTGTGACGGCCTAGTACGATTTGGCTTGGCGGCACGCGGTTACTGCGGAAGTACCCGCGGGCCGCCTCCCATGGACGAATCACATGCAGGGAAGATGTGGGGCTAGATATG